GGTTCACATTTGCTTCCAGGGGAAGCGGAGGGGACTACCCACCTACCATACCAATTACCAAATCCTCTCTGCACCCCATTGAGCATTTAGTTTCTGCTTTTTTGTCCCTGTTTTTATTTTCTTAATCTCTGCTTCTTTCTGCACACTATAAAAACGGATAGCATGTATACCCCATTTCTCCCCCTTGCATTAGTTTCGTCCCTGTCGTTACCGGGTCTCTGTTTGGTTTGCCCTCTTCTATGTATTCTCATTCTCATTCCCATTCATATAATTACGGATCTGGTTCCTTATCTTCTCTCTTATACGATGGATCCTCTACCCTTACAGCCAAAAAAGGGAGGTGCTATTCCATCCCTTCAACCAACCCATTCAGATAACCCTCACACTCGTTTATCACATTTTCTCATCTCCTTTCTCTATTCCTTTCTTGATTTTTTGCTCGTCTCGTCTCTTCTCATTCCTAAGCATAGCTTTCTTCGTTTTTCTTGATGTACTTCGCTTCTACTTCTTCTGTCTCTGCCCTGGTTAAGGTAGACCAGATATCCCCCTAACAGCGGGGACTTTATCCTTCTATATTCTTCTATCTATCTATATCATTCGCATCTCTCCAGAGGGATTATTTATTTTACTTATTTTACTTTTTTCCATCTCTATTCTTCTATCGTTACGTTACGTCACGTCTTTATTGCTCGTCTTCTGTCTTTCATGACCATATCTTTTGTGCTACGGGCATATCGTTTTCATTCGCTTGGTGTACTCGAGGCGGGTTCATCTACATTGCGGTCTTCTTCTCCCAATTAAGAAATCATGGAGAGGGACATGGAAGTCGTACGACGTTGGTCAGAGGGACCGTGGGCTTAAGGGGTAGCTTTTCTCTTCTTCTTTCACTCGATGAACTTTGGTGGCTTTCTATCTATCTCAGCTTCTATTCCAACGGACATCCTACCTACCCCAGGGGAATACATTAGATAGTATTGGATATTTCCTTTCCTTCTCAAGTTATAAGAATCCTCCCTACTGTCCGATTTATCTACGAATGGTGAGACTGTAAGAATATCAAATACCAACTTTACTATCAATGACGCTGATAAGCTATTATTACTATTTGCTGGCTAATGAAAGATGAAAAAACATACATGTTAACCTAACCCGCCCTCTCCTGACCATGGTATCTTCAATGCACGATGCAATAAAATGATAAACAATCACTCCCGTCGATGGCGAAAAGAACCGTTGCCTATAAGAAGAATAAGACGGGGTAGATAGAAGACAACGACGATAAAAGCATCCACGAGAAGAGAAGAAGAATTAGTCAAAGGGCAAAAATGCATGCATGCATACACACGAGCGTGCTGCTGCTCCATACGGCCGAATGGCTTCCGGCTGCCGGGGGTGCTGGCTGGCTTGATTCCTTTGTACCCCGGAAGTCAAGGGTTAGAGGGTATAAGAAAAGGTTAAGTCGAGGGTCAGAATGCAGGTTTCTTTCTTTCCGTTTATTTGGTGTGATTGGTCCCAACATCGTTACCACGGCCGCTGTTCATCATGTGCTCCATAAAGGTCATGTAGTCGTACTTTGGGACATCCCTGTCTTCCAGGAGGTCAGGCCCCGTATGCTTGGGCATCGACTCTACTAGGTTGTCGATAAGTTCATCCGGTATTAGAGAATGCCGGAGGTCAAGTTCTGTCACATATGGCTGTGGTGAGAGTAGTTAGCCATGGAGTACATTAGTATTCAGAGGGGGGTTAAAATAAACAGCTCCCAGGAGAAAGAGCGCGAAATTCAATGATGTTATTACCTTCCCGTCAGCTACCTCCTTGAAACTCTGAAGGACCTGTTCTGCTGTGTTTTGATCTTCAGTAACGCTGACCATGAACCGAATGAACTGTTCAAAGCTGACACCGGCGTTTCTCTCTAGACGGCTGGGGCCGCAGGTCTCCACGAAGACCTCATGCATCTCATCTTCATCGTACACCAATCCTAAACTAGCCAGTGCTGCCGAGAATTCTATTTCATGCAGCGTGTTTGTAGAGTCTCGGTCAAAGTGTCTGAATACAGACTCAAACTCTTCCAGCTGTATTGGGGTTAGATTGGTCATATTTCGAGCAACCATCTGGTTTTCTAAGAACGCTAGCTTCTTCGCTACACTGGATTTGACAAGGCTCAATTCATAGGAGAGCTCTTCAAAGGTGTAGGTAGTAAAGTCATTCTCTTCAATGTTAGCTTCCTCGCACTGCTCATCGAGGTCCTCTATAGTATCGAGGAAGGCATCTAAGGGAGGAAGGTTATCACTAAGCCGCTGAACGTGCGTTAATTGATCTTCAACGTCTCCCTCGAGACCTGAGATGGCCAGTGAGAGCGTGTTCAAGGTTAGAGCGAAATCATTAGCCTTGTCTGCAAACGATCGCCGAAGGGCATTTTTGATATCACGAATAGTTTCATTGATCAACTGGCTTCGCTTGTGCTCATAAGTAGTTAAACTGGCCCATTCGTCGTCCAAGACCTCCAGACGTAGTTCTGGTGGTGGGTCATAGGCTCGCAGACGGTAGGTGCTTAGCTTTGTCTTGATATTTCCCAGGAGGGCAGCAAGGTCAGACTTCTCAGCAACCCATTCGCGCTTCTGGTTCTTTTTGTACGCTGCAAACTCGCTGGCTTGCTCTTTGGCATCTGCGTATGTGCCTGCAAATGTTGAGTTAAGCCATTTTTCCTGCTGAGCAGCAATGTTCTTCAACAAAGCTCTCATCCGGCGCTCAAAGGAGTTTTGCATCTCCCATGCTCCCTGCATGTTCTGGACGAACTTCTCCACACGTCTACCGGCGTTCTCTACCTTCTCAAGCTGTGAGAAGGCGTGGAACCAGTAGGCAATGTACGTCATAAGAGAGCGTTCGTCTGGCTTTGCAACATCGCACACGTCCTCTACATCAAGCAAATCCGGAATGCCAATATGCTCTGCTGCAATATCAAATGCCAACTGCATGTTCTTCTTATGCTCGGTCTTGTCTAGAGCGTCGAAATCGATTAGGTCGGGCCGATGGATATCCAGCAGTGCGCAAAACGCCAATCCATCGTTCCAGCTCGAGGAGAAATCCCTTACTTCCACGCCCGGATAACAAGCAGTTTTCCGTTGGCACCATAGCAACAGTCCCTCCTTTGCTGTCATGCCCTCCTCATTGATATCGCTGATCGTGAATCGCAGAATGAGCGTCCATATCAGGCCGAGAATTATCTTCCTGTTTCCGTCAACGATATCTTCTGCACCAATGTTGGTCATCTGTATCCCCCTCCCCTTGATAAAGTCGAGACATTTGTTCGCATTTTCAAACTTCTGCACTCGAAGCTTTGGCTTTGAAGCATATCGGCCCAATGACTCGTTCCCAAGTATCTCGAGGATGTGAATGAGGATAACCTGTGTCAAACCATACGCATTAGTACCGTAATAACTCTTATCGTCATCTGAATACTGACTCCATCTGAAAGGTCTTCCACCAAGTCATTTATGGCGATGTTCCGGATCTTGAGCTTGGAGTTTAACCTATAGCCAACGGTTAACAACCCAGACACTAATGTAGGCCACGGTAGACACTATTGAACCGTAAACCTACCATTTTGTGAATGTCTTTTGCTGGACATTAATCCATTGCTTCTCCACGGTCAACATGTTTCCAGGTAGCGGCACAAAAAAGTGGCGGGCCCTGGCCTCTGTTTGGGCCCCTGTAACAAAACAACAAACGCTGCGTCCACCCGCAGGGGAATTTTTTTCGTAGGCTAGCAAATGTCCGGGGCTGGGATCGACCACGCTATAGTCCTTGATAGCAGAGATGGCGTAGAATCAACCTCGGGGCAGGTGTGTTTGCCAAATTGAATGTTGGTTGTTGGTGGATGTTTTTCCTTGTCTCATGTATCAGGAATCAGGAGTTGACGAGGGAAGGCGAGCGCGCGCCAAGGCCAACAGCCGCGCCGGCAGCGGTGGCTGGTATTTTGGTCATGTTGGCCCAACCAGGCCGGCAGAAGCAGGATATCTGTTTGTTTGCCATGGTTTGCCTGTGGTCGCTATTACAATCGTCAAGTAGGTGATGCTGATGGTGTTGTTTGTCGATGTTGTTGCTGCTGTTGTTAACACATACATAATAATACTCCCCACGGGTTTTCCACTCCATGTTTGATACCAATGATGATGTCATGGAGGTGGACAGGCCTAATATGTCTGATACGGTGGTTCATTTTACTTATCTTATCCGGTCCCTGCTGGGCTAATGCAAGCTGCCGATCTTGTAGAAGCTGTTTGGGCCGTTATTTGGTCAAGCGAGCTCATTTCCCTTGTCTTTGGTCGTGGTAGATAGCTGGTATTCGGCAAGGTAGAGTATAGAAGATACCTGCTATTAATCTACCATCTACATGAATCAATTGAGATAAGACGAGGATACTCAGCGCTAGGAATATATATTATCTTAGGCTGGAGCAATTATAGCAATCTCCCTTGCTGAATAGAACGCCGCTAACAGGATATATCTATGGGGGAATACGAACATGTGTTGTCCCTGGTGGTTATGAAAGAGACCCCCTTACGAGAACATCCACAGATATTCTATCGGCATAACACGACAAAGCATACGATCGACTAACAGATCGCACAGGAGCTCTGGGTGCTACCATATATATGACAGTACTGAGGGCGTTTACTTGAGTACCTTGGCCATCTTGGGCTGGGCATCAATAGAGCATCAGCAAGTTACACGGCTGCTAGATATATATAACATTACAAGCCTCAATGGGCCTCCCGAGACGTTAAACAGACGAAAAAAAGGACTATGGCACAAGTATATGAAGCTTGTTTAGGGAAAGCAGCCATATATCAAGGTCGAGTCGAACAGCAAGTTTCCAAAAGGTTACGGCGCACAGCTTGAACGACGATAAGAGGTCAGTATAAAAACGCCAGAGGGAGCATCCTATCCTTACGGAAAGTCTGCCGGTTTTAAGATTAGAGTTGGTACTACATGCGGATTTTGCCTCTCTGCGAGAAGAGAACCAGTCATAATAGGCCAATCTCGAGTTTAATTTAGGAGACGTGCATTCCATCTGGGGGATCCAGATTCTCTCCTGTCTCCTAGTTCATTCAACTTTGTGCGGTATGGGGTAGTCGAGGATATGATAGTTGTGATCTCGACCAGCCATCTTGCATACGACTGGAGGAGATCCTAGCAAGTGATGTACCCCAAATGTGCCACTGTAGCTCAGGAATGATTAGGGTGGTATATCAGATCATCTTCTTTTGCCATTGAAGATATGACCAGCTGGTGGCTCTTCGTAATGGTCTAACTGGGGGTGGTATCTATCTCTTGACACGGAAGCGGCTGATGATCGCCATATGGACGGACGTCCACCAGCAAGCTATGGAGGTGTGAAGCGAGTACTCCGTACTAGGTAGGAATCAAACACTAATTGAAATGGACTGATCATGGCCCATTCTCTGCGGTATCCAGAACTGGTCAGTTGCTTGAGAGTGTTGAATATCTGTCTGTAAGCAAACATTCAACGGTGGAAGTCAGCTTTAAAACGCCATACATACTCTGTACCAAGACCACGGTTTTATACATCGCCATTTCAATATGTAATATGCAATAATGCACCGGGAAGACCGATATATTCAAGGGTATGATGCCTGCCAAGCAGAGAATGCATTCCATCGGCATTCTTCTTGCATAATTCAGAGAAGATGACCCCTGTGGTATCGCAAAGCCGATAGGCTAGCCTTGCCTAGTGAACTCTATACAAGAATTCGATAGAGGATGGATTTTCGGACAAGACATGATCCATCATCCATCCACCTGCAAGAGAAGGATGGAGAACGAAGGAACCCAGTAACAGGATCCCAAGAAGCGCATCCATACGGAGACAGCAGGGGTTAAAAAAGGCGCCCGGCAAAGAAAAAACCATGGTCCCGTCAGCGTCTCGGCTCTCCCACTAACTACTAGCTTGGTATATACTCGCTAGCCGAGCATCCCATCCCAAGAAGATCCAAGAGTGATGTCAAGTAGAAAAATTTCCCTGCTGTCCCCGCCCCTTAACTGCGAGTATCAAATAGGCGCAGATCAATCAGCGGCGGCGGCGAGAAAGAAAAAAATAAAAGTAGCTGGCCGCCGCCCGTCACCAGACGCGATGGAAATTCGATCAACGCTGCGGGAAATCAATAGTTTTTCTAACCACGATATTGGCTCCATACGGCGTCTTGGGGAGGTCGGGGCGGCTTGGTCGGTTAACGTCAAGGGGAAGTTTGGTGGTGGTGGTTTTTTTTACACATTTCGTCGACCCAGAGAAAAGAAAAAAGGGGGCAAGAAGCGTTCTAGAAAAGTTCGATGAAACCTTCCTTGTCAGCGGAGAAAAACCCACTTTGTGTCAAGCCGGTGGACTGTTTTATGCAGGCGTATCAGTATGTATAATTGGGCGCCTTGCTGATAACAGCGGTTATGTCCTCTGGTAGTTTAGTGGTGGGTGTGTTGACAACGCCGCAGCGGTTTTCTTTCTTCTCGGGGCAAAAAAAAATATGAATACGAACGGCCAACTGTTAGTTCTCTGAGGCTGGCTGGCTGTCTTGCATGGAGTGTGAAAAGTTACTCCATATATATGTAAGTCACGCAAGACCGTGAGATATTCAGCGTGTTATTCCCGTAAATAGAGAAGGTCTGCAGCAGGGATGTCGAGGCCTTCCCCACCCGCTAGATGGCCTAAGTGTGCGGGTCCTGCTTGGGAAATTGACCTGGGTCGAACAGGCTGAGAGAGAGTAGGAAAATCGTCACTCTCCATCTTTCCGATCGTCCTCAAATCATCGTTTGTTCTTTCATGACGTGAAATTCTGCTTCTTTCTTCTTCAGACGCGCTTCCTTCGCGCGAGGATGAAGAAGTGCCCGGCTAGTCCCGATGCGGCAAGTGATCTACCGAAAAGGGGCTATAAATAGTCCCTTCACGTGACATTAAGGGGTTTATCACGTGATATCGCATTTCAAGACGGGTTGACGAAGAAGCGAGATCAAGGGAAAAGAAAGGAGACGGGCTGATGAGAGATGAAAGATCGCAAAAGTTGATGCGGAGGAGGTGGGGTTGTAGATGATGCCGTTCATGCAAGGCCGGTTCACGAGGCGTCGGAAAGAACCCATGTCCAGGAGGGATCGAGATGGCAAAAGTTTGCTGTCCTTTGCTGTAGATACTTACTGTGTGCTTGTATCAGGCTGAGCGCGCGGGAGAGAGAGAGGCAGAGAGAACAGGATGAAAAGGAGGAGCCGGTATCGCTTAGCAGTTGAGAGTCATGAAACATGAAGAAGTCCGTGCATAGAAGATATATTATTCTGATTATCTGATAGTTCAGCTGCCCTAGCCTGGCGAGGCTGGCAAACGCATCTCGATAACCGGCGAGGGCGTTTGTATGCTTGAGCAGGACCGGACAAGAACTGGCTGGGGTGGCACTTGTGTTTCAGAATTCTTTGGGCTGAACCACAACGAGATCGTGAGATGCTGCAGTATCTGTACTCTGTCTGTACGTACGTGCATGTGAGGGGTTCATGCTCCTGTCGTTTGTTCACTTGTTCACCCAGAGTCGACGTCGGTTTTTGGTCCTTCTTTCTATCACTTTTAATTACCGACTGGACTTCCGGAGTGGACCGCCGACCTCTGTTAATTACGGAGCAGACCAGCTGATATCCCTTTATATATACTGATGATACAACGATATTAGTATCCAGTGTCAAAGTCTTATGTAGACAGTCTCACCTAGAAGCAACGCTGTCCGTCCGCCGTTTGTATGTATGTATGTATGTATGCATGCATGTATGTAACGACGGACTAGTAAGTCGAAGTAAGTAAGCAGGTAAGTCCCTAGTAAGGATGTATGGTCCCTTCGATCCCAGCACCAGAAGGACCAGAGGATAAGGTTGAAAGTCCGCAGGCTCCCTTGCTGGCGAATGAGGGCCGTATCAACCAGGGCAGGAGATCTCCACCGCGCAGCGAATGGGCTTTCCAGGCTCTCCTGGTGAAGTCGGAGGCTGTGATCCTCGCATTGCACGCCCAATCACGCCGTCCGGCAGGGCTGACAAGCATCTCCAACCCGTCCTTCCTCCTGCTGTACGGTATCGATACCGAGGGGGGGAGGGAGGACTGGCGATCCGCGAGGCTTGCACTCTGCCTGCAACCGTCTCTTATCGTGACATCCTACCGTCGCCAAAGGAAAACCGTCATCGTCTCGCTCTTCTCTTACCTTTCCTCCTCTCTTCTCTTCTCTTCCTTGCCTGCTTCTTTGCTTGCTGCTCGTCGTGTGCGTATAATATAACTTAGCAACTTAGCAGCTTGGGACGTAACATATCCCCAAAGACTAGCGTATTGCCAATACGGCTAGGGGCTGTCGAGCCGGCCAAGCGCGCAACTTCCTGCCTCTGGCCGGCGGGTCTGCTGTCCCGATCGGGCATGGCGCCGTAACCTGCCGACCTCCTGTACTGTCACGCCCGTTACCGCGCAAGGGCAAAAAAACGCCCTCGTCTTCTTTTCTTCTTCGTCCTCGTCCCAGACTTCGCTTTCGCTCTTCCTCTTCTTCTTCTCTCGCTCTTCAACTTCTCGATCCTCGACGCTCGACCTCGACTCCCCGAACTTCGACTTCGACTTCGACTTCGACTCCCACCAGCCAGCTTTCCCTCCCCGACCAGCCGTCTCGAGAAGGCCGGCTGTCGCTCGTCGCATTCTACTACCTCCTTTTCCTGTCGTCGACGCCGTTCTGGCCGATACATCCAGGGGCTCCTTTGTTCGTTTTTTTTCCGCCGGGTGTTCATTGCCCTTTGCCACGAACCACCTCCCCTTTTGTCCGGCCTTGGGCAGAACTTCGCATCGCCGGGTAGCTGCCAGTTGCGCTGCAGTTCATAATAATGTGAGTGCGCTGTCCTTTCCTTCACTTTTTTTCTCTGGCCAGTGTCCAGCTGCATACAAGTCTTTCGCTGTTCTCTTGCCCTTGGTTTTTGGGGGCCGGAACCTCAAGCCAGTAGCCTATTTGAATACGGACTCGCCCTTGGACCTCCCATCCCATCCCATTCCTGCATTTATTTTTCTCTCCCTTCCGTCCATCGCCTTTTCGTTCATCTTTAAAAATTAGATAAAAAAGAGTCTCAAGGCGTCTCTCTAACAGCTTGCCATCAAACAGATACCATCGTTCTTTTAATTCATACTGTTGATCGAGCTTTCGTTTGATAAACCGCCAAAATGGGTTGCGGAATGAGTACTGAGGATAAGGAGGGGAAGGCCAGAAACGAGGAGATCGAAAACCAGCTTAAGAGAGATAAGCTGATGCAGAGAAATGAAATCAAGATGCTTCTGCTCGGTAAGTTGCTGTCGTTGTCGTTGTCGTGTGGCTTCCGATGTTGTACCCGATGTTCAGCCGCTGACAAGCCATAATCACAACAGGTGCTGGAGAGTCTGGAAAATCTACCATCCTGAAACAGATGAAGCTTATCCACGAGGGATCCTACTCACGCGATGAACGCGAGTCGTTCAAGGAAATCATCTTCAGCAACACTGTCCAGTCTATGCGTGTCATCCTCGAGGCCATGGAGAGCTTGGAACTACCGCTCGACGACCAGCGCGCTGAATACCATGTACACACCATTTTCATGCAGCCAGCTCAGATCGAGGGTGACTCTCTTCCCCCAGAAGTCGGTGCCGCCATCGAGGCCCTGTGGAAGGATGCCGGTGTCCAAGAGTGCTTCAAGCGGTCAAGAGAGTACCAATTGAACGATTCTGCCAGATAGTACGTCTAATCTTGCTTCGACTTTTGGGTATACCAATGAATACTAACTAAACTTCTTACCACAGCTACTTTGACTCCATTGGCCGAATTGCCGCTCCAGACTACCTTCCTAACGACCAGGATGTCCTCCGCTCTCGTGTCAAGACCACCGGTATCACCGAAACCACCTTCATCATCGGCGACCTTACCTACCGCATGTTCGACGTCGGTGGCCAGCGTTCCGAGCGTAAGAAGTGGATTCACTGCTTCGAGAACGTTACCACCATCCTCTTCCTTGTTGCCATTTCTGAGTATGACCAGCTCTTGTTCGAAGATGAAACCGTCAACCGAATGCAGGAGGCTCTTACACTGTTCGACTCCATTTGCAACTCGAGATGGTTCATCAACACATCTATCATCTTGTTTTTGAACAAGATTGATAGGTTCAAGGAGAAGCTACCCGTCAGCCCTATGAAGAACTACTTCCCTGATTACGAGGGTTCGTTGTCCCCACTCCTCCGCCTAAGCTCGCTTTTCAATCTCGTTTACTGACACAAGACGCTTTAGGTGGCGCTGACTACTCTGCTGCTTGCGACTATATCCTCAACCGATTCGTCTCGCTAAACCAAGCAGAGCAGAAGCAAATTTACACACACTTCACCTGTGCCACTGATACTACCCAGATCCGATTCGTCATGGCTGCCGTCAATGGTATGTTGTTGTTGACCCTTCCTAATCCTCATTTCAATAAGTTATACCTATACTAACATCATTTTTTTTAGACATCATCATACAAGAGAACCTTCGACTCTGCGGTCTCATATAATGCATCTCTCTTAAAAAGAAGTCCCAGCTTCCTGACCTCTCTAAACCCCCCGGGTCGTTGTCTTTCTTTCTATCTTACGTGTATTTGATATCCCAATAATTAACCTGCTAAAAATCCCCAGCACACCAACGCGACACGCCTCCCGCCTTCTTCTATCTCTCACCCCTTCCATCTGCTTCGTGTGGCCCTGTGATCTTCCATTCTCGTTTACTCTTGTTCCATCCCACCCCAGGCGTCTCGTCGACCGTTGAGTCTTATGCCCCCCATCTTCCATTCTTGGATTACTATAATTTCCTACTAATATGTCCATTGCCAATGTACGCAAGGGTATTCTCGTTTTCTTTTTCCTTTTTGTCGATTCCCTTGCTTCTCCTTCCCCCTTTCCTCCTTCAGGGACCTATCTCTTCGCTACTCTACCAAACAAAACCTCATCGCTCACCAATCAACTAACCAACCAACCGGTCAGTTCCCGCTGATCTCAATGCCCTACACCATGCTTTCGTATTGGTCGGCGGCATATTTACGGATTCCACGTCAATTGCTTTCCTTTTTTTGTTTTTTTCTCGCTCTGTTCTTGTTGAGTGTTCTGATACTTCTTTTCCTCTTTTTCCTTAGTATATCCGCAATTTTCCTCTCATCCATCTCACTACGTCTTTCCTTTCAAAGGTATTCCCCCTTTTGCTTTTCCTCCCTTGTCTCCTTATCTCTCTTGCCTATGGGGTAAACCTGTACAATTCCTCAAATGCAGTTCTCTTCCCTATCTACATGTCGGTTCGGAATTCAGGAGGGTAACCATGGCCGTAAATGCTATTCTATAATTTTCATTTTTCTCATTTCTTTCCTATTCTCTTCTTCCTTCACCCTTGTCTTTCTTTCTCTTTTTCTTTATTTCTTATTTTGTGTTTTATCCTGTCTCTTTGCATCCCTGTCGCTTATTAGTTTTTGGCGAAGTTTCTATAGAAAATGATAGCAATTCGATGACGTTCAACATGACTCTTTCTTAACTCGCCTCGTTACCTACGTATTTAATCCACCGACGAACTGAACCTTCGCTAAAAACATAACTTATCCCAAGCAGACGATACGATACGGGTATATAATCACAAAGCCCAACCCGCTCAAAAGCACCATACCATTTCTTCAAAACCTCAGCTTCGGTCCAACGTATACAATCATAATAGCAACAATCCACAGCCCGAATATCCATAAATACATCAACATCCTCCCCCACCACCCCCTCCCTTCACTCATCCGCCGAAGCATGCTCATCTTCTGCCCCGCCGACTCCAGCCCAGTCGTGTTTCTATCCAACCCCTCCACAGCACGGTCTATAATTGACTTCTCGGACTCGAGGGTTGTGTTGAATGTCTGCGTAGAGGTTTTCAGCTGCTGGGCAAGCGTGAGCAGGGAATCCGTAAGGGACTCTTGTTCTTGCCTGTCTTGCGCCAGCAAGGCTTCGGGGTCGACCTCCGTTGCTTTCCTGGAGTGGTTTCGGGGGCGGAAGTGAGTGTTGGAGCTGGGACTGGGTTTTAAGGGGCTCGCGAGCGTAGATGTTGTCGGATATGCGGAAGTGGTAAATGTCCCTGTTGACATGGTAGCGGAAGAAGGGTGGGTAGTGGTGTCAGTGGTTGTTTGAGCTGCTGCTGCTGGAGTTGGTATTGTACTTCGATTGCGTAGTGTGTTCGAGCCAAGTGCTTCGCTGTGAGCGGACGCAGAGCCGTAGGATGAAGACGGTGGTGTAGGAATCATGGAACTCATGCTTGCTTCTGATGTAACGGATTGATCCTGGCCTTCTGTCTGTCTGGGGTCATCCCTTATATGCGAGGAATTCATGGACGCTCGTGAAGAAACGTTTTCCGGCGTGACGCTGTCCTGTGGTGTGGGGAGGATATCTTCTTCATCTTCTGACGAGTAGACGCTTGCATCCGCTATGTATTCGGGGGAGGTCGTGGTGTTGGCTGCTGCCCTTGCGCGAGCATGCGCCTGCGTACCCAGATCATCTAGTCTTTGTCGAAGTATCTTAAGCTGTTGTCTCTTCTGCGAGAGATCTGACTGAACGGTTTGTTTGCGTTGGGGGTGCTTTATATCTGCCGAGTTCCGCTCGAGCTGGAGTAGTAAATTGCGGCCATATTCTATATTCTAAGCGGATATTAGCAATCTTCACGCCATCAACCTAGCAAAATTGATCTATTAAAGGAGAAAAATGCCTTACAGCACCAACACGCGCTCTATGATATTGCGATCTTAGCAGCGGCTTCAAGTCTGCAGAAGGGGATAGTATGTTGCTTTCTAGTCTAGATAATAGCTGAGTGAGGTTTATGGAGGTGGTATTGGGAGATGAGTATGCTTCTGATAGTTTCCGCGCCATGGCTAATTGTAAAATTGTCTGTCAAGCTGTTCAACCAATTTGATAACTGTCTTCCATTTCTGGTCCGTCCCTTACGGTTCTTCGTTGTTTGATAGCCAAAGAGTTATCTGGCAAACGCCAAGATTTTTATGCCAAGAGATTGATAACGTTGATTAGTCATCAAACCACTTTTGGCAACCAGAAGATGCCGATGTCGACTATCCACATTCACAATAACACAAGCGAAGCGCCGGGGCCAATCTACAGAATAGAATACCGTTCTTTTTTGTTCTGTTGAGAGATTTAATTATATGGCTGGAAAGAGGCGTGGAAAGTTTCTGCTGCTTGATATTATAATGACTCGTATTATCGGCAGAACCAGCGTTTCATGGATCCGAAAAGTTGAATATTCACAACTCGCTAGAAGGGAGACTATATACACGCTTGCAACCCTGTTCTAGCATAAAGCCCAAGATCAATCCTCCTGATTCGTTTCCCATGGCTTCTCGGTGACCCCCTCTATGTATACGCCACCCTTTGGTCGCCACATACAAGCGTTCTCTACGGGCAGCAGCCGTTCTCGAGCTTCCTTGAATTCCTTCTGCTTCTCCTCCGAAAGGGCCTCGGGCATAGGACAGTCTACATCCCAAGCATCCGTGGTGATGAAACCGCGACGCTCGTAGACTGGACGCCCGTAAGGAGTCGCATCAAGCCAGCATTCATAGTTGAACTCTTCGGCCTTATCCAGCCCCCATTTAAGGAATAAAGAGCCAACGCCATATTTACGATATGACGGTATCGTAAATGCAATATTCAGAACTAATCGTAGACAGTTAGTCTTATTAACGGAGAATAGAAGAGTATTCAATCCTTACAAACATGGGGTCTTCTGGCTTTCTTTGCGCGGGGTGCAGTCGTATCTCGGAGGTAGTGTGTTGCAATCACTCGTTCCATGGAACCCTCTGGATACCAGTCGGCAACGGCCTTTTCTCCGTTATAAGCCTCGTACGGGTTTGTGTGGTGAATTTTCCATAGCGCTGCACCGGCAATCTTATTATTTGCATCCTTATCAACAACTTTTACCCACTGGGCGACGGGGAAGTCGTTCCTGTACTCCTCCTGGAAGAATTTGATGCTATCCGCAAGACTCTTTCCCCGGTCGTTATTGAAAATAGGACAATATATGCGAAAGAACTTCTGGTGAGGCTCCTCGTAGGCTTCCCATAACGCTGTGATTAACTCCGGGAAGTCCGCCTCCCCTACCAGCCGTAGTTCCAGATGCATCGCTTAATAGTTGTTGATATCTCGCTTGACAAGGAAGAAAATGTTATGGGCAGCGCAAACAACATTTCTAGGGGTATCCTTAAGTATATACGGCCGGCCAACTGTAGCTATGGGGCATGGTGGAGTGCTTTTTACGGTTGCTTGGTCTGGGCGAAAGTTGCTAGGGTTGCCCTGCGCATCTTGGGCCATAAAAGACGCAGAACATGAGTCAAGCTCGTATGGGTGCGCTGCTCGCCTGTTGAAGATTGAACGATGGTCCTGAGCGTCTCGCCATGCAAAGTCTGAAGGGGATTTGCCACGCAAGCGGCTCGACTGTTCTTTGAGATGGTCCGTTAGTTACTCTACATTCTTATTTATTTGGGTGCCTACGGATCGTATACCATACAAACTCGACTCAATTATAGAATGCATGCCGTAGTTTTGGTAGGATTATTTGGTAGAATGACTCGTATTCGTGAATAAAAAGGGAAAGTTTCGTGCTTGAAAAAGCCACATAATGGGATGGAGAGATATGCTTATATAAAGAAGTAGCTAAGAATTATTCATATAGAACAAAGATAATGGTTTCGTTGAGGGTATCACTTCGTAATAGGCATATCATCCTATGTAAAGGGTACAAGCAAAAGAAATAGAGTAAACACGTAAAATCGACCATATTAGAGCTCAAACGAATAAGGAAGTAGTTTTCGGCTTTGAAAGAAACTCCGCCGCTAACGGTACTCTAGAACTTTTCTCCGCCAATTTTTTCGAGTCTCAGATCCTACTTCTCTAAATATCTGAACGGACTCTTTCTGAAGTCGTGGGGCAGTAGAATTGGTTGACGATGATTCTGGTTGCGTAAATTCTCGCTCGGTCAATGTTGTTGTGTGGTTTTTCATCTCCTTGGCCGCAGACGGCAATGGTAAGCTCGCCATATCAAATGGCTGTTGAGGCCCTGAGTTGGAGAGTGATGATGCTTCGAGTTGGCCAGCATTGGTCTTGTCTGATGTATTGGGCATTTGGCTATTTGGAGGGCTGGCCTCTTCAATTGATAAGTGAATCTGGAGTTTCTCGCCCGTGTTGTTGGAAATATCAATTGCGCGTGAGTACTTTTTGGCGCCCGAGTCTTGAGAGGATGACATTTTGCGCCCTTGGACCCGTCGTATTATGGCGAATACGAGCAAGGAAAATGGTAAGATGATAAATAGCCTTGAAAAAGGAGATATGTGTGAAGTTGGTAGTTGGAAAGAGCCCTGCTTGATGGGAGCCATGATGAGAAGATAGCGGGTATTTTATATGCAGACGACGTTGATGGCAAACGGGAAGGAGTTGGATATTTTTTTTGCCTCCTAATATATCACTTTAAAGAAATGGTCGAGATGTGCAGTAATGGAGGCAAAGGAACTGGATATCCATGCAAATGCAGGTGTAGATTGTCTATTTTCATAACCCAAAAAAGGAAAAGGACATATATCTATGGCAGAAGGTGACAGATATATACAGCTGGGGCAACAGCCGTAGAGTTGACGATCAAGCCGAATCTCTGATCCATGCATCTAGGCTACGAGATGAGGGAAAAAGCAAGAAACGGAACAAGGTCGGAAGAGGGCACGCCGCAAGTGTAGGCGTCATCTAGCCTTCATCCCGCTTGAAGGAGGTCAAAGTTGACCACCCAGCTCCAAAAGCCAACCGTCTATTTCTTGTAACGGTGGGCCCGTTGGAGCTTGAGGAAAGTGTCTCCGATGTTCCCGAGATTCCATAGCCCGCGGCTCTGGGCCCACACCAATGAGAAAACTCAGCTTTGAAAGTACTGAGACAACCTTCGTCGTCCCTCAACGCGCAAACGAAGACGATCCTGGGCGAGTTCAGAAGAACTACCACTCTGGCAGGCCTAAGCGCCGAGAGAACATTCGGACGGAAACGCCGGCATCCTCTGAAGATCCCCGTGAAACAGTAAGATGCTCCCTACCATCCCATCTATGGCGTAAGGGGTGGAAGGTTGGTATCGTGGTGGCATCAGTATGGGGCGTAGTGCTTCGCATGCTCATACGTAGCACAGCGCGAGCTTTGTCGAATAAGACGGATCTTGCCCCGCAGCGACCAAAAAAGTTGAGAGCTCGATCGACGCCACTATTTCACAGGGATGGGTTCGTTGACGGTCTCTGGAAGTGCATTTGCTGTTTTGAGGCTCATGTTGAGTACAGGGATTTGCCGAGTACGGCCGTACAGCCACTATACTACTACCCTTCATTCCAACTGCTTGGCCTATTGTCTGCTTGACAAATCCATGTATCTTCCCAGTCGCAGCTGAGCCGCAACATGAATACGGAGTACAACTGCCGTATTGCATAGTAGGCTCAGAAGTGACGGGTTGGTGGAAGCGAGCAAGCTGACATTCAGCGGTTGTTCTTCTGACAAGAAAAAGCAACAATAGAAGTTCAGCTGGCGAGGGCAACACCTCTGTCCATATCGGGACTAGCGTATTTAGACACAGCCACGATAAACACGTGTGTATTTATTCACCAGCCACACGCCACCAGCCACCAGCCACAGCCTATATAGAGCTTCCTACTATATAGAAGGCATCGGCCACTTTGGAGAGGAGGAAACTGACAGTGCTCTATCTCCAAGGAAAACCCAGGCCGGAGCTCCAGATCTATGAGCTGATATTTTTCGCCTAGAAAGCGTGAAAGTTGGTGCAAGCCTTGCGTTCCGTTTGCTGACTCCTGGTGGCTATGTGCAGGCTGCCTTGTACACTCTAGGCATACCAAACGAAAAAAGTGACGGGGAAAAGATTCGAGAAGCTATAACCGGGCTGATTGATCCCTGTGGATACCATCATGGGTTCTTACTGTGTCGCCTGGAATCGGGGTGTCTCTCATTTTGGCCAAGAGGAAGACTAGGAAGGCACCTGGCTGGCTGAGGTTGAGGTAGCGCTACATTTCCCCCTCCTTCGTCTGAACGCGAGGTGGCTTAGAATCAGGTATACCCATATTTTTGATATGACTATTTGCAGGGAATGTTAGTGTTAAATTTAGACATTGGGACCATGGGAAGTATGTGGAAGCGGACGTGGAAGGGTTCTTGTTTCCAGAGTTTTTAAGAACGTCACCTCTCAATCACTCTTACCTGCTTTCTTGTTGATACCACTTAAATGAAGGAGATGATGTCAAGAAGTACAAATTTCCTAGTTGATCCGTCGTTGCTCCATGCTTCAAGCATGTACTTACTTGGTAGTATTCCTACAAAGGCGGTGCAGTCCAACTGGAGCTCAAAACTGCTTGTCTCGCTAACAAAAGATAACTACCAGGATTTTAAAGCTGACCCTTGGCAAGTTATTTTGCATGACTCAAAGCTAGAGGGTGTCTGTAATGCCACAGAGCTCGCCCATCCGCATCGTTCAATATTATTGGAAGCTTTGGGAAATGTGTCTGCCTGTAGTCGTAGATCGAATGCCTGTGCTCTGGATAAGCCCGATACAATCAGGACTGGGGTATATGAATGGCTAGAGCTGTTCCGCCTCTCCACTGTATGCTTGGAAGTTAGGCTCCGCCCAGGCAAGCTCATGCACGTCCTACAGTTCATAAATTTGAGCACGGCTAACCGGATGCGAGAGGCACTGGTTCCTTGCATCGTATATGACGCTACAGGGCCGCATTCGCAAGTGCAGGAAGGACAATCAAGTCCTAAGTTGTTTGTTGTCTCAAGCTCAAAAATGTTCCATCTCGCCAAAAGTGACCAAAAAAGGACGGAAATCTATCACGTGATATGGACTTCGAGACTTGAGTCCAAATTCGGTCGACTTTACAACAACACCTCGAACCACCAGCCAGCCCAGTTGGACAAGGATAGCCTGGGAAAAGAGCCGAATTAGCCTACGCATCAACTATGCATGCGTTTGTCGTGTTACATGGCGTGCTGCAAATCCTTTCCGGGAATCCATCTGGTTCAGCGAGATGAGATCTCGCATGAAGCTAAGAGCCCATCTCAGCTGAGGGTGGCTTTTCTCTCCTCACCTCCCACGGAGACCCGGCGTCTAGAGCTAGCAGATGCATCGTTTATAGCATATAGGGCTTGGCGATTGCCGGCAGTCATGCCGTACGTGCATAGGTATTGAAACATTAGTTATCCATGGTCATCATTACCGGGGCCACGTCTCCCAGGTTTCTATGTACAACATTATACCCCGTCTTGCTGATTTAAGCAGTATTCAGCTGGCTCGAGTATTGATTGAATGCAATAACATTCCGAGGCAACCATCTCCGGCAAGAGAAATGCTGCCCAACTATCCCCCTCCAATGGCTGGGTAAGCCAACTACTGCCCCCGACCAGTACTCCAGTCACTCTAAAGTTTGGCGAATATCTGGGGTAATTCCTCCTGGACCTCTTGAGCTGCTCTATCTCTTAGAACCTTTCTGAGAATCTTGCCTGATGGGTTCTTAGGGATCTCCTGGACAAACACTACTCCGCCAGTGAGACGTTTCGTGGGAGCAACGTTCTGCTTCATATAATCGATTATTTCTTCTGCGGTTGCGTTTGTGCCGAACTTCAGAGTTATATACGCTCGCGGATATTCTTCGCCGTTCCTATCAAAATATCTTGCATTAGAACCACTTTGATTGACAGCGCATTATGCGGGGTCGGCATATGGGGTTTCTTACCTGGTTATGCCAATGACAGCTGCATCTGCTACCGACGGATGGTCAAGAAGTACCCCTTCTAGCTCTGCAGGGGCTACCTGGTTTCCCCTCACCTTGATAAGCTCCTGCAGATTCAGAGAAAAGCATAGAGTTAGCGGGAACGTGTGAAAAAAGTACCTTGGGTGATGCCTCATTACCTTCTTCCGGTCAACAATGAAAAATTTCCCTTGCTCTGTCACATAACCGATATCCCCAGTCTTAAGCCATCCGTCTTCCGTTAGAGTTTCTCTGGTTGCGTCCGGCTTGTTCCAGTAGCCCTTCATGACGTTGGGCCCTCTGACCCAAATTTCCCCTCTTTGGTTCCGGTCGAGCTCCGTCACACCATCCTCGGCCATCACCTTCCCCTCACAGTTGGCATTAAGCTCTCCCACGGATGAACTTGTACCCCGTTCATTTGGATCCCAGCCAAGAATAGAACAGGTAGTCCTAATATAACGCCATCTCGTTAGCAACGATATACCCATAGACCTTCTGAGGATAATGTGTATTAGGATCGATATGAGAAGATTACTCACTCAGTCATACCCCAGCCTTGCCTGACATTAAGCTTCCCGGGAGGAAACATGGACTCGACTTCCTCACTGATTTCTCTTCCTAATGGAGCGGCTCCGCACCCAATTGACTCCAAACAACTGAGATCATATTTCTTTACTAGGGGATGCTTTGCTAACGCAATCACGATGGGTGGGACAGTGAGTATCTCGTTAATCCGAAATCTTTGGATATTTTCCAACATTTGAATGAAATCGAACCGAGCCATGATGTATACAGGGATCCCTCGCCGAAGAGCCGAGGCTATGAAAATGTTTTGTCCCATGGCGTGATACAATGGCAAGAAGCAAAGCCATTTAGACCTTGCTGTCTTATTCTCATAGTCGTGGTGGAGGGAGCTGTTATGGTTGAATTGAAGGAGGTTGGCCACATAGTTTTTATGGGTGATTTCTACCCCCTTGGGGACACCGGTTGTCCCGCTGGAATAATTCAAGGCCAATGTTCGATTGGATTCTCCGGGGGTTGATAATGACTCCCAGACAAACTGCCTTCCTTCAGAAGGGGAAGCGATGAGGTTCCCCCAGTAACGGCAACCACGGGCACCATTTCCTGCACCATCAAACACTGCACTGCTGAATAGGAACACCCTATCGAGGCCCATACCGATGGACTTTGCTGCAGCAATTCCAGTATCTAGACTTCCGTCGGCGCACAAGAGGTACTTTGCTCTGCTGTCCTTTAACTGGTATGCCAGCTCTCTTGGGGTATATGTAGGATTTGCACCGGTGAAAATCCCGCCAGCCATCACGATTCCCATAAAGACCACAGGGAAAAACAAGTCGTTTGGGGAGAATAGGAGAACGCGATCGCCTGTCTTTAGCCCGGATTTCCTCAGTCCAGCGGCGAACCGCTGGCACCAAAGACGGTAGTCATAGGCAGTGAAATAGTGAGTATCGGGGCGGGCGGCATCGATAAAGCTGCATTTGGTCGTTGATAACGTCGCTGTCGGTGATCCAAAGAGTACGGTAGGTAGTGATGCGTTAGGTATCTCTACTGACCATCTGGATTTGAAAACCATTTTGAGCAAAATGGGAAGGAATTATGATATGTGGTTTTATTCTGGAACCTTGTCGGCCATATAGTTAAGGACGGAGAGGCAAAGTTGTTCGAAGGGTAAGCTGTTATATGGTTAACCTCAACGTTCAACCGCGAAGATGGGAGATCAACAGCGTTTAATATTCTTCCAATTTTTCTTTATCAGTCTCGAGTAAACAGGATAGCAGTCGACTGCATATACAGAACCAAGTCCAAGATTGCGGGCTCGGATATCGCCTTGCTCCGTATTCACTAGCGTTGGCTTGAAGCCCAGTGAGTGCTCAGTCAATTTCTTTCAAGGACCCCAACCGCGGACTTTCTTTCAAACTGGCAACCGATCTACGACGTGCTTCACGATGGCAAATACGGAGTAGAAGAATCGAGAATATTGCGCCTTTGCTGCAAGTCTGTTGAGTCTTTGACGATGGGTACTGAGTGCTTTTTTATACGTTCGGCATAACCACCAACCCGCCAGCATTCATTAACTACTTCGAGCACCGGTCCTACGGAGTGACTAGTTACAGCTATAGTTATTTCTTAGTTACCGCATCCACCCACGACAACACAGCTAAAACACGGTGAAGATGGGGTCATCCTCGGCTTCGGTGGAGTGGGATCGGCTCTTCGAGAACACCTTGTATTCCGAGGCCGAAAATGGCGCGTCTCTCAGCCCTTCCGCCGTGGGGTGAGGCGTTGACAGCTACATATAAAACGTAACTGGCAGGTGGTTATGGGCTGAACTAGCTGGCGTCCAGTTTGGAGTTTAAAATGGCTTGGGCGGCGATATGTATCAACGGCTACCAGATTTCGCCTGTATGCTAGTTCTGGCTGCAGAATCGAATGCCTTCCCTCTAGGCAGGCGCACGCAGTCAACAAATGCGGTATCAACCGAATGATAGCCGATGGAGAAACCCATTCTTTAAAGCACCTCAGCCAACGGGAGAGAGAAGCAACCGAAAAGCGAAGGCTATGGCTTATGCCAAAATATGACATACTTCTTTGCATAAACCTTGGCTTAATGATCAACGTCCATCAGGCGAGAAAAAGAGCCAAATAGGAACCGTCGCCGAAAAAAGAAACGAAGGTAGGTTGGCTTTGACAAAGCGAACTTCCCTCCCGCGCATCTCGAGTCGTACAAAGGGTCTTGTGGCGTTGAGATGTGTTTGAATATACTCATTCCTCCGTCTATGATGGCTAAAAAAAAGATCTAGAAAAGGATTGATAACACAAGACAACATTGACATTCAAAAATGGCTCATATACACTTAATCATCACTTCCAGCGCCCATACATGCAATGGCTGTTTGAAGCTCTTTCACTATCTTCTCTTCCAACAAGCTCTCCGCGCCACTTGATGGATTTAGCGGCGGTCTCTGCGACCAAGCGGCCTCCTTTTCATTTGTTGGCGTGATACGCGAGCGTAGGACTGAACGCTTCTCCAGCAAAGCGTCAATATCATCCTTCACCTGCACCCTGTCCCACTTGAGGTCTTGAATGTTCTGTGGATCTACACCTGCACTTGGCCCTGCATCACGGAATTTTTGGATAATCATCGAGATCAGTGCGAGAGAACAGGCTTCGGTTGCCATCCCAAGGGATAAACGTTTGGAACGATGGCTCGTAGCTAGACTGGAACTGGGAATGACGGTTGGGTTGCCAAGTGAGAAGCCAGTTGATGCTCGTCGAAGCTGGCCATCAAATTGGTTGAGGAACGCAGAAACTTCGGGCACTGTGCGCCCAATGTGGTAGAGTAAGTTCAAGCAGAGTGGAAGGAAACCGGAATTCCAAATGGAGAAAAGCCTTGGGATAGGATCGAATGGGCCGCAGCCCTGAGGTTGGCGGAATGCCTCGGTGAGTCTGAAGGTTGACAACTTGACAAGTATTCCCTCTACTGCAAGTTGCTCCGCAATGCTTGGAATGCAGGAAAGCTCTAGGAGATACAGCATGCTGATCTCACCATAAACAGGATCGCCTTCAATGGTAAGCTGATTTGACCATGAGAAAAGGGTTGCAGCATATCGAATAGTATCACTATCAGCCAGGTGGAACGCGATCTGTTCGTAGATGCGATCGACATCCTTGACTTTCAAGGAAGTTTGCAAGATCGCTGTTAAAATGGCAAAATCCTTTGGTGTGCATTTCTCAGGCGAATCGTGTAGGTGTGTGCATAGAGATCGGTAGCCATTTGCAACTACGTTCTTGATAACATCGACAAGGACAGTCAGATCAGAAGACACCTCAGGTTTCTGGCTGACGGCTTCGGGATTGACTAGATTAGCGCCTGCAACATGGAACTGCAGTGTAAGGAACAACACATTAAGCAGAAGACCATAATACTCTGTGTTGTCGTGTAATAGGGCGCTCTCGTATGTTGGGTTACGAAGTCGGATCGTTTCCCATGTAACGGATAGAAGACTGAAAACCTCCGAACCCCTTGCCTGCACTTCAACGAGGCGGTGAACCAGTGCTAGAGCGAATTCTGCTCTTGTTTCAAGGAGTTTAAAGAAGATTTGCTCATCAGGTATATCATGAGAGTTTGCAACCAAGCAACGGCGGACAACTCTGGCCATAGACTTTTGAACTTCCCGGTCAGGCATGAAATCTGAGCAATGCTCGATTGCAAAGAATTTCCAGCTGTGCAGGAGTGACTATATTACCAGAGTTAGTAAAAGTTAAAGAACTGTATAGTCCAAAAAGACTTTGGCTTACCATCTGTGCTTCGACGAGAGATAGGTTTAAATTGGCCCGTTTAACCTCTTCCACGAATCCTTGGTCACGTTTACCAATCCAAGCGAAATCGTAGCCAAAGAGTTTGTTGCCCATTGGGACATCATAGTAATACTCCTCCCCAAATTCCGATTGAGTAAGCGCAGTGCGTTTGATATTGGTTATCTTGCTCTCGCGATATTTCATCTCAAAGTTGCGTTTCAGATTTCCGTGTAGCGATGCATTGTAGCCATCAACTTCAACAGCATTTTCCGAAAGCCAGGTGACAAGTGGTACCAGAGTTTTGAAGAAGGTTCCATCTCTGGCCTCCTTAGCACTGTGTAAGTATACTGTGCAGATATCGACTACCAACGCTGCAATCTGTATATTCATGCACTTTTGGTATGGCTGAAGTTTATCGACATTTAGCTCGGTGATATATTTTGTTACCACGGAGAAAAAGTTTGGATGTTTCTTTAACTCTGGTGTTACCCATGGCCAGTTTTCTTGGGCTTTGGCGATGAAATGCAGCGCAGCAACTGCAACTTGGGGTGGAATAGAAGAGATAGAGGACAACAGATCTAGAGAAGCTTCCAAGAATGGTTTTGATTTCATGGATGCGGCTGGTTTATCGGAATCTGCTTTCAAGGACTCCCGGGGTGAGCAGCCTGTGAGTAAGAAAACAGCAAGCCACTGCTGTCTCTTTGTTATAATGGAGGTTACAAGCTTCCAAATCGCTACCTTGACGTCGTCGGATCCAAATGGTCGATCAAACTTGGCTAGAGCATCCAGGAAACGACACGATGACTCGGCACCAAGGTGTCCAAGCAGAGAAGGCGGTTCCCTATCCTTATAGGCAGAGGCGCGAGATACAAGCAACTCAAGCAATGTAGCGACTGGCAGCTGATATCTGCGATCAAGAACGAATAACCTTGCGAATACGGGCGAGGCGCTAAAAAGTTGTTTCTCAAGCGCAGATATGGGAGCGTCCGTCAACCATCCAACTTGTATTAGGATCTTGGCCAGGTCAATTGTCGACACTATTAAAGTACTGCATTCTACGGTGGATTGAACCATGTTTTCGGGCACATGAGATTCAAATCCACCTAGAATAATTCGCAGGATAGGATTAGATGGAAGACTCTCGTTCAATCCTGGCCGTAGGATGTTCAATAGGTATTTGGCAGAACTCGAAAAAACAGCGGTTATTTTATCGTCAAGATCTTGGGTATCATCGGTTCCGTAAACGTAATAAAGAATTTTATGGAAATTAGTGGCTAAAGAAGTGTTGATTTCGATTTGTTGGTGGATGTCATTGAGTTTCCAGCCGGAACCGCTGTTGTATATCTCCACCATAGCCCGAACGAAGTTGAGCAAACATGTGCGCATTGAGCGTACGGGAATTCCGGCTGTGTATTCGGCCACATAGGAAGCTGAAGTGACCTTTGCAGTTGTCCTTCGAAGCGCAGCATGTGTGATGGCATCGTCAACAACAGATTCAAATAGTCTGATAGATGACAGAAGGAATGAAAGATCTCCGGAGCTTGCTTCTACCGAGAAAATTATCTTATCCAACATTCCACCGTTCCCAGTTGTTGACAGGAAAGAACTTCGAACTAGAGCTGGCCAGACCCTTCCAGGAAGAACCTTGGTAAGAGAAGATACAAAATGCATGCATGACATGGTAAGGTCGAAGTTTCGATTGCTAGAAGCAGCGGCGCTGGCGCCCTGGAGGCTCCGTTCGAAAATGTTGAAAATTACAGATATGATATCTGCATGACGATCCAACCCATCACTGGCCATTTCCAGTATTCGTTTGGCGGAAGATTCATGTCCATTTACTCTGGAGATGGCATATGCATTATCAATCAAGTCAGCAAGTAACCCGATAATGTCTGTAGCCACATCGTCGTCAGGGGCATTGTCACTTCCGCGGCTGTTGGTGCCTTGCTCTAGCCACTTGCCGAGGAATCCAAGGCAGTTGTACTGGTGGTGCCACATTATCACAGCAGGCTTCGACTCGCTGACAACTTGGCCAACTGTGACTGCAGGAAGTACAGACAACTCATTAGCAAGAACCAATTCATGGGATGTTTGCATTGTATCTCGTTTTGCAGAAGCAACCTCCTTCATATCCAAGGGGGCAATAAGCTCAACATAGTTCGCATTTTCATCTTCCCGGATTGATCGGTACCCCTGGAATCCAGATGCAACGGCCTGTGTATAAGTAGCCATGGATTCTAGCTCATGGCAGATTATGGGTAGGCCATCTTCTGTTGATAGGCTGCATCCTGAAAGAGCTCTGCAGAACTTCAAAAAATTGGCGGCTTCGTAGGGGAACCGAGACTTTGCATTTCGGAAGATTTTTTCCATTAGAATCTCATCGGTCAGGAAGACAGCTCGGGGATCGTAAGCGTCGTCGAATTTTGGTTCCTTGTCTAGGCAATGATGTTCAGCTGGCTCCGATACGATACATAAAACCGCTGCAACTAGCTCGGGGATATAGTCTAGGTATTGAACTCCAGATCTAATCAGGTCCAAGAGCTCTAGCTGACCCCACTGGCTTACCAGGTTTTCTCCTCTTTGTCTTGGGACAGACCGGAGCTGCTCTGACATAGCAAATATGAGCTCCAGCAAACGACATCTATCGACAGCACTGGAAACGAGAAACCTGACAAAGTCTTCATCAAACTCAGGATTGCGTGCCTTTTCCCAGACTTCCTCGTATATGGATGATTCGGAGAGAGCAGATGGCGCTGCGAACTGCGTGCTGTTGTTGAACGACTCCACAGCGTGGTTAGCCTGCTGGAGCTCCCTGTCTTCTTTAATCGCCAAGGCGATTTCTCCAACCGAGTACATGATAACGGCCCAGGAAAACACTGCTGCACTCGCAGTTAGCCGCCCAGCCTGGGCTGCTCTGAGGAATATCTCATTAATCTCGCCAACGTCCTTCTGAGATAAGAAATATGGAAGCTTAGTTGGCTTTAGTTCGGGTTTGTCCAAGCGCGCGGAGGAAGTCTGGAGCTTGAGAAAAGAGAGTGTTGTTATGGATATGAGAGTTTGAAGCTGGGAGCAAATAGCTGCTTGCTCCTCCGTTGACTTATTTTGGAGTTAGCTCAGCATGAAAGTAAGAAACAGAAGCGAACACTTACTGGACGAATAGTCTCCAGGAATTCATATTCACTCATCAACCTGAGCCAGGACAGGAGTACATCGGCCGAGGGGATTGCCTCTGAGGACCTGACCTGGAGGAAAATGAGGCTTAATATCTGGACGAGTTCCTCTAGAGCGCTCGCCTGCCAAGAGCTTTCCATCAACACGTCAAGTCCTACCGACTTTGACCACCAACTGCCAGCTTCTAGGCCCTTAACGCGTAGCCGGAAAGCCTCAATGCAGCTTGGAATGCTAATCTCGGTCTTTTCAACTTTCAATGTCCCGCACTGGCCGTTGAGGATTGCGCGCCCTAGCCGGCTGGCCTCCACAATAAAGCCATCACCAGACCCAACAGATTGTTCAAGTTGTTGATCTCGTCGTGTATCTCGTAAGGACGTTGCTATCAGGAAATGAGCCAGTTTAAGTATGTATCTCTGCTCTGATAACCAAATATGGAACAATATTTTCTGTCTCGTTTCCTTGGATTTCAACGCTGCTGACGATTCGGTCTGCGAGCCAGCGTACTTGAGAATGCTGGAGGCTTCGATTCCGTAAGACCCATGCGGCGACCTTCCAATCCCAACGGCGTCATGCAGACTTGTAAGCTCCTCCTCTGAAAAATGGGACAGGAGTTCGTTTTCGCGTCGACGCTGCCAGGCTAGCACGACCATGCGCAAAGCGGACAACTCGTCTATGCCGGCCTCCTTGCTCAACCATAGCGCATCGGACTTTATTTCATCTGAGTCCGAGTTATTCTTAGAGGAGGTGACATGAATAGCGGCGGTCTTCGATTCGAATGCTGTCTTTGAAGCACTGGATGGCTTAGGAAAGGGGGAGTAAGGGTTTGAGAGGATGCGGAGACCGGTTGAGGAACAGAGGAAGTCGGAAATATTCTTGTCAGGATTAGACTGATCGCCTGCCCTTGCTATAGACAAGTATGCGGTTTTCCATGATCTATCCCGCGGTTAGCATGCTCTTCAATTTCATGGGGCCCGGGTATTAAACGGGGGGTATGTATGCGTACATGATCTGGCTGTCACCAAAGCACTCGTCCAGCGATGGGAAGTAGACGTCCGACGGCGGAGCCATGAGCGCATCCAGCTATATCATGGTCCAGGAGGGACACCGAGGGAAGATCCGAGCCTGAGGGAGCACGCGGGCTGGTGCTAATTGATCGGTCAGTCTACGGGCAAGTATGAAGCTGGTGCTGGCTGCTTTTCTTTGCGTGAGGAACGAAAAGTTGAAGCTCAAAAGGAAAAAATAAGTCAACAAAGGTCGATGCCTATCTGGGACTAGCGCCGATTTCAAAGCCGCCCTGCCTTATCTTTGAGTCTGGTCTTCTCGCATTTCGCTCTATATAAAGAGGGACGGCGGACGGCGGGAGGAAGACAGACTCGTTTCGACAGCAGACAAGCAGACAATCAGACAATCAGACGCAGACGACAGCCAGCGAGCCAGCCGGAGACAGCAGAAAGCCAGAGGAAGAAGAGCTATATCACCATGGCGCTGGTTGACCATTCACCAAACCACCCCACTCCGTCTGGACGGCTTGAGAACGCCTCCAATGTGATCCTGATCGATAACTACGACTCGTTTACATGGAACCTGTACCAGTACCTTGTCCTGGAGGGTGCGACGGTCAAGGTTATCCGCAATGACGCTGCTACGCTGGAGGAGTTGATCGCGGAGAAGCCTACCCAGCTCGTTCTCAGCCCCGGCCCCGGACACCCCAAAACCGATGCAGGCATCTGCAACGAAGCCATTCAGCACTTTGCAGGAAAGATACCTATCTTTGGAGTGTGTATGGGCCAGCAATGCATTATATCCTCATTTGGCGGAGAGGTGGATGTCGCGGGAGAGATTCTACACGGCAAAACCTCGCCGTTGAAGCATGACTCAAAGGGTGTATACACCTCCCTCCCGGCTTCGTTGAACATTACACGCTACCATTCGTTGGCCGGGTCAACTACCACTATCCCAGATTGTCTTGAGATCTCCTCGACTACTGATTTGGGTGATCCTAATCGGCCCGATGTCATCATGGGCGTGAGACACAAGAAGTTCACCGTCGAGGGGGTTCAGTTCCATCCAGAGAGCATCCTGACCGAACATGGGCGAGCTATGTTCCGGAATTTCCTCCTGACTCGAGGAGGCACTTGGGAAGAGCACAATGCCTCAGCTCCTGCTGCTGCTGCCGTTGCGTCTACGAACGGCCAGTCTAGTGAGATGAAGAAGGGGTCCATTCTCGATAAGATCTACGCCCACCGTCAAGCTGCAGTCAAGGTGCAAAAGGAGATCCCATCTCAGCGCCCAGAAGATCTTCAGGCTGCATACGATCTTGGTATTTCTCCTCCACAGATTTCCTTCCCAGACCGTCTCGCCAAGTCTCCTTTCCCCCTCTCCCTGATGGCTGAGATCAAGAGAGCTTCCCCTTCCAAGGGCATTATTGCTGCATCTATTTGTGCCCCAGCTCAAGCCCGGAAGTACGCCATGGCCGGTGCCAGCGTCATCTCTGTGCTTACTGAGCCGGAGTGGTTCAAGGGCAGCCTGGATGACCTACGTGCGGTTCGACAGAGCTTGGAAGGCATTCCTAACCGCCCCGCCATTCTACGAAAGGAGTTTGTGTTTGACGAATACCAGATCCTTGAAGCTCGCCTCGCTGGTGCTGATACCGTACTTTTGATCGTCAAGATGCTTGCGGAGCCCCTCCTCAAGAGACTCTTCGATTACTCTCGAAAACTTGGTATGGAGCCCCTGGTTGAAGTAAACAACCCCGAGGAGATGGCAATTGCAGTTAAATTGGGCTCTAAAGTCATTGGCGTCAACAACCGTAACCTTCAGAGCTTTGAGGTTGATCTAGAGACTACTAGCCGCCTCATGGGCCAGGTCCCAGAATCCACCATTGTCTGTGCTCTCAGTGGCATCTCTGGTCCCCAGGATGTTGCGCCATACCAGAAAAATGGAGTCAAGGCAGTTCTTGTTGGAGAAGCTCTGATGCGCGCCCAAGATGTCGGCGTGTTTGTATCTAACCTCTTTGGAACCAAGCCTGGTCCCTTTACCCAGACTCCCGGTGCTCCCTTGGTCAAAATCTGCGGAACTAGATCTGCCACTGCTGCAAAGGCAGCGATTGAGGCCGGTGCTGACCTGATTGGTATCATTTTGGCGGAAGGCCGATCAAGAACGGTGTCCACAGAGACTGCACTGGAAATTTCAAAGACTGTCAAATCCACGCCACGTCCATCTCCATTAAAGACGCAAGCTCCTGCCCATGGGGACGCATTCCTTGCCTCCAACTACTTTGATCATACTACCGGTCTCCTTCGACACCCGGATCGCGCTCTTTTGGTTGGAGTCTTTCAGAACCAGCCTCTTTCCTACATTGTGGCTCAGCAGCAGAAGCTGGATCTCGACATTATCCAGCTTCATGGATCGGAACCTGTTGAGTGGCCATCTCTTCTCCCTGTCCCAGTAATCAAGAAGTTCTCTCCTTTGGATCTAGGAATTTCTCGACGAGGCTACCATAGCCTTCCACTATTGGACTCCGGAGCAGGCGGTACTGGTGAAAGGCTAGCCCTAGAGCAAGTCAAGGCTGTTCTAGAGAAAGACCTTGGGCAACGGATTATCCTAGCTGGCGGTCTTGACGATAAGAATGTTGCCGACGTAGTTTGCGCGCTTGGCGATGAAGGAAAGAAGGTCGTGGGTGTAGACGTCAGCAGCGGCGTTGAGACTGACGGAGCACAGGATGTTGAAAAGATCAAGGCATTTATCACTGCCGCCAAAAATATTAGGAACACTGCTTTGTGATATCAAGGTGCTGCCTACTATTTAGATCAGTGCTAATTTTCCGGGCGATAAAGGTTGTTGCTCTTCTAAAATTGAACCGCTTCGTTTACATATACTTTTATGATAATGAGCTGAGGTTAATGTCATTAGACCCCTCCGGGGAAAGTATGGGAATATATCTTATTCAAACCTATTTCCCACTGCTAAAGCGTACAAGTGATTGCTTTGCAGATCTAACGATCAATCCTCCTCCGTTATCCTTTATAATATATTTCTCTGCCTTTAGATCTTCGACGACACCATTCAAAGGCCAATCGAATTCTTACCGACTCCCTCAACGGAACTACATCTGGCCGCTAAATTTCAGCTACCAGATTTGTCCATCACATTCACCTTCGCTTCACGTCTACAGCTAAGTGAAGCCCAACTGAAGCTACAGATTATACCCAAAGCCATGGGCCGAACATTCAAGCACATCACCTTAAGTGTGACTGGTGAATTCGGGCTTATTGCAGACAAATTCAAGCAATGGGTTGAAGCCAACGGCGGTAATTTCTCTAGAGAAGTCAATAGCGAGGTAACCCATTTGCTATCTACTAAAGAAGCCTTTAAGAAGAACAATAATGCCGGTACGCTGAGCAGATACACGATTGTATCCATTCTAGCTATTCCAATTCTACTTAGCTTTCAATAGCATATCTGTCCAACTTCTTATTAATACTAACGATATACACCGCAGTAAGAGCAGCTAAGCGCATCAAGGGACTAAAAATCGTTTCTTCGGACTGGTTGGAGGATTCACTTTTGTCAAAATCACGACGTCCCAAGCGTGAAGGCCCGTATCTATGGTCTCAACTGACCAAGAAAGCAAAGAAGAAGGCAACTGGAGGGAAGAAACTGGACAAAGGCACAAATTTCATCCAGAAGCATGGTCTATATAGCCTCCTTTGATGGATTCCCTCGAGTTGTATAGCCAGATAGCTAACATTTACCCCCTGAACCAGGCGGTGCAGTAAAAAAGAACTCGGAGCTCGGTAGAATATCTCTTCTCCTGATACTCTATGGATAGCGATGTTATATTATGGTCTAATGACGGTCTTTTTGGTAGATGGTCATCATATATACTCCGATGCAGCCGGAACTCGCTACATGGCCACACTCATCCGACCAATTGAAGATTCCAAGGCAAAGGAAAAGCATGTACTGAAGGTATTGATATTTATACCCCGAGCTCAATATTATTAACACCTGAATCGTTGCTTAATACCAATACACATGCAGCTCTACGAGTCAGACAATACCCCACATACATACGCCGTATTTGCAAAATACACCCGTCCAGGAAGAGTAGGATCGGATTATACTGTTCCCGTCGGTAGTCCTTTACCCACTGCAATAAAGGGATTTGGTAAATTCTTTCGCGCGAAGGCAGGCAAGCCGTGGGATAAAAGGGATGGCCCATCAAAGCCTAGGAACCCACATGGTCAAGTTGTGCACCCTTGGGATGACTGGTTTCAATATAACCCAGAGCCTTCGCAAGCTGCTACGGCCACAGTTAATGCGGCAGAGGACGTTAAGTTAAACTACCAGAGCATAGATCATTGTGTTTGAAGGGATGGGTAAGGTAATGCGGGTGGGATATAGTGGTGTTCTAATCTGCATTCCATAATCTTCAATTTGATCATCAATGCGGTCAGTTACACGTTTTTCATCACAACTTCTCAATCTTACTACTACTGCTTTTTGAGATTGTAGAGTACTATAAGTACCCTAGAGTTAATGATACTCCTTACCTGGTAAAAGATTGTAGGATTTAAATCTACAAAGTTTTCAACTATATTGAAGCTTGTGGTAACATCAATTTTGTAAATGAGTGTGGTGAGATGCTACAGCATTTTCTCCTGATCTATTTATCTTATCAATTCATATTGTTTTCATCTTTTTTTTTTCCTTTTCTGTTTCTTTTCTCGGCCATGGTTTCAAATTTTTCTCTCCTTTTTCGAACCGGGATTTAATATTATGAATTTTTTCTTTTTCTATTTTTTTTTAGTTCTCACCACCGACGTTCACTCCCGACTTTTGCAGTCTCCTTTCATGGGCATCTCTAGCAACCGCAGTGCGCAAAGCGGCTGGCCATCACTGCCAGCCGATATTGATCAACACAAGTGGGAACGCATGTTGATGTTGCTAGGCATAGCGGGATTCTGCTGAGTCCAGGAGCGAATATTGTAGGCGTGGGCATTGTATGGGTGTATCTCCTGATATTTCTTCCAATGCGAGCTAACAGCAGGGGGCTGTATAAAGAACTGGACCAGGCGGGTTGGGTGGAAAAGGCGAACTTCTCAGTGCACCTTGCTGGCTCAAGTGTAGTGCAAAGTATTCGCAGCGTTTAGCAATAGAAACACGTGGCAGCCGTGATAAAACGACGGCGGTAAAAATAACCTATGGCGTAACAGCTGCAGGTAAGGTATGCCTGTGATACTATAATCACCTATACAGCGTGCAATCTTCTGCATCCCGGCATATGTAGACAGGAGAAGATGGAACAGTTCAGTCATAGTTTCCTCCGACTTGGCTTGCAAACGCGGTTGAGACGCTGCGGGCATCGTCGTCGTCTCCAGAATGTCCTAGGTTCTGGCGTGGGACACGGATTCCAGCAGCACTTCCACCGAAGACACTTCCGGCGTCAGTTCCGCTTCGGTACGTCTCGGGACGACCGCTTGATTCAACGTAGCGCTTCAGACGATCAGACTGGCTCAGGCTGGTCTGCTTCTGGACATCATGGATACTCAGGCCTGAGAGGCTGACCCCACCTTGACCAATGGTACTCCTTCCATCAACGACGCTGCCAGTAACATCGGACTCCGTAGCTGCGACGGACTCGCCCGCAACGCTTGGAGCGCCCCTCATCCTGGAACCGTTTGGACGTCGGTTATTGGGGCCAGAAGGCCACGATTCGGTGAAGTTTTGGAACATATGCGGGTATCCAGATGGAATGGCGACACCACCCAGAGCAGATGAATGTACGGAAGAAACGTCATCTGGGATATAGCTAACGACTGATCCGGCATCGTGATAATCGTGGTGGTGTCCATTCCTTCCATTCAGCATGCTGCTATCGACGTTAGAAGCATGATTAAATGACATCTGGAAACGCTGAGGGCCGCGGTAAGCTTGCTTTGGTCGGCTGAACTGAATGAGGGAGGTTTGCAGGTTGGAAAGTGGGCCCTCTACAAGACAGTTTTGTTCCTTAAAATGGCGTAGCAAATAGTTCCACAGCGGATGCTTGGATAGAACCTTGGGATTTCCGAGGATGACCAGGCCGTACTTCGCACGGGTAAGGGCCACGTTCAGGCGACGAGGGTCGCTAAGGAAACCAATTCCTTGGTGGTCATTAGATCGAACGCAGGAAAGGACAATGAAATCCTTTTCACGGCCCTGGAATGCATCGACTGATGCGACTTCAATTTCTTTGTACCACTCCTTTTTGAACGTACCGGTCAACTGCATAGAGCTGACAACGTAGCTGCGCTGACCTTCATATGGAGTGATGATACCAATCCCGGATGGCTTAACGCCAGCCTTGAAGAAACGAGTAACAATTTTCTCGACATTGGCAGCTTCAGTGCGGTTGAGATAGGATGTACCGGAGGCAGATATTTCCTCATTCCCTAAGTTCGACCAGAACATCATAGGTTTATCTGCAACAGGCCAAGGGAAATCAACATTTTTGAGCAGACGGTCCTCGCTGGAGACACCGTTCTGGAGAGAACCCTCGTAGAACATGTTCGAAGAGAACTGAGACAGACAGGGGTGCATGCGGTACTGAACGTTTAGACGGATAGGCGCACATCCTAGAATAACAAGTCGTTCGAAGAGAGACTGGTTCAATCCAGCTTTGGCAGCCTTCTTGTTCATGATGACAGGTCCAAGCTGCTGGTGATCACCGACAAGGACAGCCTGCTTGCATCCTAGAACAAGTGGGATCATACACTCTGGCTCCGCAGACTGGGTCGACTCGTCAATTAAAACGGTTCGGAACTTTGACTTTGCTAGTCGTGGGTCACCGGCACCAACGCAAGTGCAGCAGATAACGTCGGCGTTAGTCAAGATCTCCTTCTCAGCAGCACGGGTAAGCTGCTTATATTTCTTTTCATCCTGGCTGGAAAGTTCACCCAGCTCAGTCTTCAGCTGGTTAAGCTTAACAAGCTCAATATTGCTGTCATTGTTGCGGACTTGTTCATGAAGGGAAAGGTGGCGAACTGGTGATTCAACATCTTCTCGTGACTTTGCAGTAACACGAACGGTTTTCAGTCCGGTTCTATGAATACATTCGCAGAGCTGGTCGACGGCAACGTTCGATGGGGCACAGACGAGCACTTGGCCTGCATTGACCTTTGCAAGGTGATAGATAATGGTCGCTGACGTGACAGTTTTTCCAGTTCCAGGTGGACCCTGGATCAAACTCAGGGGTTTTTGTAATACTGCCTTGACGGCATTAATTTGACTGCTGTTGAGGCCAGGGAGGCCAGGAACGCTGAATTGCTTCGGCATCTGGGTCTTCATAGGGGCCGCAGCAACCTCGTTTCCGAGCAGACGATGGAAAATGTAACCTGACACACTCATCTCGTCCACAGCAAAGGTCTTCATTGCAAGCTGCATACGATCAAAGGAGGTGGCCTTCCAGACATAATCCGCAGTAAAGTTATGGGATATCTCTGTAGGCACAGACTTGTGGTCTCCCTTTGAACGCAGCTCGATGGTAACTTCGTCGGACTGATTGTTGGGGATTTTGATAACGTATCCAACGCCCTCCCACTTTGGTCGAAGCTCCCCGGCATATTTGAGACGCATTTCGTCACCGACAGCAAGCTTCACGTCACCAAGCTCTAGCTTTGGGAGAACAAAGCTGGCAAGATGCTTATTGTTCAGGCCAAGATCCCATCGCACGGTGAGGCCATCTTGCGACTGGGCCTCCTTTAACTTGCGGTCATAGTCGGCCTCAATTTTGACCAGGGGACCAAATACGTTTTGATACTGGTAGGCATCATCGTATCTGAGCAAAACCGGAGCTGGCTCGTCATCTACGTTTGTAGCTTTCTCCAAGTCTTCCACAGTTGCTGAGGCGTTTTCCTTCCATAGTTCTTCCAACTTGGCAATCATCTGAGGGCTGAGGTGACGAGCTCGGAGCTGTTCTTGATCAGATGGCGCAGAAACAAGCCACGGCAAGAACGAACGATCTTCCATTAGAGGTTGCCATCGTGATGTGTCCCAGTTCATATCCTTTGAAGAGGGCATGGCCGCGCATGGTTGACGGCAAAGCAGCACAACGACAGTATCAGACTTTGCCGGAATAAACCCGAGAAGAAAAACATTCTTCGTTCCGCAGTTATAGCATTCCAATATAGTGTCACCAAGCGACGACGCAGGATGGAGCTGAACTTCCTTGTGGCGAGCCCTGACCAGATGGTTCACGATATGCGAGGACGAGGTGTTTCCACGAGCACTGCAAAACCACTTGTTGCAGGTCAAGCATTTGACAACACTGCTGGGATTATGTATGCCACAGTACCTATATTCATTAGCTCTGTCCTCCCTTCGAAAGACAAAAGGGGGGTATCAATATATCTGTACATACCCGCAAGCGTGTGCGGGAAGTTCTTTTTCCTCCTCTGTCTTGCTTGCCTGTGTCTTGCCGGCACCGCCAATGGCTACACTCGCCATGCTCTCCAGGTCATCATCGTCGTCATCATCGAGAGTATCGGAGCCTTCGTCTTCATCATCATGTCTTCGTTTCTGAGGCCCGCCCGCCATGTTCAACACGCTTTCGTCGCCGTCTGCCGTTGAGATATCGTCACCACTAGCATTAATAGTAGCTGCAGAGTCAGAAACCATATGGTTTCCCATTTTTGTAAACGCTTCCATGCTGCCACATATGACTGGGTTTAGCACAATCGATAATCGGGGAAGCAGTGGAGAGCAGTCCGATCAATGCGCGCAGCCCGGTATAACGGATGAAGCTCCAGGATGTGCTGTAGGATTATCTGCAGGTCTTTATTAGTCTACGGCAATAGGATACTGGAGTCTTTTTCTATTGATAGGAAGATATACCTGAACAGCTTCAGGGCGAGCTGGGAACCTAAAGCGGCTGACTTATCGGCGGCCGATAGGAGGGAAAGCGCCGTGAAATAGCAGCAACCCGGCTGTAGCAAGAAGTATAGGAAAAGAGCGAAGAAGAAAAGAGATCTAAGAAGAGGATAAGAAAGGAAGAAGCATAAGCTGACATCCGGCGAAGTCGTTTGTTCTTCGTCGCCGCCGCTTCTTTTTTTTACTGGCGTAGTTAGTTCGGGTTGGAGTTGAGGAAGAGAGAAAAAAGCCTATCGCGAAGTTTCTACGGTGACGCAGCAAAGCTACTTGCGCTGAACAGAGAAAAAGTCATCAAGACGTTGAAGTTTTTTCCCTGTCCGCAATTCACAGCTGAAGTCGAGCCGGTGACGGTTGTTATATAGTGAGAAGAAAGCAATTATGATAGTAAGTCCTCCTAGTGACTGGTTTACGGGTAGAAACTGACGGAGACGCAGAGGCGACAAGCACGCGAGCGCAGAGACTATCTCTACCGCAAAGCCCTCCAGCTCAAAGATGCCTCGATTGCAGAACGAAGAGCGAAGCTGAAGCAGTCTCTGGCCTCGGGGAAGCCTCTGGATCCGTCGATTGCCAACGATAGACGGCTGAGGGAAGATTTCAAGTACGACGAGTCTCTCCCTACGGGGGACCCAAAGGCGAAGGGAGCAGCGGAAGATATTGATATCGACGATGAATATGCGGTCACTTCAGGACTGGTCGACCCGCGGCCGCTTGTTACGACATCGCGAGACCCGTCGTCCCGCCTGAGTACGTTTGCGAAGGAGATACGGTTGCTCATGCCCACCTCTATACGGCTGAATCGAGGAACGCTGGTGCTTAACGACCTGGTGGCCAGCGCAAGTGCTTCGGCACTCAGTGACATGGTCATTCTACATGAGCATAGAGGAACTCCTACGGCTATAACGATCTCGCATCTGCCTCATGGCCCTACTGCCAGCTTTTCACTGCATAATGTTGTCTTGCGAGCTGACATCCCTAACGCCGCGAGAGGGACGGTTTCAGAGAGCTATCCACACCTGATATTCGAAGGGTTCACAACCAAGTTGGGCAAACGAGTTGTTCAGATCCTATCTCATCTGTTCCCTCCTCGGGAAGCAGGGAAGGTCGGAAGTAGGGTGGTCACCTTTAAAAATATCGAGGACAGCATCGAGGTACGGCACCATGTCTTTGTCAAGACTGGGTACCAGGACGTCGAACTGGCAGAAGTTGGTCCCCGGATGACCATGCGACTGTTTGAGATCAAAGGAGGCACCCTGGAGAAGGGCGCCGGAGGAGATGTCGAATGGGCGCTGACCCAGTACACTAGGACGAGCAAGAAGAAGGACTACTTATGAACCATCTTATTTCCTATACATTTTTTCTTATTTCTTCGGCCAAAAAGGAAAATTAGACGGCGGTTCTTGGGGGCGTATCAAAAGCATCTTATCACCTGGCGTGTTGGAGTCAGTCGGCCTTATATCGATACCTATTTTCCATCCATGTACGAGTCCTACAATAAAACTACTAAATAAAACCAGCTCCTAACTCTTTGTTTTCTACCCTTTAATTGCAACATACTAACAGTCCCTGTAGTGATCAAATATAAACAGAGCATGGGTATCAAATCCCTATCAATTTAGCTAGGGAAGGGACGAAGCTATAGCGCCTGCGCCACGGCAGCAGCAACTGCAGCAGCAACAATAACAACAACAACAATAAGAATAATAACAGCCTTCTTCCTCTGTCTGCGTCTTCTTCCTTGTCTACTCTCCATCATCTATCGTTCCCTAGGCAGACTCGCAATACCCGCTGTGAAAGGTCTATATCATATACATACCAACATCCTAGCCGTGTTTGAACGCCATGGGTGACCCTAGTGGATCTCCCAAGAACAACAACCCGGTTGACGATGTCAGAGAGGAGCTCAACGAGGCCATGCCTCCGGTCGCACGAAGTGCTATCATTCGAGAGACCCTTAGAGCCGCCAGCAGGGACGGGGAACTCACAATAACCGATGTCACCGTGACCAGTGTTGACGCAGCTGGCCTTGGTGTACCTGAATATCCGAGATCACCCCCAGAAGGCTCACCTGCGCGGGCTGGACAAGTTCACGTCATGAACACGCATCCCCTTGTCAGCTCCCATTCGGATGTCAGCCCAGGCCTCGAGGTTATCCAGAGATCTCGCTCGGTTAGGGTATACAATGACGCTGGCGAAGCCACGCCGTTTGGAGATCTGTTGGATCAAGTGCGAACACCGGCAACAAATAAACTCATGACCATTTTCCTTCGACACTTCTTCTGTGGTGTATGTATATCCAGATGTCATTCTTTCTGCTCTGTTTAACGGTATATGCTGACCAAGGTACACAGTCCTGTCAAGAATATGTCCGCGCTCTCTCAAAGGCATTCCCGAACCCAGACCAGGATCTTCCAGATGGCTGCAAGATAGTGCTCATTGGATGTGGTGCGCATACTCTGATCAGTCAATACAGAGCCTCTACCGGATGCCCTTTTGAGATTTACTCTGACCCAACCGCACAACTGTTCAGCATCTTTGCCATGAGACGTACCCTCGACATGGGCAAGCATTCCCCAGCTTTCACTAAACGGTCCATGATGTCCATGACTATGTCAGGTATCAAGCAGGGCCTCAAGCGCATTTTCAAGGGAGACGCTTTCAAATCAGGACGTCCAAATCAAAACGGAGGCGAAATCCTATTTGAATTTGAGCGAGAACAGGCTGGCCGAGCGATAGGGATGTTGGCCATTCGCGCTACCTGGTGCCACATTATGAAGACGACTCTTGATCATGCACCTATAGAAGTCCTCAGGAGGGTCCTTGGTATGCCACTGTCAGAAGAAGAAGCTGCCAATGCGCCCCGGGCTATAGCTGCTGCACCGCTGGGGAGTTTGTTGTAGAAATTCCGGTCTTTATCCTTATCATTATCCTCCCCCCAAAGAAACTGTCTGTCTTTGATGTCTTGCTTGGTGGTTATCACACTAATAATTATGCATTCTACACCCGAAGCCCCGATGCTTCGCTTCCGTCGTTATTCCCTTGCCCATAGTTACTTACAATAGATCGCAATAGGATGATAACTATTTGAATCTTCTAACATCAAATTTTACCAAGCACAAGTTTAAGACATAATTTAATAAATAGTAATAATATTGATATTGATATTGATATATGCATCAACCTATTCAAGGTAATCCATGCATAAATGATAAAATAAAGTAAGGCAGCACCGTTCGTTCTAGACCCAGATAATCCATCCATCCCATGTCCCAGAGCAATATTTATGACATCCCATTCAATGCACATTTCCATTTCCATATCAAACAAAAACAAACATCAAGGCAAAAAAATTAAAAGAACAGCTCAATAAACCTAGGAGGCCGGCTCTCTTCAGATCAGATCACATATACCATGCCCCAGCAAATGCTTCAGATGAAATGGCAAGGGGGACTTCCACATTCATTGACAAACAAAGTGGTATAAGTAAAACAGAAAGCAAAATGGAAAGGGGGCAAGAAGAAAGTGGAAGTGAAACAGGGTTCACCGAAAGGGAGAAAAGAAGGGGAGATACTCGCTAGTATTCGAACAGAGGTCATCACAGGTCGTTACATATGTGGAAAGGGTTACAAAATGTGAATTGAAAATCAAGTAGGAAAAGCAACACAACGCATAAGCAATGGAACTAAAGGGGGTATTAAAAGGAGATAAAAGCCTGCATGGAGAAAAGATTCGCTGATAAACATTGGTTGTATATGGCGAAGGTAAGTTGGAGAGTGTGATGGTGTAGATGGGAGGGAGGTGTGTTTTGTTGGTGTTTTGTTCGGGTTCGGGTTCAAGGTTATTCGTTTGAGGTTATGCTGGCTTTTGACGAGTCGCGTTCAGTAGATATCGCTCTCTTCAGCACAGATTGACCGATTTGTTTGAGGATACCTCTGCGTTCGTTCTTAATTTCCTCGGTATCAAACGGCGGGATGACAGGTGCAAGTTCACTCTTGGTCACTCGGCAGAATAGCGTGGAGAAAAGGTACTGGTCGCCGTTACTGTCGTATAGAGGTAGGTAGCGGAATCCTTGGGCCAAGCTGCTCAGCTTTGCGGTGAAAGTAGCTAGTTGGGTGCAGTTGTTGCCGACGCTCCTACCATCGGGAGAGTTCCAGACGACCCAGCGCACGAAGACGAGGTCTGGGTATTTGGTTTCCAAGGAGAACTTGAACTGGTCGTTGAAGATAGGGTTGTAGGCGTTTCCTTGCTCGATGCCTGTTCGGCGACGGTGGGGATGGCCGATGCCAGATAGACCGTTACGATCGGATGTATCCATTCCTCCTTCTCCGAATGCGAGGCCCTTGGTCTTGTCGTCAGCGCTGAAAACCTCAATTTCGACGTAGGGATTGATGTTTTCGTCGAGACCAATTTGCTTCGGCCGGGGCAGTTGCTGGGCGGAAATCACGTCGATGGAGAATCGGACAAGCTTCCTATCAACTTTAGGTTTTAGGCCTGGTCCCTTCCATGAAGTTGGTGGCAATCGCAAGCTTTCTGGTTTGAGAACGTATCCGGTGCGGTCGGTCCCGGAGGCAAACATAGCTTGGTTCATTTGCATTCCGACATCGTATGTCTGCCAGTTCAAAGCGACCATCTGCACGCTGCGACGCCAGAAGATGTTTGGATCGAAGTTGGATGAACGAACACGGAAGCCAGAAGGGTATACTCGAGTCAAGAAACGTCGGTTGTGCGCTTCGAGGAGAGCTTTGTTCTCTGAGTCTCGACAAATGCTTTCGAATGCCCGTTCGGCGAAGGAATAAACGTGGTTGAACCGTTTGCTTTCTGCAGAGTTAAAACTGTGGAACTTATACCCACGGGTATAAACACCTAGATCAGCTAGATCCTTAACAATCCTGCTTTTTTGACCTCGCTTCTTCTCTTTATGAATGGCAGCTGAGCTTTGGCCGATGTCGCTTTCTTCAGAGGTACTGCAGACGCTTGTTGCTGTGAAGGCACGCCTGCCAAGCGGCGGGGGTACGGGTTCGCTTCCTATGCTGATTGTCGGTGGTGAAGAAAGAGGAGGGAGGCTGTGAGGTGGGTCTTCTAGTACGGTTGGGGGCATGAATGGAGAGCTTGAGCTGCGCTTGCGTCCGGTGCTGATGAGCCCTGGTGGTACAGTAGCCGGGCCAGTTTCAATGATCTCCTCAGAAGTCTTGACTTTAATAAGAACACGATGTTTCAGGGCCTCTGGGCTGGGCAGAACAGGCCATTCATCTCCTAGTGTCTCAAGGACCAACTTCTCCTTGAAAGTATCCTTGATGATGTTGGTCATGGCGAGTTGCTGCTCTGGGTTGCAGTGTACCTCAAGAGAGATGATAAGAGGGTAGTCTGACGACAGGAACGCATATTTGTTGATGACAGAGATACAGTCTGCGAAAAGGACGCTGGTGGTCATCGTTCTTCCATGGGAGACGATCGGACGGCCATCAGCTCCATCCCAGCAATCAACTTCAACACATCGACAGCCCTTTTGAAGCGCAGTGACGTAAGCTTCTGTGCTCGAGAATCCAGCAACCTGTCTTCCCAGGAGATAGGTGTTATGTGAACTTGAAATGAAGTAGTCGTTGAGTGGATGGTTGAATTTTGGCTCGGGAACGTGTGACGGATAGACACCGTTCGTAGAAGATATCAAGAATGCAGAGAATGCATCTAAGCTCATACGAATGGGTGCATCTTCAGGGAGGATAGCGTCCGATTGGCTCTGCGAACGCAGCCGAGCTTTACGGACGAACTTTTCAAAAATAGAAGTCCAGTGATCCCTGTTCCCCTCGACGTTTTCGCGCTGCGTATATTGGACGAAATCGAGAAAGTTTTCCAGGGTCATCCCTTGTGCGTCATCGGTAACCAGACGATCATACAGATCTTTAATGTCTCGGCGGTATTTGAGTAGCTGGAAAAATTCTCTGAACTGTGCGAAGTTGACTCGTCCGGTGCCCAAGGTATCGGCCCGAGCGAATAGGATGCGCAGGGTCTCCTTAGAGCAATTTATATGCAGGCTGTGGCATAGATTTCCGATCCCTTCTCCATCGAGGCTGTTCTCTTCGATTGCCTTGGGGTCTTGGGAAGCACGTCTAGATATCTCTCGTTGCCAATGGGCATTGAGAATGGCCTCACTCTCGACCGAGCCGGTCAAGCCTACCATGAGTCCGATGCGGTATCGAGCAACGTTTTCCAGGGTAGTGGTCCAGAGCTTGAACATAGCTTCGTCAGGGGCAATCAGGTGGACGGTCTTGACCGCGCGGTTTTTGGAGCCTTCAGAGTTGTTGTAGATGATAGTGAACCAGCGGTTTTCGAATTCTTCGGGGATGCGATGCTCCTCTCTGTACATCCGAGCATCTCCCTGTAGTCGTATTTCCTTGATGTCATCAATGTATACCCGCTTGGAAGGATTCGACAGGTTCCAGAAGATTTTCCCAGAATCGAAATCGAGATAGAAAGTCATTGGTTTTTTCTTCAGCTTGTTTACCTTGACCAAGGTACAACCGCGCTGAAGGATGGGGTCAACCTTAGGAGCGGTGCCACTGGCGGTACTGGTGATGGATCGTTGGTAGTCACTTTTAGCGTTGCTGCTGTCAGGGCAGCACCATGTCCCGAGGGTATCGCATGACTCGTCCTCTTCGTAGCTTGAATCCAGAGCGCTATCCCAGGATGCTGAGGTGGTCGACTTGCTGTTGTTGCGTCTGAGCATTGTAACTGGACCAGAGTCTTTGTCACGTCTATCCTGGGAGTTCGACCGCCGGCGGCGGGAGAGCTTGTTGGCGGCTCCTCTTGATATCCTTCTCATCAGGCCGGGACCCTTGGCGTTGCTGGTGCTATTAGTATTATTGTTGCTATTGACAGTGCTATTGTTGTTATTGTTGTTATTGTTGACGGTATTGTTGTTGTTATTGGGTGCGACATTCATGAGGGTAGAGTCAGCGGGATATGTCAGGCTTTGATGAAATGGAATAGAGAGTATTCCTTCAGGCAGGTCAAGAGGGACCGGGTTCTCCAGAGAGGTAGATAAAGGCGAGCTCATGAAGGGCAGGCCAGAAATCCCAAGGTCCGAAGTTTGAACAGGCCCTATCACCGGACTTGACGAGTTTGATAGATGGCTTCGGTGGACCAGTGTTAGGCTTGACATGTCGCTAGCTAGTGTGCTGTAGTTTGCTACCGAACGGGTAGTGGGATAGGACGAAGACATGAATTCTGGTACCCGAGGAATTCGGTGGAAAGGCGAGGCCGACTTAATAGGAGTGGCCCGGGAGCGGCCGACCAAGGCAGGGGACGGAGGTGCGGAGGCCATCTTGAAGATTCACAAATAAGACTGCCGGTATGTTTGGAAGTATGTTTTCTGGGGCAATGTGCATGGGAACACACTTTCCCTTTCTATTCAGGGAGATATGCTTGTATAACGAAGCAAAGCAAACTGGAGGGAGAATATGGTGCTTTTAGAGTCGGTAGAGTTGGGAGACAACGGGGTTTGCGGAAGACTGGGGGTAGTTGAAGTTTGGTATTTTGTGTGCTGGGGAAGCAAGATAGTATAGGGAGTGACGACTGGAAAAGTAAAAGACGTAATCCGTGATGGCGATAGAGAGGGTGAAATATCAAACGAGTCACCTTAGCTCCCTGGTAGAGGTGTGTGGTGCATATTGGCAGGGAGCTGTATATCTTCAACCAAGTCAAACTCTTCCAGAGAGCATTGGTGAGCTTCCGGCGGAAGATATATTCGGACAAACAAGCAGGCAAATTTAAATATGCCAGTAGTTAAACGAAAAGGAAAAATATATATATATCTTCCTTCAACTTCTTGCTGCAGATTTTTTTTTCTCTTCCCGTTTCTTTTTCCCTGTAAAGAAGTCCCGGGGCCTCCCGTCCGGGAGAATCAACTAGGTCCCCCCAACAGCAGCCTTGTTGGAGCAATGTGCGTCCGCGGTCAGAGCTCCAGGCACATAAACGTTTCCTTCGACAAGTAGTCTTGTTTCTTTTTTCTTTTCTTTCGTTTTCTTTTTTTCCTTTTGGCAATGCAAAGAGAAAAAAAAAAAAGGTCCGGCCAGACAAAGAACAGGGTAGAAGAAGGGATATATCTCTTGCAGCCAAAGTGGAAAGACAATCCGCCTGGCAGGCAGAGGAAGAAAGCTAAGAGTTTTAACGTGGTCGTGTTTGTAACTATTTCATGGAAGGCCGTTAGACCAGGACGATCATATTCAAGGCCGAGACCTCTTGCAAGGGGAGTAAATCAGAAAGAGACAATAATGGCAGCGATATGGGGGTAGTTTAATCCGTACCAGGCCTGTTTTAGGAATATAGTCGCATGCAGCAACTAGCTTCCCAATTGCTTGCTCGTTTGCTCTGCCGGTAAGGTAAGAAAAAAAAGGTCGTACAGGGCGTTGATGGTGTTGCAGGATGAGCGAACAGTAACGGTGGGATTAAGGACGGCAACGGTCAAGAGAATTAAATAAAGTCCGTTCCTCTTTGCTGAACGGCGCGCAAGCCGCTGTATATATGAGGAAGTAAACGGAGCCCCCCAGCCCAGGGTATGAAATGCAAGCCCGGGGGCCTGCAGGGTTCAGCTTTTTTTTTTTTTATTTGTATCTGCTTCTTTTTTTTTTCTCAGATCTTTTTTACCCCCTTTGCTTTATTTTTATCTTAATTGCAGGGGTCTCTGGCGCAAGGGAGCAGCTGTCGGTGCTGAGGAGCCAGGTTTAGAAGCTCTTTTGCTTGTCGCTCCGCAATGACTTTTGATTCTCTCTCTTTTTTTATTTGCAACGCGAGTCGAGGTCAGAGCAGCTCTGGGGCAGTACGGAGTACGGAGGAGAGTAAAGTCGGTCGTTATAGTATGCGATGTTTGCTTGCTAAATTTTTTGGTAGCGAGTATCTGATCGCAGCTGCAGGCAGGGATGGGCGAGGTGGGAGAAGAAGCAAAAGCGGGAGGGAGAGGAAACACGCTGGCTTTAAAGACAAGAGAGCGAAGATCCTGCCTGACTATCGGGCTGTATCAAACAATGCCACTGCAGGAGATTATTGGGCCAGCGTAAGAAGGGCGAAGCTCGAAATATGAGGTTGTCGAGGGCAGAAGAAGAACGAGGTCGAGGTCGAGGAAAGTCGCAGCCGGGAGGAGGATGTATTTTTTTATTTTTCGCCCACGTCACTTTGGCGGTATCGCCGGGTCTTTTGTTGTATGGCAGTGTAAGCGTATTACGGGTGTGTTTCGTCAACCTGTATTGTGTATTTCGGTTACCAGATCACGTTTTTACGCTTTAAGTTACATAAAATACACCAATTCGAACCTTTTTTCTTCTCTTTCTTTCGTTCTTTCTACCTGCAAAACGACGAGCAAAAGCGCCTGGAAAAAAGTACTTGATAGCTACAGAGAAGTAGAAAAGCCAACAGCTAGAGTCAGCGGAGGACGGAGGCGCCGCAAGGCCGAGGGCTGTATGTATATGCAGGATGTTGGCCGAAGTTGATATGTTGAACCCAGTGTACGGGCAGGAGCTTGGGACTGACGGGCTCGCGTATTTCGGAGGAGCGGTGACCGATGTCCAGCCATTGAGCGTCCGTCGTGATGCTCCAGCAGTGGAAGACGGTGGAAGAGGAGAGAGATACAGAGAGAGAGAAGTAGAAAAGAGAGGCAGACAGGCAGACAGGCAGACGGGGCAAAGTGACGACCCAACATTGCGCCCCAGGCAGGCAGACATTCCCAGCATTTGGCCGCCCTCACTGGTGTCACGTCCAGAGAGAGGAGACAGAGGAAGACACCCCTGACAGCGCCGCTGGGCCGCTGGGCCACTGGGCCACAGAGGCAGCCAGCATACAGCCACAAGGGAATAAGTGACGAATGCTGCAGTCGTCAGCCAGACGAAGGACGTGAAGAAAGAAAAAATAGAGGCGGCTGCCCCATCTACCGTGGGGTTCGACAGCGGGATGGCAGCTGTGTTCGCATCGCTAGCGTTGAACAAGCCCGTCATTGTCTATCAATTGGCTTTGGCATTTGAATCTGGTCTGCAGAGGGCAACAAAAAGGGAAGAAATATCGGCCTACACGCCTTTTCTTTCCTTTTCTTCGTCGTCGCTCGACCTGATGCAGGCTCATCCTCCTTCGTCAAGGCAAGGCAAGAAGGTCGGGTCCAAGTCAAGGCAGCCAGGAATGGGAGGAGTCATCTTCCGCATCGCCAGCTTGACCGACTAGCGTGGGCGTCGTCTCCATGGTTGACCTTGACGAGCCTAAGCCCAACACGAGAAAGGCAGAAGGGAGACTCTGTCAGGCCTAGAATTCCGACGGAGACAAGAAAAATAGACAGACTGGAGGAAGAGGAGGTCTGGATAGCAGTCACGCCACCTCATGCCTTGTCGAGCATCCTGAAGAATGAGCTGCATAGCATTGCATGGTAAGGGACTTGTCTACATCTCTATACTCCAAGCTACCAGCCTCTGCAGTACTCTGCCTGCTCCCGAGGGCTGCCTGCTTGTTTGTATGCAGTACTTCTTTACTTACCACGACTTGAATTGATAAATTTAAAATACGTGAGTATGTTCCAGAAAATGACCCGGTGTACCGTTACAATACAATACCGAGCTAACCTCAGTGCTCTTTCAGCCCTAATTCCGCTGGCCTTTCGTCACTTTACAGACCATCACCAAAGCGGAAAAGGGGGGCCTAATTAGACACTTCGTGGAGTCGTTAATATAATCTCGTTTGGTCAGCGAGTTTCACAAAGGACAGACTTTTGCAAAAATAAAGGGACGATGGGAGAAGGAGCAAAAAAGAAGTCGGCTCACTCCGTATCCACCGGAATCTCCATTCTTTACTCTTGCTGCTGCCGCTGGACTCCTCCTTTCACAAACCTCTCCCCCTATCCCTTCTTATCAGGAGCCCGGTCTCAACAACCACGGCTGTGCCTGTCGCTGGCCCTTCTTTCACTGACCAGGGAGATGAGCAAAAACCTACGTTGATCAAGCATGATGACATCATTGGCGCAGTAGCACATCACTAGAAAAGTGGAGCGCCAGAGAGCCGGGACGGAATATTGTTACCCATCACAGTCTTGCCAGCGACAACGGGCAGGAAGTCGTAAGTTGGCTGTTAGCGGACACTATTGGATAGCTGGGATTAGAGAGAGCACATCTTTACTGTACGTCTGTTGCCCCGAACCACCCAGGGAAGCCTAAAACATAAGGTCGGTTGCCCTGAAAGGGGGGGCGATAAGATGGATGTTACATCCTATTCGGCCTGATCGGCTCGAAGGCGAAAGGGCGATGGCAATGCAGGAGATGAACCAAGTAGCAAGGGGGAGGCAACCCAACGAGCAGGGCGGAATTTTCCCATGAGAGGACAGAAGAGTGTGAAGGAGAGACAGCGTTACTCCGTAACCGGAAGTTATGCTCTGCTCTGGCTTGCTCAATTTACTCGGTTTAACCAGCTTACCCAGCTTTTTTTTACTCTGGGTTAAATGTTTAAATGTTGGTTAACATGGTATGTATCATCCTTTACGGAGGCCCTACGCCGACCTATCCTGCCCTTGCCCTGCCTTGCCCTGCCCTGCCTTGCCTTGGCTGTGTCCCTGGATGGGGGACGGGGTGCTGCCATTTTTACGGAGTACGATGATTACACTTCCCACAGTACCTATCCATAGGGCCATCGACCATTTTCTTACCCCTCTGTACTCCGCAAATAGTACATCGATGTGCATCAAAGTAACGTTTCAGATTGTCGAGGCTAGCAGAAGATCTCACCGTACAGCAGAGTCGCAGCTCACAAGAAAGCAAACTCTCTCACCGAGAGAAACTGGGACGCTAAGAAACCTGGGCTGTTGACTTGGAATCCTCCTGTCCTATCCCCATCAACCTACTAACCGACCCACCCGCTCAATACTCATAATACATCCAGATATTATTTTAACTTATGCGCCAGCAAGAAGAACGACAGCCCTCCCTTGCTCGTTGCTCGTTGCTCGTCGCACAGGCGCAAACCAACTGGACCGGATGCCAGACCCGGCCCGACCTGGTCACATATTTCTCCAGGGGGCCAGGCTGAGCGGGTTGTTTTCTGAATAGTTTAATCAACTAGCCACGCAGAAGAAGAAAGCAGACCACGCAGCATGAAGGAGAAAAATTGTCAAGTTGAACCGAATCGGGTGCCAGAAGAGGATAGTCGATTGGGCTGCAGGCTGCTGTTTCGTACATCAGTAGCTGAAGGGCTATTCATAGCGGCTGTACATCGTACTACTACCGCGTACATACGTACATACATACACACACACATAATACACACATGTGCAGCCTGCATACCCATACGACGAGGGTTACTAGTTATGGATGTCCAGCAGCATGTAAGTATGATCAAAATGTATGCATGGATCAGGCATGCCGCCCCGCAGGCAAGGCAGGGCAGGCAGAAAGGCCCAGCAGCCACCTCGACAGGCCAGCCTGGCTTATCTCTGGTAACGATCAAGCCCATTCAGCAGCGTCTTCCACCCCATAGCTACTGCAAGGCTAAAAGAAAGGCGTTGGGAGGGTTACTTGCTGATGGCTGATATGGGACGGTTTGTGGCTTGCCCTGCCTGGAGACATCTTGACTGCTCCCGAACGTTCAACGAACTCAACCAACACTCCGTCTCTTCCGCACGAACTAATGAGCTGTTGGGCTCCACGGTGGGCGCAAGATCGTTATCTAGCTAGGGGCCGGGGTTGTCAAGAATTATTAATAGTCACAAATGTATACGGAGTAAGTTCTTCCTTTTCTTTGCCCTTTCCCTCTCTCGAGATGTCTCAGGGTACGAGTAAATGCCAACTAATTCTCTCACAGACAGTGTCACTCCTACACACCAGCCTCGCTTCGCCCTTAGCTCTTATCTCGTCTTCCTTTTGAACCACCACCTTCGCCAAGGTAGGCGGGTGCCCCGTTAAGGAAAGGGAAAAAGCAAAAGGAGAATGGGAAATCCGAGAGACCGCCGACTAGTTAGCAATATCTCGTGGGCATTCTTTTCTTTTTGATCATGTCCGAGCAGATCGCGATCCATCCTCTCGGGCATCAGTCACATCTATCACACGTCCAGCAAGGGAGCGGGAAACAGCCAACCATGGCACTGTACTTGTTTTCTCTCTGGCCCGGCGCCATGATATTCGCATTCTCAACTCGCACCTCCTGACCGCTGGATTGGCTCATCATACTAATCCCCACTGATTACTCAAATCCTCCCAAGTAACAGGGCGCAATGAGAAACCACAGGATGGAGTAAATATGAAGATGCAAAATGCTGTGTCAAATTCTGCTGACCTGACTCCGTGCTTGCTGTGGAACATTCAGACGAGCCATTACGTCGCATGTACCACTGGACCGGGACAGAGAGCAAACGAGTACGGATTGCAAAGAAGATAAGCGAGAAATCAGATATCATTCCAAAGGCCGAGGATAAGGCCGAGGATCCTAAGCCCGTCGCCCTTCCCTTCCCCGCTCATCTGCCACAGCCTGTGGCGCGACAAGGGTTTTGTTTCTTTGCTATCCTCGTCGTAACTTGCTCTTCATCGTATATGCATACAATATACGATAATTCGTCTTCCCCCCGCTCGATGCTGTAGACAGGTCAATGCTGCGCCGTGGCTTTCCCCGAAATATTTTGAGAAAGCCGAAGACAGAAGAGAACGTTGTATTAAACGGTTTGAGGCTAAAGTTAAGATAGCCTATTGGAATGTGTTAAAGTTACTCGGCTTTTATTGGACAAAGATGAGCATTCTGTCCAATAAGAAGCGTTATATCCTGCCCCTTATAAAGTGTATGAAATACGTGGCACTGGTTGGTTGAGCGGGAGAGTATAAATTAAATCAACCGTGAAAGCGAATGCAACCAAATAGCGTCTTTGACAGCACTGTTTATTCCACGAAGAAATATCTAACATCTCAACAATGCTGTGATCACCTCTTTACCTCACACTTCTGGCGCTCCTTAACCGCCAGAAAGGTTGCACCATGAAGTGCCATCTCTATACTTTTACAGAATATCTTTCAAGAAACAGCTGAGTCAAAGAGTGAGCCAGCACAATGTTGTCGACTGCATGTATTATTAAAATATTCGCAGCCAGACAGAGGAGCTGCCGCTACTATGACCGACCTTCGCAAAGCCTGGTATTTGCTACTATACCCTATTCTCAGGTGACTCTACCATCCTGGAGACCGCAGCCCCTTTCTGATAGTAAGGTGGTTTGCTGTAATCTGGATTGAGGAGTGACACGTGACTCTATTTTGAAGTGAGAATAAGCTTAGGTTGATTAGTTATAAATGGTCTGGCCTATGGTGAGCTTATATAAGGTGTGTGCCAAGTGAGCCTTAGCCGGACTTCTGACAGTTTTATTCGATCTAGCCATCGTCCGAAGAAGGAAAAGGAGTTCTAGTTTTCCAGCTTTTCAGCACTACCCAGTATATCCGATAGCCAGACGTGTGAGGTAGTCCTCAAGCCAATCAGGGGGAGAACCTGATTTGTATCTCCAAGATAATCAACTGGTCAACTTACTCCCTTTGGCCTCGAAAAATACGCCACACCAATGGCAACAATAACCAATAAAGAGGGAGCTGACCTGCATCTAGACACCTTTGCTTACAGGGAAATATAGCCACATAATTCAATATTTCATCATCATGACGGAACACCTGGAGGCATAGAGAACTAGAGAAGGTAACAGCAACGACCTTAATATACCCTGAAATAAGACCCTACCGTTCTAGAAAGCGTTTAACTTGGCTCAGTTTCTCGGCACCTCTGTGGCAAGAACAGCCGAGAGCGGTTGACCGCCAAGGCATTAATACTGACCACTTACACGACTTGCGCAATGCAATCTGCGCGTTGGGTTGTTAAGTGCAGGCCTCTCTCTTATATAGGTCCTAAGTGGCTGAGTGAGCTGAGGAAGAGGACCCTCGTAACCAAGGTGGCGCCCTAAGCAACGCAGAAAAAACGGGCAACTTTTTGTCTGGGAGGCCCAGAAACCACCATCCGTCATCAAGCGAAAGGATAGAAGGACCGACGACGGCCCAAATCCGGCCCAAATCCGGCGTCGGCGGCAGGAGCTCGGCATGCCGAGTGAGAAGAAAAAGAAGAGAGGGGAGGCGGACGAATGAAGCGAGATCGAGTGTTTGCATTTATATCATACAAAATGATCGAACCAGCTCGAGATCTATTTAAAGGGGCAAATTAAAACCCTTTGGAAGTTGACTACAGAGAAGACTGAGAGATCAACGTCGTTCAGTGGAAATCCAGGAGCTGCAGTTACGATTGAAGGGCATGAGTACCGTTACTGACAGCTATCATGATGGGCTAGAAGCTGCTAGAGTTATAGTAATGAAATACTGGTCTTATCATGATCTCGACAAGATGGAAGCACCCAGCTCCTTCTACTACCCAGAGGCACTGCTATTGGTCGCTTTAAAGTGAGATGGAACAGCCAACCAGAGAAGTATATCTTCCGGATTATAGATTAATCCGTAAAATGTGGAACTGTATAAAATTATAACCTCTTCTTATTGGTTGACTAAGTTAAACTCCTGCGTTTCGATATAGGTGTGTATATACACCTAATGTATAAGGCTTCGCCAGGAAGTTATGTTCACCGTCCATCCCTCCATCAACTCATAATATGTGTCATTGCTCTTCTTCTATTTAGCGCCTGGCAGGGCGTTTATCCACTATGTATATCCAAGTTTCTGGAGTTAACCACCAATGATGTCACTGGGATGCCACCCGCACCCCGTATAAAATGCTCTCGATCTCCAGTTGATTATAACTATTAACCTTTTAGGGAAGCCAGAGAAGAGGCAAAGTACGCACGGTGGATTTGATGATCAAGCCTCTAGGGTGCCGTGATATAACTCTATCGACAAACGTCGGTTGGACTCTGCACGCACGGTCTGCCTACTTGAATAATAGAACCCATCGGTGACGACGTTCCCTTATTCTGGTGTTTGCATCTTTTGAACAGCTGGTCTAGACTCAATCATCCATGGTTCTTGCAAGTCAATGCAGCAGGTTTTGAATCCATTTTACTTCGCCGGGTAGGCGAGCGAGTCCGAAATTCGGCGATAGAGTTGAGGCTAAGAACATCTTTATTCTCGGCCAGGATACGGCCGAGGATAAGGTATATGTCATCGAAGATGGAAATTATCAAATGTTAAGCAAGAAGTTTATGTAGATTTGAGTAGAGATAGGAGGCCGAGACAAGCTGGGCAGAGGGTATATAAGCGGAATGTGATCGAGTAAGATATAAGGGTTAAAGAGCGATGTAAGGAGCTTCGGAGTGGAGGAACGCGCGTGAATTTTATTCCTCTTGAAACCATATTATACTGATATTAGTATATTAGTATAATATACATATTATATTTCGTCAACTTGATTGATGGAAAAGGCTTCACTTAAGGATAATCATCATTGGTTGGTTAGTCGAATCAAGAGAGAGGAGCCCAGTGTGATGTATAGTCATGTACAGTCAAAGCTACAATTGAGAAGGAAGCCGATCTACCCTTGACAAGGTCAGATATGATATAGCGAAGAAGCCGCCTGTAGCGTACAACACGGTGTACGTTGACGTCCACTATGTATAGTCTGCTAGGATGCTGGGATCATTTTTATTTTTACTTGTTACTATTTCATTTCATTTATTTTTATATTCAGGGCTTAGCCGAGGCTCCTACACAGGTAGTCGTACATATAAAGTGTGGCTTGCTATCTGCTCCGTGGGATACCGGTATATGCAAGTACCCGGGGTACCCAGTCCGCACCCTGGGATATGGAGGTAACCTAGCAAAAGAAGTATATACCTCGTTCCTTCAGCTCAGGCCCTGCGGGAGGGAGGAACGGAAGGGAAGGGAAAAGCAAAGATACTGAAAGGAACAAAGCTGCGCCTCTCAGCGAGCAGATAGCTTGCATGGTTGATGTGGCATTGGCATTGGATCCCGACACGACCATTCGCAGCCTTGCTGTCCGTCCATTCTTTGAGATATCAAGGGGAGCGGGTTGGGACAGTTGTTGCTTTTCCTACCCCGCCAGCGAACCGGCATCATCATGGGTTGACCGATCTTGTCCTGATTTCAAAACACGCTCTTCCGCAACGGGGAGCCCGGGCATACGGAATATAGGAATGGCTGGCGGGGACAATGCGCTCCCCTCTCATCATGCCACGAGCTTCCTGTTCGTTGCCTGCGCATCGTTCTTCCCACTCCAATCATATACACACGGTAAGCGGACGATGACCGTCCGGCGCCTGCGTTACTCCGTATAGAGTAATATCTCCTCCTCCGTGTCCATCACAGTACTCCGTAGCCCACCGCTCTTGTCACCACGTCGCTGTTTTGTCCATCACATTTGTTTATCTCATGATGTGATGTGACCAAAAACGATAGACAGACCCCACGGCTAATACCGGTAACTTTCCACAACTTCTCCTCTTCTCAGCTCAGCTCGTCCTGAAGAGGAGAGAGGAGAGGGAGTAGCGCGATCATGCATGAGGCAGCAGATAATCGATATGCAAGATGGCCTCGCGTGATACAGCTTTTGTATTCGTGGTGCGTCAAGAGAGGCCGAAGCTCGATGAGCAAAGCAACGCAAAAGCCAAAAAGAAAAGCCAAAAGGGGGAGGAAGAAAAAAAAAGGACAAAAATAAAACGACATAAGGTAGCTTACTAGTGGTATTTTTCACCATTGGCCGTATTGTACGACCCAGTATTTGTGTCTGTTTTGCCGAATACGCCGGGCGTAAAATAAGGAAAATACCGAAAAACCAGGGGATGAAGACAAGAAGATGGAGGAAACAGAGAGAGAAAAGAGAGGCTCCATCCTTCGCATCCTCTCGATATCCACGACCATACGGATACCCCGTATGAACTTATACGTCGAGGCAGCTGGGGATGGCAGCCATCGGGATCTCGATTCATGCACCTGCGCCTGCCAGCCAGCCACGGGCAGCGTCAAGTATACCGCAGGGCAGGTAACATGTAACTATCTGCTACACCAGCCACAACGAGGTGTTACTTGCGTGCAGGTACCCAGCCAGATGGAAACTACTCTGAGCCTTGCATATAGCGCAACTCTAACATGCCTTGATAAGGTCAGTCAGTTTTCTTCCGCTTTCCTTTCATGAGATCAAGTCTTTAAAGCCCTCCCTGTCTGGCCCCATTGGCTATATCTTCCACGTTGTCTTGTCTTCGGAATATGCAGACAAGCGACTCGCCATTCCGCTATCTTGTCGGTTCTCGCCCTGTCAAATTCCGCTGACCGCGTACCGCAGGGAGTTAAATTGGGATCTCTCCCGTGGAGCTCTCTTTTTTTCCCCTAACTCGCTTTATCTTGTTATATGATTGCGTATTCCCGTTACTCGAGGCGTTTGATGCGGCGAATAACCCATTTTCTCTTTGTTTCCGCTTAAATAGGATCCTGGCTGAAGCTTTCTGTTCAATCGTTCGTAGGTTAACGACCAGCCAGCTTGAAACAAGTTTATGGGGAAGTTTGACCCTTCAACCACTGGAGGGGTGGAGATCTAGGCCAAGCTTGTTAGGTGCTCTGCCCACCAAGGAGAAATGTGTAGATGATCAGAAGGAGGAAATCACCGTTGTGGCCCTTTTACCGATCTACATATCTCTTGCACAGAGTAAGTAGGAATGCACATGGTCAAATGGCGGTATGCACATCCTAATCTCCTCCGCCTGTTCCTTGGTCGCTTCTGCTATCCACACCCCCCTCCTTTTCAAGACGCCCCCCTAATTCCCCTTCCCCACGCCGTTAAGGACGGAAGTGCAGTGGGCGTTCGCGGGTTGGATGACACTTGGACTCTCCATCGAAGGACGAGCAGGAAGCTTGGTTCACTTTGATTGGTATATTATTCGGTATCGTTGTTAGGCATCATATCCGTCTCGTATTCCCCCTCGTCCGTGACTGAAATTAGGATCGGCTTTTTTTGGTCAAAGGCTGTTTGGAATACCGCGTGGCGAACTAGCAGATGGACTTGGATATCCCTTCCCCCTTTTCTTCCCTTCCATCGATATTTAACACATACGTGAATATATAGATAGTGGGTGGTACTAGATCATCACTGGTGTTGCGATGATGTGCCACCTAAATGGCAAAGCCAACGTCATAGATCGGTGAGTGGCCTCATCTCTGTAAGCTGAAAAACCGAAACCTGGAGATGGGTTTTCTTGTTATAAAAGAAGGTTGTAGCGAGAGGTAAGGCCCGCAAAGGGGCCGTTGTTGTAAATATACGATGTAAAATATATAAATGAGAAAAAAAGGAGAGCCCAGCAGCTTAACTTTGGTGAGGACAGGGGTAAGAGGGGATGCCACAGGTAGAATAATGGTTAGATAGTTATCAATCGTGTTTCGTATGTTAGTCACCGGTAATCTTGTAAAACGTGCACGCGATTCCAAGATAGAGCTCAGGTATCGCGTTTTTGGTGCTTGAAACCCTCCAGTGTTTTTCTACCCACATTCTGGTATCGGAGGGCTATCGGTAGTAACGTTCTTACCGTAGACGACATCGCACCCCGGATTTGCAAAAACCGTCTCTCTCCCTTCAATACTTATACAGCCGTTCCCGATGTTAGCTTCAAACAGTTTTGGCAATCCATAACTATATGGCCTGGAAGCGCCCGAAGCGCAGTTGTTAATCACCACGGGAGCACAGTTCATATACATCTCACGGTTCCCAAATAAATTGAACCAGGTCCAGGCCAACAGAGCCCTCCCGGCTGGTATGTCCTTGGGGATGGTAAAATTGTACGTGTTCGTAAGTGGACATCCTCCCATAACGGATTTAATCACCTGGAACGATGTGCCATTGTCCAGGCTGAGAGATACTTGACAAAAGCCTCCACCGTGGGTTGCAGTGCCAGCGAGTTCCAGGGAGTATGTTTGTCCAGTAGTGTAATTTGCCGTTGCGCGGAAAGTGGTGTTGGAATGGTATCCTTTGCAAGGGAAATTCGAGCCTGCGGAAGGGCGTGTCAGCCTTGAAGCGGATTTCTATTTCCGTCCTGCCACCGCCCTATTACAACTGTAAGGCGTCGACATACCATCCGCATTCAGTGGGTTAGTCATAGAGTAGTCAATATCAGTGTATTTGTTCCCTGGGTTGAATTTGCTGTATCAGTGTTAGTATGTGGCCATGTTTTTGCAGTCCTAAATACACTCGCCTTCTAAATGGATAGGGGGTTTTCATCTCCATATGCCCAGATACACCAATGCATGCTGCGAGGAGAACACATATCAGTTGCATTTTAGCTGCTTGTGGGTTTACCTTGGGTATCTTTAATTTGTAAAGCGACACTGTTGATGACCACCAGTATATATCAACATATAACTGGGCTATCCGGAGATTGAAATGAGACTCCTATGCCCGACTTATCCTAATAAATTGCTTATGCCATCATTCTCTAGAGTATAAGAGGGATATATAGCCCCAAGAAGATCAAGGATATACCCGGGGATATCACTCTAGTAAAATAAAGGAAGATGCTCTCCTGATCAAGGACCCGGGGTGCGTTCTTCACAGGATCAACTGTGAGCTTCCGATAGGCAACGATATATCTAGGGGATTGAATGGTACAGTACTTCCGCCTATGACTGGTTTGGAGCATAGCTGACTTTGATAGTCCGAGGCCGCGATCATATGGGATACCACAGCAGTCCATGGAGATGGTGGCCTTGCGCAAAGCGCCTTTCATCTTATCGAGGATAGTTCTTCCTGCTGATATCGTTTTCCAGGGGATATAAGGACAACTATCCACGCTGATGGATATCATGTTCTGCCTTCTTAGTCGTTTGATGTCTTGAGATATAAGGGTATATGGTAGAGATTCCAGGGCAGGGTAGGACAATCACAACGGAGCTGACATCCCTCGGAAAACCTGTACGGAGGATACGATACTGCCGTTTATCAGTGCGCTTTCGTCAAATCCTCCTGGTATTATGATACCGATGGTGTAAGAGGGATGTTCTTAAAATCCTCATGGCAAACTCATGGACAACGCCGCACCCTCAGCCAGGTGGCCACCTTGTTAGTTACACAAAGGACCGCAAGGACTGGATGAAGTCATGATATACCACCCGAAAAGCGCCTGAACGAAACCGATGACACCCACAGCTGGCTTCGTATCGCTTCCATCCCAAGTACAACGTCGACAGTGAGTGTTTTTGAAGAAAACAAGAGCTTGAAGATATCTTGGACCCGTGGACAGGCGCAAACCACGTGTTTTCCTCGTGTTCTGGCGGCAACTGGGAAGAAAAGAGAAATTTGACTGAATCTGCAACGTCCAACTAACTAACTAGTCAACAACCACCAGCTCCTCTAACTAACAATCAGCTACCAGACAGCTTGTGCAACGCTGCAGCGAGTGAGCAGGCGATATATATCCTTTCTGAGCCTGATTCCATTGCAATGTCTCATTCTAGTCTCCGCGGAGATTCCCTCCGCAGGCCAATGGACCAACCCTGGAAGAGTCGATGCGACCAGGTTTAAGCAAGCGAAGGATCCTGACTGAGTTATGGACGAGACGCCACGATCGCCGTTCTATTAGGCCGAAGCCGAGTGCTGGGTGAAGTGGGTGTAGCTATGTCCTGGCTGGCGAGCGTGGCCTCTACGACACTGCTCCCGCCTGGCTGCGTGTTCTGTTTCTGATCTGCCTGATACCCCTGTCCACCTCGCCCGTCCATCGGGAGGGTCGGTACGGTTAAATAGGGCCCGAATGCTTAGCCAACCCTAACTGATATTGAGGCTGCATATGAGATATAGTTGAGTCTCGGAAGTTGTGGCCTCGAGTCATTGCCGTTACTGCATGGTAGCCATCTAATCTTATGTGTCATTGCATCTGGAGATCTCGCTAGATACCATATTGGGATACGATGTGTGCATATATACCTGGCAAAACCAGATAAGCTTAACCAAGGGAAAGATTTGCCTTTGCCGGGCGGTGCTTCGGATTTAAATGTTCTGGTCGTCTAGGTCCGTTGGATATGTTCGTGCGTGTCGTGGTGGGATTCGCCGAGAGGCAGTGTACATAGGATTACAGCTGGCCCAAATGATTGTTGAACATGGGGCGTTTATTGGTTGTCCGCTGGCATGTATCTTCTATCAATTGCAGGGTCTCGTATGAGTAACCCTCCGTCTTTGAGATGCCATTTGCAACGGCAGGCCTATCTTTCCCCCATTTGGCGATCCTCCTCGTCCCATGCACCGAATTCCTTTTGGGAGGATAACTACCATGCTTGAAACGAATTCAGTGCCACAGAAACGTGATGGATGCATGCCTCTTTACTCCTACAATACGACCACGGGAGTTGTCCAGTCTTAAGAGCCTAAAAGGTGTTTAACTACTTTTATCATGGATTCTCGGTACGGGTCCGGCCATATCAAACAATCCGGCAAATGGAAAGATATTGCGCTGTTTTTATCTTTGAGGTGGTAAAGATCATGGCCAGCTTGCCTTGTCTGCTTCTACTTAGCTAACCTATAAATAATAACCTTGGTCATAGGTACTTAAGGCGAAGACTAAGCGCCATAGAGAACGCCCGGTTTTCTGGTCAGTCTTTCGGACCTTAACCTCTTCCCCTGAACACTGGACAGGCCAGTGGCTACTGGAATCTAACTCCAGCGTGACCATAGACACCCCATGCGCCCCTTGAGTGGCCATTTATCCCCTGCTTGTGGAAAGTTAATGCAGCATTCATGACACTTCATCCCGTCAATAGGGGGCCATTTAGTTACAGGGGCCCAAGGGACTCATCCAGGGCTTGATCAGCACCTAGGCCCTAGACAAGTGGTCGAGGTACGCTGATTCTTGGACCAGGAGTATAACTAACACATCACCGAAATATTTGAACGACTTCTTCATGACTATATTGGCTCGCGCAAACCATGAAGCAAAGACCTCCGTATTAGATGAAGTCAGTTGAGGACATTAGTCACATCCTCAGCCGAAAAGATCCCTTCCACAGGAGAGATAATGACCTTATGCTACTGGGATCCTTGGTTGTTAGCTCATAGTTATGTGATATGCGAACTCCTCAAGTTACTGGGGATGTATGATGAACAGCTCAGTCACCCTTGCCACTGTCTGATGAAGGCTGGGGATGCTGTCTCACCCCTCCTGGGCACAGATTGGAACTCATGCTTGATTGATGACGTTTACCATGGCCCAGTTAGAGATAGCCCATGCTGTGCCTCTGGAGTAAGCGAATCCTCCCTGGGAAAATCCGGCAAACTGTCGGTGTGATCGAAGTACGCAACGGAATTTATGATATTCTCAAAGCGCATGCGCAATACTTATTGTTTTGTGAGAGTGTCTTACAACAATCGTTCTCGACCGTTCAACGTCACTCAAATTCTTCAGGAGTCTAGGCCAACCGATCCTGAGTCGCTAATATATTTAGTCGAGTCTGGTCTGATATTTACTTTTGGGTTAGTAACTATAGGGAGTCTGAAGCGATGGCTGCTCCAAGCTCCCTGTTACCACGGGACGGCCTTCCCCCGTGGATCGGTTTATCAAACGAAGGATAACTCCCGCTCTAGTACAGACTCTGGAGCGACAAACATGCCGAAATAAAACCCGTTCTAACGAACCCTTGAAGAACTGAAGAGGATTTCAAGCTTAATCAAGCTTTGCTTGGTTGTGCATATGGGGAACAGGGATGCCGCTCATCCTCCACCATCCTGCATAAGCCCATGTAGTTTAGGCCTGCCAAAAGCTTGATATCGCTCCTGTCTACATATTCGTTCCTCGCAACCCTTATCGAAGATGGATTCCACCAGAAACACTCCTGTCGCACAGCGGCTGCGGAATGATATTCCCCCGAATACCATTTATCAGTCTTCCTGATGTGCACGCCTCAAATGCAGATCTATCTCTCCCTGACCAGGGTGCCTATGATCTATATATTTCCGCGGAGTCCTGGATTACGCTCGATTCTACACTGTAGCTGACCTGATAGTAGGCTACTGGTGAACAGAACTCAAGCTGCGCGCCATGATTCACGACGCTAAATACCCTCCATGTCAGTCTTGGTGATCCCATATGCCACCCTGGAGTACGCAGTGTCCCGTGTAATGGGCTTGCGTCAGCATGGATGTATTTCAATCTTTACCCGGATAGCCGCTGATAATCTTCGAGGAAAGGCTCCCCATTTAAGGAAAAGGGAAGTGGAACAGTATTTATTCTGCTTCATTCCCGTCGAAATTTGGGGTTGCGTGGGTAGGAATTTGGTCATCTACCTGCATACATAACGAATTTTCCCCAACCAAAGCCGTCATGCCATCTATTGAACCAATTCAGATAGAGCCCCTTCCCATTCTAAATGGCAAGGAGAATGGCCTCCCTTCTCTCAAAGGCCCTATCAAGAACGGAGATGCATTTGTGAACACATTTGATATACCTCTCCCACCCCTAGCCAAGAAGCCTCTGAAAATCTTGGACATAGACAAGGAAACTCCGGATGGGCACGTTGCAAGAGACCCTATACAAGTCCGCTTGACTGGTGTTCACCCACATAATTCGGAGTCTCCTCTCACTGCCCTGTTTGATGAAGGTGTTATCCCTGCTCTCTGGTACTCCGGGTAGTAATAGATCCTAACGTTAACTGGTATAACTTAGGATTCCTAACCTCCCCTGAATTATTTTTTGTTCGCAACCATGGAGCGGTTCCTGTTATTGAGCAAGATGATATCCTCAACTGGGAGCTATCGATTGAAGGGTGAGACACTTTTGAGCTTTTGAACTGCATAGTCTTCGAGTGTTGATTAGGTGGCTAACATTCAAACGTCTAGATTGGTACAAAACCCTATCGTCCTGACTTTACGGCAGATAATTTCCGACTTCCGCCAGGTAACTTGCCCTGTTACCCTCGTGTGTGCCGGCAATCGTCGTAAAGAGCAAAATATGGTTCGAAAATCCAAGGGTTTCAACTGGGGAGCGGCAGGTTTATCGACTGCCCTGTTCACTGGGCCAATGATGCACGACATCCTGACTCAAGCGAAGCCAGATAGACGGGCAAAATACATGTGCATGGAAGGGGCTGATGCTTTGGTATGTTGATGTCCGCTGCCAGAGACCAAAGCAAGCGCTCTATTTACTCATTTTTTTAACAGCCAAACGGGAACTACGGCACATCCATCAGGCTCTCAACAGCCATGGATCCAGCTATGGGTGTTATGCTTTCCTATATGATGAATGGAGAGCCACTCCGTCAAGACCACGGCTGGCCACTTAGAGCTATTATTCCAGGGCACATAGGGGGAAGGAGTGTGAAATGGATCACCAAGATAATCTTGACCGAAAACCCAAGTGATAACTGGTATCACATATATGACAACAGAGTCCTGCCGTAAGTGCTGCCATTCCATATTACTATGCCTGGCGCTAAAATGAAATAGAACGATGTGTTCTCCTGAAATGGCAACTGAGGACGATAGCTGGTGGCGTGATGAGCGCTACGTGATTCAACATCTTAACGTCAATTCAGCCATTGCCTATCCACGACATGATGAAGAGGTTGTTGTGTCCACGACGCCTACATACACAATCAAAGGCTACGCCTACGGTGGTGGTGGAAGACAGGTTTCAAGGATAGAGGTTTCCTTGGATAGTGGAAAGAGTAAGCCATCCATACCTCTTATAACTACATGAGTAAACTTGCTAACTAGTCTTTCGTAGCATGGCGACTCTCGACCATAAAGTACGATGAAGATAAGTACAGGGCAACAAGTCAATACCTATATGGCGGTCAACTTGATCTTTCCTGGAGAGAGACATACTTCTGCTGGTGCTTCTGGTCGCTCGAAGTGCAAACGCATGAGCTCGAATCCGCAGACAGCATTGTTGTCCGAGCTATGGATGAAGCCTTGAATATCCAGCCACGAGAAATGTACTGGTCTGTACTTGGGATGATGAATAATCCCTGGTTCCGCATCACAATCTCTAAGGAGAATGGCGTATTGAAATTTAAACACCCTACTCTACCTGCTACTCAGCCAGGAGGTTGGATGGAACAAGTTAAGAAGGCGGGAGGTGACCTAACGGATGGAAACTGGGGAGAGGCACCAAACGGTGCTATAAAGCGGGCTGATATAATCCCAGAGCCAGAAATCAACATGAAAAAGCTGGGCCTGAAGGTCAACATTACTCTGGAGGAGTTCAAAGCACATAACAGCCGCGAGACTGATCCTTGGTTTGTGGTCGAAGGTGAAGTCTATGATGGCACCCCTTTCCTTGAAGGCCATCCAGGAGGTGCCCAGAGCATCATCTCAACGGCAGCAACCGATTGCACTGACGAATTTATGGCGATCCGTGAGTTTGCAGCACCCACTACATCCTTGATAGGAGGCTTACATCTCTTTTAGACAGTGAATCAGCAAAGGCCATGATGCCTGACTACCATGTTGGGACTCTCGATCCTGCTGCACTTCGTGAGCTACAGGCCTCTCAAGGGACATCCAACAAACCTCTTCCAGTTATCCACGAATGGGAGAAGGTGACATTGACCAAGAAAAAGGACCTATCACTTGATACTGCATTGTTCACATTTTCCTTTGCAGACAATTCAAAGGTTTTGGGGATTGGTGTTGGCCAGCATATAATGTTGAAGGTCAATGCGAAACCAGATGAACCTACTAGCGCTGTCATCAGGGCCATTACTCCTCTATCTGACCCATCATTGAAAGGATGCATGGAACTTCTTATCAAAATATACCGACCAGCTCCTGGCTTTGCTGGTGGGCAGCTCACTGTTCCCCTGGACAAATTGCCAATTGGTGCAGAAGTGGACTACAGGCTGTCTTCTCACTGCAAATTCGAATACCTCGGCCGAGGTAGGGTTACGATAGATGGTAAGGAGCGGAATATATCCTCATTTAATATGATCTGTGGTGGAAGCGGTATCACACCAATGTTCCAGGTTCTCCGGGCAATCTTACAGGATGAGGAAGATACAACCACCTGTACCCTTCTTGACGGGAACCGCACTGAAGATGATATTATGTGCCGATCGGAGCTGGCTTCATTTGTATCGCGTGATGCAAAGAATAAGCTGCAAGTTATTCACACTTTGACCCAAGGTTCAAAATCATGGTGTGGATATCGTGGTAGGATTTCGGAGGATTTGTTATCCAGGCATATCGTGCGCTCTAAGAACGGTATGGTACTTATTTGCGGCCCGGCTCCTCTGGAGACAGCCGTGAAGCATATGCTCCTCAAACAGCAGTGGAATGAAGAGGACATATTCTTCTTCTAAGCGCTGGACTTGTATATTGGTGGGAGTTTGTTCGTTACAGATGTTTTTTGTGGGTCGATTTGGTTGTTCGTTTCGTTTTTCGTTATCTCCTCGCTCAATTCGGTTACTTTTGTAGTGATCTAGATCTTCGAATTTTGACGAAATTGATTCGAGTTTAAGAAATCCATTAAATGTCATAAATACGTCTAAAGTATCTACTTCGAGGAACTGGGGTTCTTTGGCTTCCTGAAGCACGCAAACTCTCCGCGGGTAGCTTCCCTTAACCTCTTTAAAACACCACGCATCTCGCTAAGCTCAGCCTGTAGCTTTGCACGAGCATCGTTCGTTGTCCTGCGGTCTAGCTCAAGGTATATTTGTCCTTGAACCTTGGATGCCGCGTCGGTGGAATACTGGGATAGTGTTTGGGCAATAAACTCCGTATCCAAGGTAGCTTGCATGAGTGCCGGTAGTGTATACTGGGCCCGTCTCATGAATGCCTCAAGCAGAGCGCTGGAGACCTGAGTGAGTAGTTCCGCTAGGATTTTATTGGTTAGGTTGGAGGATGAGGGGCCCTGAGGAGTTGGGACTTTCATTGGTAGAGTAGTAGAGACTTCATTGTGAACCATCACAAGCGAGAGCATGGTTGAATATACATATGGTCGGATTTGATCTGGCCGACTGTTTGCTGGAACCCAGTCAGGAGATGCGATTCCCTCAAGGATAGTATGTTTTAGGCTTTCAACTATCGGCTTCAGGTATGACTGGAATAGACGGGTGTCAATCTGGCCCAGTACATCTTGGATGGTTTTCGATTCGTCTGTTAATTTCACAGCAAATGAAGATTCGAACGTGGTGATGAGTTGCGGTACATGCTCAGTGCGGAGAGCTTTGAGATTAGATAGAGTCAACAATATACGGACATTCTAAAAAGTTTAAGCGTAAGTAATTTATCGATGTTAGGTGAAGTTGTGGATATATTGGAGAAACTAACCCTGTTATTTGAGTCAACTCCCCCGCTTGCGAAGACGGAAGAATGAGTATCTGGCCCTGTTACCGCAGCTTCGGGACTGGGAAGAACCCATTCAACGTCAACGTCAGCGTTGACTGGGTGTTCAGCATTTTCAACAAGACCACTCAAGGCTTTGTAAACGCTGGTCACGAATTGCGTCCTTACAAGCTGGAGAAGCTTTGCCGGGGGAGGTGTAACAACTTCTACTGCACCAGGCTTTCTCATAGATTCGGAGATATATAGTATTTTCTGCATCCCAGATAGGATTGAAGATTCAAAGGTCACAAAATAACTAGGCATTTTACTCAAACTTTTGATTGTTTGATGTCGTGTCCAATCTTCAAGGTATTTGCATAGTTCGGCATCACTGTTCCAAGCGGCACAAGCGGCACGGGCGCATCTCTCACGGGTTCCGCTCACCAGGAGCTTGAGTCTATCGTAGGAACCACTGTGCCCGGATATAGGGCTTAAAGCGGCCATTTCACTTGCAGCAGTCCCGATTAATATTAAGAATTCACCAAGGTAATGCACTCCACTCAGGGAGTTTGAGTAAGGTGGCCAAAATGCGAAGTCGTCCCAGGGTTGGCCTGTCTTCTCTGGCATTGGAGGGATATTCTGGGGATCAGCCGTTAAACGCGATTCCAGGCTTAAACCGGCAAAGGGTACAGTTGGACTTGTGGGCAGAGATGAGGGGATGAGAGAGGCCAGATCTTCAGGGGGAGATTCGGCGAAAATAGTGACAACATTGTCACGGATCAGGCCCATAAGTTCGATGATACCATCTTTAAGATCATTGACCCCGTTGGCAGACAGGCGGTGATGTCTCCGGCTCTCACCGTCGAATCCAGCAGGTAACAATCTCTGCTTGCTACCATCAAGAAAAGACTGTGTGGAATCCCAGAATCCAAGCACATCTCCAAGAATGCCACCTTGGACGGAGAGTAGTTTCTTTAGGAAGGTATGTAAACACTCCCATAGTTCGATTACCGACTCTGAGTCAAGACGATGCCTGCTAGTCCGGGGCCCTTCATTTAAGGAGTTCCGCAGGTAGGGAGCGACAAGCTGTGGATCTGGCTTCTTCCCAATAGCTAGCCGTCGTCTTAGAGTCTCAATCTCAATTCTTGATCTCTGGCAGAATGCAGTTATCTTGTTCTTTAAATAGTCGTATCGACTTAGAAGCCAAACCCATACCGGGTTATCTTCTACTCCCAGTTCGAGGAGAGCAGCGATGAGTTCCATATGCTCCTCAGCTTGAACACTGCCCACTCCAATGGACGAGGTGGATTGTGCGCTGCTAAGTCGTTTCCATAAATCGCGTTTAAATGCTTGGATCTGTTTTTCCACATCCATCCACATTCTTCCGGTGACCAAAATCGTATAGACCTGTTCATCTCTGAGTGGCTGTTTAGTTGATGCTGCCCGTTCCGCAACGGCCTTTGCCTCGTTTGCAAATCTCCTTGCGCTATTATACTGATTGAAGATTGTCGGGTAATCGCGCTCCTGGATGGATTTGGACAAATGCCCTCCAATTTCATACATTTCACGCTGTTTTTCGACTGCATCCAAGATAGACTTGAGACCTTCTTCGCGCTGTTGGCCGTTCAAGGCTTCACTCCATAGTTCCTGTGCTTGTTCTGATGCCTCTGCTAGTGGTGTGCTGATACCAGAGACATTTGTTAGGCTTCCGGAGCTAGGTATATCTGCGCGGAGAGTAGGCTTGCTCTTCGATCGCCATAAGCCTGTGGAAGGCGATGCGCCTAATTGGGAGCCTGACCTGCGGTGCTCGCCAGATGGAGACCTATGCAGTCGCGAATTACTCTCACCGTTATTCTTCATTTCTGTATAGACATTATCCAGCGTTGCCTTGACTCGCACGAATCTCTCGAAGTTTGATTCGACCAGCATCTTCAGCGAGGCAGACTTCTCGTCAATTGACCTCGAAAGGAAGTCTAGCCCCTGAAGCAGCGACTGGGTCGAGGCTGACTCCTGCGTCTCGGAGAGGAAATCAGACGCTGAAAAGCACTTGGAAGAAAGCAAGAACTGCTTCCGTACTCTCTCATCGTCAACTGGGAGCCCGCGCATCCTCAGCGTCCTTAGAATCGTATCTGGCCCGCCAAGGGGGTCAGGCTCGTCTTTCAGCGCAGCGCCATCGCCAGCCTTGAACCTCTCCTGGTCTCTCCTCCCTGGAATCAAGCCGGAGTATCGTATCTGGGACCGACGGCGGTAGTCATCACTCTTCGCGGGGCCGTCACCTTCGCCCTCGCTGTCGGAGTCTAGTTGAGCTGGCCACTCCTCCGGGTAGAGATCTGGCAAGTTGTAGAACTGCGCCGCATCCCGGGGCTGGACATCGGCCATCTCAGCGTCTGTATCTTCGCTGTCTCCCTAAACACGGCTCCGTCTTCAGCTGCAAATCATCGTATGTTTTTCCGCTGCCGTCGTTCGATTGTCCCGACGTCGTCGTCGTCGTCGTTTAAGGTTGAAGTTCGAGAAACGCAACATAGGGAAGAACAAACAAGACAAACATGATCCAAGCTTCTCGATGTAACACTTTTTTTTTTCGCGGCTTCATATCTTCCGTCTCCTTCTCAAACACCAAACTTCGCCCTCCTCTCTTTTTTCCTCGTTTTCTGCCCTGCCCAATTGCTGATTTTCTATCGAGAGATACCTTTGTTTGCTGTGCCCAGGAGGTCTAGCACCATGGCTTCAAGTCGTCTCTTCACTCTTCCCATGCGAGCATCCCTGCGGGGACCGGCGCTCGCTACTTTCCGCCCCTCTCCGTTCTATGCTGTAGGTGCTTTTGACGGAAGAGATGGAGAGCTTCACAACAGGAATAAGTTGGGCTAACAGTGCTTCGTTCGATAGTCTCGATGCTACTCTGTCCAGGCCGCGGACAAGATTGCCAAATTTAACGGCCAGAAAGGCCCAGATGTAGGTGTCAATCCAGCGCGGCTCTCGGGATTTTCTACAGCGAGGACGGAATACTGACCGGTGAACGCATAGGGCAAATACACTGTTACTCTGATCGAGGGTGACGGCATCGGACCAGAGATCTCAGACTCCGTTAAGCAGATCTTCAGCGCAGCTAATGTATGGCCCCCAGGGTTAATTGCATGCTCTGAGCATAGCTTTACTAAATACCGGTTTTGATCGATAGGTTCCAATCAAGTGGGAGCCAGTTGATGTTACCCCCATCTTGAAGAACGGAAAGACTGCTATTCCAGACGATGCCATTGCCAGTGTCAAGAAGAACTTTGTTGCCTTGAAGGGCCCTCTCGCTGTAAGCTCCGGAACCTTCATCTCGAGTAAAATGTACATAGGTGATAACTAACCGCTTGATTAGACTCCCATTGGCAAGGGACATGTTTCTCTCAATCTGACCCTCCGACGAACCTTCAATCTCTTTGCCAACCTCCGTCCCTGCAGATCCATTGCCGGCTACAAGACCCCATACGACGATGTTGACATTGTCCTTATCCGAGAGAACACCGAGGGAGAATACTCCGGAATTGAGCACGTTGTTGTCGATGGCGTTGTGCAGAGCATTAAGCTCATCACTCGTGAGGCTTCCGAACGTGTTCTCCGATTCGCCTTCCAGCACGCTCAGGAGATTGGAAGGAAGAAGGTCCGCGTCGTCCACAAGGCCACCATCATGAAGATGTCCGACGGTCTTTTCCTTAACACTGCCAAGGATGTTGCTAAGGACTTCCCTGGCATCGAATTCGACGCTGAGCTCCTCGACAACACCTGCTTGAGAGTCGTCACCGATCCCGCCCCATACAATGACAAAGTCCTTGTCATGCCCAACCTGTACGGAGACATTCTGTCCGATATGTGCGCCGGTCTGATCGGTGGTCTCGGATTGACCCCGTCCGGAAACATTGGAGACGAGTGTTCTATCTTTGAGGCTGTTCACGGCTCCGCTCCTGATATTGCTGGCAAGGGACTGGCCAACCCAACTGCTCTCTTGCTTAGCAGTATGATGATGTTGCGCCACATGGGATTGACCAACGATGCAAACAAGATTGAAGCTGCTATCTTCAAGACCCTCTCTGAAGGAAAGGTATGTTATTGCGAACTCCCCAAAATCTTTCTGGCATTGACTTCTAAACTAACTGTGACTTACTACTAGGCACTCACAGGTGACCTCGGAGGCAAGGCTAAGACCCACGAATATGCCGACGCCATCATCAAGAACATATAGGTGGTCTGCGACCCCAATAGTACGGACATCTACCTAATGCATTAATCCAGCGCGGATCTTGTTAGCCCCAAAAGAAGAGTTAATTAGACGGAGTAGAGTCGTTCTGCATTTCCCATTGAATTGGATATTGATTACCATTACCCCTTGCATTTCTTATCTGTTTATCTCATTGATGTGTTTGTATCTTGTTACTTGTTTCTATGTTATTTATATGTACAAATGATATGCGGATGAATTTTTGGAAAATCCTGGGGTGTATTCAAATATATGTTCAATATGAAGCAATCGGTGGTATTCTGCTGTTTTTACAAATATCGTTAACTCGTACAAGTACATTATCACCGTCGTCTACCGCCTCGCTTTGACGCAGGTCTTCCTTTCTTCGGCTTCCCACGCGTCGATTGTGTCCTAGTGGCTCTTGGGGCAGGAGATTCTGCTACCTTCGAGTCTCCATCACCGTCGTCATCACTACCATCCCTACCTGCCTCAGTGTCATCTTCGTCCCCGTCTTCCTCATTGACACTGCCTTTATCACTGGTAGCATCTCTGTTAGACTCTACCTCTACCTGTAGCCGTGAAGAGCGGGTGCCTCCCCTAGGTTGGCGCTTCACCCGGCCTCCTCGCCGGCTGCCTCGTGATGGTGCAGGAGATGAACGGAGTTCTAGATCGCATAGAAGTCAGCCCGGAGCTCAAGATATAGGACATGTAAAATAAAATCAATAACTCACCATCTGTATCTGCAATGGTGCTAGGCCGTCTTGACGTGGCCCTCCCGCTAACGGATGGAGAAACAGAGCCCTCCGGATTTATTCTTCGATCCCACATCATGTCCCCGAACTCATCGGCGGGTAAACTAAATGGACAATAAAGCTCTTGAGGTTGCTCCACATCCTCTGACTCCTCCGTCGATATTGGCTCTTCCTATATTAACCGTTTAGCATAGCTTCAAGCAAGGGATCAACGAGCGTAGTATCACACACTCTGTCATCTAGTGCAGGTAGATTATACAAAGTCCCTAGTTTCTTCCATATGCCCGGTATTCGTGTATGCTGTTCATTCGGTGCCGCATACCCTTGACTCTTCATATAATCTGATATAGCAAGCATACGGAAGTGTTTATGCATCCCTGATTATCCCGTTGTGTTAGCCCCCGAAGCTTGCTACTTGCGGCGCGCAAATGAACGAACCCACGGGTTTCCAACGTATTATTCCTTTAAGAAGTGATGTTTCTTGTTCATCCGTCCATGGATCTGCAACTATCGCATCGTAATCTATCTCGCGGACGGTAGGGGTGGGCTGTGGTTGTTCCTGCGACGTGGTTGCAGTGGTCTTCTGTTTCTTGCGCGGCGGCATTCTGATATCCTATAGCTCGAAACTCGTGTATAGAAGCTGCCTAAAACAATTTCTACCCTCTGCATATGATATCTCAACCCTCAAATTCCTCGTGTCTCTCTTTTGCTTTGCTCCGTTAAGCTGTTTCCTGTTATCTTTCTTACTTCGTTTACTTCTTTGAGAACCTTTGGAAGTTGTGACGATCTTTGCCTTACTTGGACTAATGCAAGGAAATAATCACGTGAATACGCGTTGTGATTACGTCATCCAAATCTCGAACGCCGAAAAGGGAAATCGTTGACAACAGACAAAAAAGAAGCAGAAGAAGTTGAAGAAATGCGGCGCATATAACAAAAGATATCCGGAGGATCGGAGACAGTTGAATAGACTGGTAGAAGAGACAATGGTATCGTGTGTTGATCCGTGTCTACTTAGATTATATCATTATCTCGGGCTCGCGTGTCGCATACCCTAGTCATGGACCTTGACACTCCCGAGGACCCCTTTGAGCTGGATGTTCTCCAGAAGCCTGTTTTCTTCTCGATTGATCCCATAAAGCCTTTGGACAAATACCCATGGAACGATGCTTTGCCAGGTATACCTCTATCTTTCCGTTTTTGGCCTTTGAATACTCAGAGCTGACATGTATCAAGACCTTACGGCGGGGCTGTTTGAGAGCCCCCTGCACTTATTCAAACATGAAGGAGTGGAAGTTCACACATTGAATATTTTTGGAGATGAGAAAGCAGAAGAGTCAGGTCCTCCAAGCGTGGCAGACTCTTCATCTAGTTCTGCACAGCATGGTAGCCAAGGAGAACCCACCGATGATTTCTCTGGCGAGGATATATGGTCCCTGGATAATATTCCAGCGTTACCTACCACGAGTTACGAATTGCTATCGTGGGATGTATTTCCGGATACCTGGAAAGAGCAATCAGGCCCAACATGCTTGAGCGAGGCTGGACCTCGTGGATTTGATGCCGCCTTGATACATCAAGCCACAAATACTGGTCTTGAGGATTCAGGACGGGTTGCAAAAACTGACGCTTTAATCTCTTCTCTTTTCAGACTTGGGCTTGGCTGGAACTCTGTGTTCTTCCGATATAACGAGCAGTCTCGCAAGTTTGAAAAGTACTTGAGAGATGTCCGTGTCTCTGGCATCAGTTTACCTGCAATAGATGGCTTAACTAAAGGTATCCTGGAATGTGGGACATTGATGCGGAAACTTCGTCAGTTTGTTGCTTGCGTGCCAACTCAGTCAGGAGCGCCACCTTCTCTGACCAGTCTCTCTCGGGTTGTTTTTATACTGCTGTACAGTATCGAGAACCAGCTTTCAGCAAAGTCAAAGACCAATCCATCCCTGCTACAGACGCATATGTATTTTGCACGGATCAGCTGCCTTGTTAAATGTTTAGTGGATATTGTCCAGAATGCAATCAGGCTTACAGCTGATGTACAGGTTATTTCGATGGTTTTTGCAAAGTGTGATCACTATTCGCATCAGCATCAATGGCTTGCAGACATTTTCCATGAGATTATGGGTGCTACTGCTAGTTTATGGCTGCATCGCGCAGCTCAGTGGATTGGCCTTCGACCGGCTGGAGGTCGATTAAATGTGACTCAAGAGTTTGATCCTGGGTACATTGATGAATATACCGCTGAAGAAACGAAATTCAACCCAGGGTCGATGCCGAGCTTTATCACCCGCGAAGACGCAAATGTTATTTACGAGACGGGGGTGGGCCTGAATCTGCTAAGGTCTTCCCACAAGGGCCATCCGCTGGCGGAAGTGCACCAGAAGGAAAACACGTCTTCCTTGACGCTAGAGTGGGGGTTAACATGGGAAGATATTGACAACATTCAGCTTAAAGCAAAATGCTATGAGGCTTGCCTGCGAAACGAGATTTTGAAATACAACCGAGCCATCGGGAAACCCCATAAAGAGTCCAGCACACCAAAGGAATACACGTTTGACTACCCGCAGGAAATAAATGTTGCTATCGATGCTATATATGAAATTGCAGACATTGGGAACGGGCCTGACGCCCAAGGACAGAGTATGAGTGACTGCCAAGTGAGGTCTAACAGGCTGTACCAGCTTGTAAAGGAAGGGTCATGTGTCGATATCGAGAAGAGCCTTATCGCAGAGCACACGTTTGGCCCGCCCCTCGAGTCGGCGCCATCGCTTTCCTTCGCACCAGTTATCTTGGCACAAAGCCGTCTCGTGAACTTCTCATGTCTGCATCTGCTATTCAAAGTCCACAAAGTAAGGGATCACCTGCAACTGCAGGAACGATTTCAACTTCTTGGGAATGCCGAGTTCCTGCTCCGTATTTCGCTAGCCCTTTTTGATCCAAACATGCATAGCGGTGAGCGAAAGTCTGGTGTTGCGAGGGGCGGTTCATCTACTGGTCTACGACTTGGGAACCGAAATTCCTGGCCGCCAGCAAGCTCTGAGCTCCGTCTGGTCTTGACGGGGCTACTGTCTGAGTGCTATGAGGGCGATTCTAGCGGAAAGCATCATCACCACCCTCATCCGGCCGGTTCTAGAGACTTACCCGGTGGCCTGAGCTTTTCAATCCGTGAGCTTACGGGAGAAGAACTGGAAAGCTGCAAGAACCCGCATTCACTTGAAGCCCTTGATTTCCTTCGAATACATTATACCCCACCCTCACCGCTAGAGGAGGTGATAACTCCTCTGAGCCTTGAGAAATATGACATAATATTCAGGCAGCTTCTCAGGCTTATAAGGATGCTCTCTGTGGTGCGGGACCTGGTTCGCGGCCCGTCAGGCCGACAGACATCAAACGTGGAGGCGCTCGAACAGAGATTTCGCTTGGAGGCATCCCACTTTGTCCAGGTAGTGAGCGACTACTGCTTCCAAGTCGGAATTAACCATCCCTGGCAACAGTTTGACAAGAAGCTATCGAAGATCGAACGGTGCATTGACGCTGGTGATGTCGAAGGCACCATCACGCATGCAAAGGGACTCCGGCGATTGCGGGAATACCACGAACGGGTTCTCGACAGGGTCATCCTGGCCCTCTTCCTGAACAAGAGCCAGCTCAAGGCGCGCAACATGCTGGAGGATGTCCTCCGGTCCATCCTAGCGTATTCCTTCCACGTCAAGGCATACCAGGAGCGACTGGACATCGCCATGGGCGAGGGTAGGATGCCATCGTCCAAAACCACTGCATACTACAACCGGTCCATTTCGGAGCTGTACTCGCGGTTCAAAAAGCAAGTAGGCAGCTTCATCCGCTTTTTACGTAGCTTAGAGGCGAGCGGTGTCAAAAATATGATTGATCACGATGACGACATGGATGCATCGGCCGATATAGATCTGAACAGCATCTTTGAGCATCTTCTCTTACGACTTGATATGAATGAATACTATTGACGAATTTAGATGTTTAACTACTTGACTGCCACCTCGCGGTAACACCACCCGAATGCAAATTACTCGCAGAGACCAAAGTAAACTATGGAGTACCCCAGTTATTATAGCTACCAGTGAGAGAAAAGAGGAGAAAGAAAGAAATAAAAAAAGGCGCATGAAGGGGTCATTTCATGATCAACTGCATGACCGGGGTAGTTATTCGTGCCATGTATGACACTGCGCTCTAACAGCACAGCGAGTCACCAAACCGGCGAAAAAGACAGGAAAATGTGCAGAATGTGGCGTCCATGGCTGCTTGATTTTCTTCTCGTCTTGCATCCCGTTAAAAGTCAGCCCGATAACGAAGTAACTATAGAGATAAGTTAACCAACTAGCTAAAGAACAAGGGAGTCATCGAACTATCCATCTCTCTATCTGTTGGAGAGGCGCGAGCATCCCAACCCGACTCTCTCCACCGGCTTCCAGGGCAATCATGGTATCGATAGACGCAGGTACTCCTGGCAACACATCCTGACTGGCCGCAAGAAGGGGACAGCCAGGACTAACATTACTTTTCTATGCAGCTGGTATCGGTGACAGGCGAATACACGATACAATACAAGCGGGTGGAGAGTCGCCCAGGGTAAAATTTCCGGAGAGTTGATTCCGTCAAGGTCGACGTCATAATCCTAGGCCATCGCCTTTTTTTTTCTTTCGTTCTTTCTCATTCATCATACTTATAACTAAGAAAGAGGCCGGGATGGCAGCTTGATAGGTATGCTGGAACTGGAGCCGAAGGTCTCGATTCAGCCGGCGATGGTTACAGTTTGCTGGAAAGTTGCCGAGGAACCAGGACGGCTGCTCTGGAAGCAGCCCGGACGAAAAGTGTATCCATGTATCTACCCCATGTATGTATCGCCGTGAGGAAGTCTGAGTCTATTCTTGGAGGTCGTAAGGGTCGTGGCCGTATAGATGTACTGGAGCAGGCATTAAAGGCAAGGTTGTGGGTGTGAGTGTGAGCAGCAGCTCTATTAAGCACAAGCCGGAGCAAGATCAGTCTGCTGCTACGAGCCTCTTGACCTTGTCTAGCAGCACCTTGCTCTCGCGGCCCAGCCGTCTCTTGCCAAACTGGTCCGGCCTCTTTGCCCTGGCCATATCTGCCCTCTCCTTCTCCTTCATCCTCCTCAGCTCAGCTCTCGCCTTTGCCTCCCTGATCCGCTTCTGTGCAGCATCCTCTTCCCTCGCAAAGGGATACGGTTTAGCCCGACGTTGCCTCCTGCCACCACTGCCACCACTGCCACCGGGCCGGCTGTCTTCATCCTTTTCCTGCTGCTGCATCTCGTCTGCCTCCCCTCTCCGTCTTGATCTGGCCCCTTCGCCTCGTAACAGGTCATGATGCTCGCTGTGAGAGTCTACCATGGCCTGCCTGTCCGGATGCAGTTCCAGCCCGGCCGGCTCGCGTGCAGGTTTTGAACTGTCCTGCTCTGCCGCAGCGGCTTCATCGTGGCTTTCTTCGTTGGCTTCCTGTGTCTCGTAGACGGACCTGACTGGCGCTGCAGCGAGCTCGCGTGCCTTGATCTTTTCGTACGACTTCTTCAGCTTGGCCTTGTGAATTAGATCTGCCTTAATCTTTATGACTATCGCTCCGAGTTATCTTAATTAGCATTGCCGGTGCATCGTATCAGTCCGTAGCAGTGTGTGTGTCCCTTACCTTTGCGCCTGTATGTCCCGTCCGGCAGGTTCGCTGGTCCGACTGAGAAGCCTTTCTTCGGCCGCTTCTGCTCCTTTCCTTCGCCATCGCCGTCTACCTTCCTCTTGGGTGCCATCTTCGGCCCGCAAAGCCGTTTGTCAAAGCAGTCAGCTATGCCGAGTGTGAGTGTGAAAGTAGAAGAAGAAAAAAATGGCCCTTTTTTGCTCGTTATCGCCCGAAAATGCAACTTTTCTTCTTCAACCGGGATTCTTCCTAGCGGTAACGCCCTTACAAGCCTTTTTTTACTCTTGTTGAAGTAAAATACTCTTGACTAGCTAGCAAGCCATCTTTCTTCGTCATCGTCTGAAAAGCAGGTGACTCTTGCATGGGGAAAGAAAAAGAGACGGAGAGGGAAGAAAAGCATGAGGTTTGTCTGTTATCACATATAAGTAATATATATATCTCTCGGTCTTATTATCATACATAACTGGCAGAGAAGAAGCAGCCGGGCCCCTGAAACATGACGCTGAAGGCAGGCTTCCTGTAAAGCTCCCTCGTCCTCCTCTCCCATAAGCCATTCGTCTGTGTCTTTGATATATTTCTTTGTCTCCCTCTGTGTCTGTCTGTCAAGGTCTCTCGCTTTCATTCACTTCTCTCTGTCTCTCTGGCCGGTCTCTCCACCGGCTCCGTAAGGCCGCAGGAAGCTCTCTTTGCCTTGCCCGTCCGTCTGCCACGTCTCTCTGTCCCCCGTCTACGGCCTGACTGCTGCTCCGGCCGTACAATGTCTGGTTGAAACCTCGCTATTTTCTTTGGGAGCCCAACATGCCGATATTTCAGGATCCAGAGGCCCAGGGACGGGAGTATAGCTGCTGGCCTCCCGCTCTCCCCCTACGCCGTCCTGTAACACCGCAGCAGCACCAGCAACAACATGAACAAACAGATATAGCAGAAATAGCAGAAGAGGACGAAGAAGAAGACAAGATGATGCTAGATCAGTCTTCTCTCGACCAGATCATGGAGACACCCTGCCATGGGCCCCAGACGAGCAGCCGTGAGGAGCTCATCCGCAGAATCAAGGACGGCCAAAGCCCTACCTGGATCCCCAACCGTGCTGTAAGTATTCCAGTACTCCTCTGCTGGAGTCGTCTCTCGTCCTGCTGCATCTATTCCAGCCGGAAGATGCATAGAAAGTCCAGGGCTGTCTGGAGTTGTTTGGAGTTTCATACATCACCCTGACTACAATTTGATATCTCACTTATTTCCCTACTTAATGCTAACATACTACCCAATAGCTCGAAGAATACTTTGCTACGCATGGAGACTCTCCACATGAGAGACTCGAGGAGAAGAAGCGGAATGGCTCGCCGCTGCTGCCGTCAGTAGAGCTTGAACGGTCTCCGGAACAAGAGGCTCCCAGCTACAGGTCCTGCGGCTCTCCCGTCAGCATTGAGCGGCCCAGGTCAGCTCTTCATTCAGGGGACTTCCGTGAAGGGTCCCCCAAACTGCTGGGGATCGAGCAGCTGGCTCAGCCGTCTTCTTCCATTGCCTCTTCTCCATCCTACCAGGAGCCAGGGTGCGTAGACTCAAACGTCGAGCACTCTCCTGCACCAACAGACCCCTTTGCCAGTTTCAACTTCAACCACCGTCAGGCCCTGGCCTCTCTCACGGGGAGATCCAGGGCCCCTTCTCTCGGCTCTGTGCCGTCAAGTTACGTCCTCAAGGCTCCCACCAGCCCACTGGTCATCCAAGCAAACAATCCGGACCTGGACTTCTCCGTCAAGGATGAACATATGGATGTATGTTCAACCAGCTCGGAAAAGGCCAGCAGGCGCCGGACTCTGCCACCAGAGACGTTTCGGAATTTTCCTTCTTCTTCCTCTCCCTCTTCATCTTACTGCTACCAGGCTCACCAGCCCAGAAGGTCTATCACTTCCATGCGGAGCTTGCAGATGGCCTCGTCCCCGCAGGGAGCAGGCCACGATTTTCTTCGCCCCAGACGCCCCTCTCAGTCCGCAGAGGCATCTCCCTTGCACCATGCGTCCATGGTTGGATCATTTGAAGAATCCATCTTGAGAGGAAGAATGTCTACCAATCCATCCAAACCACTAGACTTCACCGCTGAAATAGGAGTCCTGGGAAAGGGTAATTGCAAGTCTAACTTGAGATGTCCGCCACACGTCATGGTCCCCTTTCCAGCTGTCTTTTACAGCTATTCAGGCTCGGCCAGCGGTAAGAACATAGCAGACGACAGTCCAAGCCCATATGTCGGCTTTATCGATCTTGAGAACTCTCTACCGGCTGAAAGCAGGCCTGTCACCAAAAAGCCAAAGAAACAAGTTGCTCCCCGGAAGTGTCCATGCCATCCTCCTGAAGAGATCCATCCTTCGGATCTATCCCTCTCGCCACGGGGTGAGCTCCGAGCCCGAGAAAAGCGATCTCGCCGCTCACAGTCCCCAAAGTCGCCGCCAGGAGGCTGCTATCGTATCCCACAGCAGGGACAGCTACAGATCATCATAAAGAACCCAAACAAGACGGCCGTTAAACTTTTTCTTGTACCGTATGATCTCGAAGGCATGGAACCAGGAACCAAAACTTTCATCAGACAACGAAGCTATTCTACCGGCCCAGCCGTTGACATACCACAGGCCAACGCTGCCACACCTGATCCCCAGGATAAGCCTGTGCTTCGCTACCTGATACACATTAACGTCTGTTGCCCTTCCAGAGGCCGTTTCTACCTATACTCCGGCATCCGCGCAGTGTTCGCAAACCGGGTGCCAGACGGTAAAGAGAAGCTACGTAACGAACTACAATACCCCGAGCCACGATTCAGTACGTACAAGCTATCCAAGGAATCCGCCAGGTTCGCTGCCGAAAAGGCCCAACAGCATCGTCGTCGTAGTTCTGGCATCAGATTAGGCGGCCGGGACAGGGAGCAGATCGTCCCATCTTCTTCACCATCGTCATCATTTACTTCCCGACCACTCCAGCCTACTTCTGCGTTTCAACAACATCCTCCGTCCCTTCACGGTCAGATGTCTGACCCCCTGGACATCCGTGGTCATGGCCATTCAAGGGACCAGGAGAATTCTTTCACGAGTCCGCTATACATGCCTCCTACAGCCTGGCGTATGCGACCTACCGCAGCCATGTTAGATGCGTTCGACGGCATATCAGATGGCCCTTCAACGTCTCCTCGATCTAAGACAACTTCATTCACACCCTTCGCACCACCTCCGGTACAGGACATCCAGCAGCAACAGCAACAACCTCGTCAAGAACAATCTATACCCTTACAATCCATGCAAAACCTCCAGCTACCGCCTCTATCAAACTCTAGGCCCTCCAGCAGATCGTCCAATACCGAAAGCCTGCTATCCCTCAAACTACGAGATCTGAATGAATCGTCTCCCTCGCCCCCATAGGCTGCTGTTCTTTGTTTCAGCCACTTTCCTACTTCCTGCTGTCATCCGCTCCATCTTATACCCTTTCTATTATTTGAACTATTTTAATCATTTAAAGATACCCAATCGACCCCCTCTTAATATTAGAGAAAAGCAGCTAAGCCAATATGTACGTAGTTACTTCTAAAGCTGTTATTCACAGGTCTAAATTGTATTTATTCTACTCCTTGACTAGCTAGTCAGTTGGGTGTTTACTACGGCATCGGATCGGTAATATCCTGAGCCAGCTTTATATGCCTCCCTCTCCCCTCCCTCATTCCCCCCTTTTTCGCTAGAAGCTGGGTTACCGTAATTAGAACAAATAGCAGTATATATTGCGCAAGTATAGATATCTAAAGCAGCTAAAGATATGTGCAAATCAGCGGATGACGAATTTGTATTCGCCAGGACTAACTCTATCATAGCTTGCCTACGCCTATCCTACATGGTCCACAATCTCGCTAACAATCGCCCCATCTTTGATAACAGTCCGAATTTGCTCTGGAATAGGACACTCCTTTGCATCTGAGTCTTCAACATCCTCCTTGGGTGGCAAAACGATATTGATGGCCGTGCATTTGCTGGTAAGAATCTCGGTATCCATACTGCCGGCGTTAAGATAAACCTGGCCTCCGTCAATCTGATCAAACATCACAGCTGGAACGGCCCCGTCAATCTGAAGTGCAAACTTGGAACACTTGATTGCCTCCAAACTACTAACGAGCGAGTCGACGATGATGGAGACACCGACGCAGTTGTCAAGTGATATCGCATTAGCTTTGCCGTTGACTTTGATGATGGTCTTGTTGCATCGGGAGATGAGAATAGATTGGGTGAGAGAGGCGGAGATTTCAACAATATCAGCTGGGCTGTCGAAGTGTTCGATGAACCATTTGTTACCTTCTAGTTGTTTTCGGGAAGGTTTCTTGACACGCATGCTCTCTGGTTTTGGCTTCTTGCTAGGAGCAGGTGATTTGCCTCGCGAAGTAGGGCTGCCTGGAACAATTGACTGTGCTCGTAGGCTGGGGTTCTTGTGCGTTTGTTCCGACTTATCGACCTTTCGGAGGCCGGCAGTGACGGCGGAGCCTTGATTAAGCTGGTCGAAAACAGCAGACATGTCATTGCTTGGTGGCGCTGCTTTGATTACTGGCGGAGGGCCTGGGGGTGGAGGAGGTGGTGGTGGTGGAGGGGCTCCCCCTGCCTCCTTTGCTGCCGGAGCAGGTGGTACCGCAGTAGAGGAAGACCCTGAGGACACTTGCTTCAAGGCATCCATCACATCAATTCCATCCTTATCGTTCCATGTCACTCCTCGGGGGTAGTATTCCTTGATATACTCGATAAGGGATTTGTAGATTTGGTAGTATGCTTGGATATACTCGACATGGGTTTTGTCCCTGTTGGATGTCAGCAGAATGGTCTTCTCCGGCATTAACGGACCCTGGCCACTTACTTGTCTTTATATTGGTTGAGCACTCGGTTTCCGTAGAACTGTGCTCCGCCTAGAGTGTCCGTGACAAAAGTAGCTGGTCTAGTCTCGAAGAACCAACCCAACGCAACGATACCTTCTGCCACTGCACTGAGATGGTTGAAGAACGGTGAGGGTCGATTGCTCTCACGGATGTTGTTGATTTCATCAGAGGCTCGGTGCAGGTCTGTAAAGAGCTCAGGGGGTTGTGCTTCTGGTTTCTTTGCCTTTGTGGAGACAAGGAGGTATTTACGCTCGGCTTCGAAGGCTTTAAGAACCGCTTTCGACTATACCAGCAATTAATATTAGCATAATGTTTCCCCCGTAATTACGATTGCCAGATGGTAGCATACTTGAGGGGCAACTAGATCACCAAGCTGCTGGCTGATATCTATGAATGCCTTCACTTCATTCGAAATTATAGCGTCAAATGCCTCGATGCATTTCGGTAAAGGCTCCGCAGCTGGTGGAGCTGGAGCGGTGCTCGGTGATACGTTGGGACTTAGCATACCGGCACCGGCTGCTGGGCTAGGACCTGGGCCATCAAGGGAGGAGGCCATGTCCTCCAACCTGGAGGTCGCAGCTTCAAGCCTGTAATAGAGGTTGTATGTCAGCTATAACTCTTTGACCAACGCATAACCGCTGAATAAGTGCCATTATATACATACCGCTTGATAAGAGTTGTTAGGTTGTTCATATGGTTATTAGGGACGACCATCTTGCCAGCCGTATGTTGTCTCCGGGACAATTAAGGAGAGGGCGGCTCAACGCCTGTTCTTCAGATCAAACGCGGTGAATCTGAAGAGGATAAGTTCTCTCCCCTTCCACCGGCAGGCTGCTGGATAGGTTAGAGGGCTGGGCAAGTTGTCTGGTGCAGGTGTAGACGTAGATGTAGAAAGGGAGCGGATGCTGATATGTTCGAGGGAGACGAAGCGTCAAAAGAGCTTGGGAGGTTTATTACGATGCCTAATTTTACAAGCTCATACCGAGATAGTGGCTGATGATGCGCTGAGTGGGGAGTTTAATTACCAATAATACCGTACTATCCCATACCACGGTCAAACCCTCCTTGCGATTCTACATCGACAGAAACAATTAAAGGAGGAACACAGGCAACAGTATTGCTTAGGCATATTGATATTCCGGTAGAGAAGATGGCTATCCGAGATACAGAGATGCTGCCCGATGGATTTAGGCAGATAGATTTCTGTACTCTCGCCATGTTCATCATTGGCTAGTAAAACCATCCGTATCCCGCCCTGGTGATGCTGATACTAATGGAGGTAGAAGATTAGATGAAATCGAATATGAGCCTCCAACACCCCCTGTACGAGATATAGTGGGCGGAGCTGGCTCATTTGCTGCTATCGGTGCTCGCATTGCTGCTGGTAGGGAACACTCCCGCTCAGTCGGCTGGATCGTGGACATCGGCTATGACTTTCCAGAGCATGTCAGGGGCCTGATTGGCAGCTGGGAGACGCATTGTGTCTTTCGGGAAGATATGAACAGGCAAACCACTAAAGGGTGGAACGGCTATGAGTCTAATGAGAAGAGAGGTATTGTGTCGAGCCCAAGAATACCCTGATGGAGCTTATTTTTGACGCTGGCTTGCTAGCATTCAAGTATCTCACCCCCAAGATACAAATTGTCCCAGAGACACTCACCGAGGAGCTTGTGCTTTCAAATACTTTCCATATGTCATGCTCTGCGGATAGGTGCTATAGTATAGTACAGGGAGTACTGGCAAGACGGCACGTGCTAAGTGAGAGGTATAAGGTAAAGCTACGGCGGCCAATATTCGTCTGGGAGCCATTTCCGGACTCATGTCGTCCAGAGGAGCTTCCAAGATTCTACGAGGTAATTCGTCACGTAGATGTGGTGAGCCCAAATGATCATGAGATGGGGAGCTACTTTAGCAATGAATCATGGCAATATGATAATCCCAGAGACCAGGAGATATGCCGGTCTATTGTCAAGTCGGGCATAGGTATAGATGGGAACGGGGTACTAGTTGTTCGGGCAGGACGGGATGGGTGCTATGCCTTTTCTCGAGACGACCAGCTTGCATTGCCTGCATACCTGGACTCAAAGGCAGTAGATCCAACTGGTGCTGGTAATTCGTTCCTCGGAGCCCTTTGCCAGGTACTCGCGGGATCTAATCGCACACCTATACTTGCCTGCCGTGGGGTTATGGATGAATCTGAAAACTGGAAAGCAATCTGCGCTGCATGGGACGACAGAGGGAATATTCTAGCTGGATTGATATGCGCCACTGTCGCGGCAAGCTATGTAATCGAGCAAGTAGGCGTTCCCATCCTTTCCTTTGCGCCTAACGGCGAGGAACGCTGGAACGGGACGAGCTATGTCGAGCGAGTCCGTCACTACACCAAACATCTTGTGGACACGAAGGACTCCCACAGGAGACAGAACATTGGAATGGCTGAATGAATTGAACATCAATTGTCTTCTATCCACTTGAAAACAGAACGCCGTAAATATGAATAACTGTACAGGCTCGCGAGTGCCATTCTTCCCTTCAACGATCACGAATCACTTTTCGACGCTAATGCTCGCTCATGCTCGATAATCTGTTTGCTCCACCTGTATCCCACTTTGTTAGATTGCTGTTTCGATGGTCTTTCGAAGGTAAGGGCACGCAGACATACCATCGGCTGGGGAAGAAGCGGCCTGGTTCCGGGAACTTGTCACGGTGTTCATTCTGCGCGCTGTAGTTGAAAAGTAAGGCGGCAAGCCCAAGAGCGGTAGTACCGATAACGAAGGTATTGAACTTCCAATTGCCCGGCTGGGCGTACCAACCACTGGCAGGAGACCAGACGTGCGTCGGGTAGCTGTGATAATATATAGCCGTCAGTAACACTGCAAGACTTCCAACACCAATTGAACCACCCAAACTCCGCTGAACATACCGGACCTTCGGACCTCCACCCATCTTTTCTTTAGAACTGTACAGTCAAACAACGAGCGAGTTGCGGTCTTGTATCTGTAGGCGCCTGCTGCTTGTCCTTCTCTTCGCTCTTCTCGCGGACTTTCGTCGTTGGATGTTGGAGGTTTTGAAAGAGCGCAAGACGCGCTAGACCTAAAGCGGGCTAGCGCCGCAGAAACTCATCGCTCACAAATTCAACCTCCATCAAATTGTTCGACTTTCTTCTGCAAATTTGTTTCGTGCCAGCACCAGAGAGGACAAGGAGAGGACGAAGGGATACCTAGGATAGCAACGATACTTTCGACGTCCTCAATTGAGCTGCTCATTTAATCCGGTGGTCTCTCTTTACACCCTCGCCATACCCCGTGGACCGGGAAGCCCAAATGAAAAGATTGCAGCTCCTACGCTGGAGCGGTGCCGTTGTATCGCCGCCAATACGGTCCTGTCGCAGCTCATATCTACGGCCCTTTCAGCACCAGAGGAATGTGAGATGGCTCTCCTCTGCAGCTGCGCCCGTAATTCCCGAAAATGATCTCCCTTCTCTCCCACACAGCGTCCGAACTCAAAGTCCTCCACTCGCATCAGCCGAAGATTTCACAGCGTCTCCAAAGCTCTCCTCACTCCATGCTCGACTCTCGTTGCCAGAGCGTCTGCCGCTTCAGACACTGGCTCGCACCCTAATTGATGCCTCCGCCGATACCTCTTCTCAATTTAACAACCATTCCTTCTCCGTCCTCGGCAACGACCTCCTCTCCTATTATACTACCGAACACCTTATTACCCAATATCCACGGTTACCCATGTCAGTGCTCTGGACAGCAATGTATGCATACATAGGCCCAAAGGCATTGGCCGTCATGGCCAACGAATGGGGTGTTGAGCACGCAGCCGAGCCAGGCAGCGAGGTCGATCCTGCTTACCTCCAATTCCGGATAGCAGACCAGCAGACAATAGATAAGGAAAGTCAAGAAATACCAGCCGGAATATCTCGTCAGCCTCTACCTGGCGAGAAGTTCAGACGAGGACTCGGCTCGTTGTTTGTAAACGACGTCGAATTTTCTGAGTGCCGTGACGTCGACCCAAACACCTACGGAGACGCCATCACACCAACTCGGGCTTCTGCAAACTTCGTCCGAGCCTTAATGGGCGCTGTCTACCTCCATGGAGGACGACGTGCCGCAAAGGCCTTCTTCGAGGAACACTTCAAGTCCCGCCAACTACCAATTGCCGATCTCTTCGGCTTTACTGAGCCCACACGCGATCTCTCCAAGCTATGCAAGCGAGAGGGCTTCGAGGCTCCAGTGGCCAAGGTTATAAGTGAGACAGGCCGACTCAGCAGACACCCGGTGTTCATAGTTGGTATCTTCTCCGGCAAGGACAAACTCGGCGAAGGAGCCGGGTCAAGCTTAACTGAAGCTCGTGTCAGAGCGGCCGTTGCTGCCTTGAAGAGCTGGTACCTTTACAGTCCCCTCAACGCCAGAGTACCCAGCTCGATGGAAGAAGAAGGTGCGGAACCCTGGAAAAGAGCTCACATCGATCCAGGCGAGATCATTGTTTAATTTCCCGGTAAGAGCCCAAAAAAGACTATTATACATACACAAACAGGCCAATATATGTGGTCATGGCGCGCGGAGGCTGGACATGATACATTATTTTTTCTCCCTTTTACCCTTTTCACCACCCATGTTTAACTACTATGATTTTCCTTTGAAATAACATGTACCATATATATGGCGTTCCTGCGTCAATTTTACACTTGTTCTACAGGTTTAATTGGTAATATTCTCTGCCCTGGTATATCGAACACATAGCAATATATAGCTTACGGGGACATTACTTCTATGGATATGTGTACCGTAAGGTCAGGTTGGAGGATAGTAACAGGTTGATATCAATTGGGTGGTTAATTTATTTTTTACGTAAACTATTCATTAACCAATCACTAAATAACTACCTAGTTATTATCTACCTTTTGATTTGACACTAACTATCCATCTTCTGTGGTGGGCTGGGAAAGCTCTGCGTGCTAGCAGTTCTTCCATTTCTTCTTCGCCAACCAACTCGTCCGCCATTCATCAACTGCCCTACAATGGCGGCCAGGAAAGTGTTTGCTATACCGGAGCTCGTCCATCTCATCGTTGAGCAAGCCGAGTGGTATGAGCGCCGCCAGCTACTCACAATCTCACGCCTATTCCAAGCCGCTGTCGAGCCGTCTGTATGGCGTGGCTACACCTTCAGAACAGATAGCAGCGCCGAAGAGTTCCTAGAGAAATATCACGGCCACCGCAGCCGCTACCTTCGCTCTATAGATATTCATATTGACTTTCCAACCCAGGTGGCCACTGATGGGAACGAAATCCCATGCCGCGAGACGGCTAAAGATCTCCAGTCATATAACGAGCTCTTTACCCGTCAAATATTAGCTCTGTTTACTATGCTCAAGACCTTAGAGGATCGAGAGCTCCCCCAAAATCGACCAAGGGACATTAACTTATGCCTCCGGATTTATCGACTCTATCGAGGTAGTAACAAAGAGTGCCATCACCGCGAACGTCTCAGCTGGCGCCTTTGTCTGCTCACACATAAGGATCTGCCTACCCTCTCGTCAGTTATAAGCCTCCGTCTCAGTCAGGATGAGTATAAGGATGATAATGGCGCTCCTAAGGTCAATTTGCCCTCCACACCACAGCCCTTGGATTTTGGTGCTATATCTAGTCTCGTTTCCAAGCTCCCAAATTTAGATAATTTGGAAGGTGAATGGCATGAGGACGACTGGCAGGTGGCTTATGAGTACGCTGTTCTCATCCACTTTACACGGCCATGGGAAGGTCCCTGGCGTGATTCTAGGCATACCTTTGGTAATATTATACGGAATGCAGCCACTCTACTAACAAAAATTAGGCGTATAAAGCTAGAATTTTGTCGGACTTATGCCTTCAAGTATCATGATCAAAGCTTACCCCTGCCTAATCTGATTAGCCCACTATCCTACGATCCATTTAGCTCTGGCCTTCGTATAATCTCACAACGTGTGGTTAACTTGGCTATCCGTGCATGTGTTGACCGTAATCTTTTCTGGCCTTTAGATAGCGAAGGCAAGGTTGAGTCCCCATCTTGGCCGTACTTGAAAAACCTCCATGTCGAATTTGAACCTATGTCGCCATCTGGGATATGGTACTTTCAAGGGCCTAGGGGAGAGGGTCGAGAGGCCAATACCCCGTTTGAGATTACCCAAGCTCACTATCCCCCAGTTGGGGAAAACCCACAAGATAAGCACTGGGATGAGATTTGGATACGAGAATGGGGTCAATGGGAGAATATGCAGCCTAATATATTTCGAATCACCCCCATTGATGAGACTATAGAGCTATTCCTAGAAGCATTTATTAAGGCATTAGAGAAAATGCCATTACTAGAGGAAGTCGAACTATTCACGCGTATGAAATTTGCGCCTGATGAAGACTTATATGACACCTATGATGCCGACGAAGAAAAGGAATACCTATGGGGATTACGGTATCTTCTTCCAAAAGACGGTGGCAACCCCCTGCTTGAGTGGCATATTGGTGACTGGCGCCCAAGCGAAAGGCTGCTGCAGAGATTTCACGATATTGCAGCGCATAGAAGCGGAAACCCGTTGGAGGAGAGATGGGTGGATTGGAAGCAGTGCAACATCCACAGTTTTTACCGCCATAGTTTTGAATCTTTTTCTTCTGTAACTTATATGGAGTAGATATAAATATTCAGTCAGCAGAAATCTTCTTTTTTCAACGACTAGACTCGTCCTCTTCAGTCCATATGACTCGATGAGACATTGTTATAAGTATGGACCGTGGACCTTATTTTCCTATCTACTAGTACATGGTGGTTGGTTGCTCTGAGCAGCGTCCACCGACTGACTGCCTAGATACCTGAGGTAACTAGCAATTGCTACTACTAATTCCAAGTCCCCCTTATCACCACCGATACCCCGCACATCCTAAACTAAAATGGGTTTCCCCAATTTGGCACCGCCGGCTTCTCTCTGATAATAATCTGGCGTCATCCGGAGACTTGTGTATTTCCAACAATTGTGATAACTAGTTATCTACACTGTAAAGAAAGACGACAATTGCGCCTCCATTGCTAAAAGTGCCAACATCACCGTTCCACAGCTGCATGCATGGAATCCAGTGAGCTACAAAGTCCAGGGATCTCGCATCTTAGGTAGTCTTAGTTACTAGTTAGACCCCATCGCTACTAAAGTTAGTTACTTGGCATGACATGAACTAATTAGCAATAGGCCCTTGAGCTAGTTATAAGTTCAGTCAGAATAGACTTTTGGAAGCTGCAAGAGACATTTAGCGACACGCGCGAGTTCCAACAAAAGCCATGCGGATGTTTCCACTTTGATTTCTTGTCAAATGTATGTAACTTAGTCAGCTTCCATCCGTATTTGGACCTGGAAATCTCTGCATGTGCACACGAAGGACGAAGCTCTGGGTCAACACCAATTCATACGGTTATACGCTCTGCAGCGCTGTAACCAATCATTTACAACCTTTTGCTGCTGTCATTTGACATTTCTCTACATTCCCTCCTGCCATGCTAACTAACTAGTCAATTGAAGGCTAAACTAAGTTTGCCTCGGCGCGTAAATCACAGAATATACGCCTTGCTCCAGTTCCATGTATGCTAATAACAGCACTCAGACTTCATGGAAAATCTCCAATACTGTCAGCCGGCCAATGTTGGCTATGTACTTCAAGGCTGACTATAAGAATAGTCACAAGAAACCAGTACCTCACTTTTGGGCTCACTATGTCACTTTTACTCAGACCCGGATTTTGTCGTATCTATTATTTTCACGTTATTCCTGACGCTCTAACTTGATTCGCCATCGTTTGTGCTTTTATGGCGGACGATAGCGACTATGCTATCAAAATTCGTTTTTAGCCTGTATAGCTATAATGCCACGCAGCCAATAATCAAAAAGTATTTTAAGTAGCACCTTTTTATGGGTAATACTTTACACACCTTATCTAAGCACTTCTTCCCTTAAGGCTCTCCCCTGGGCCTCTCCCTGGGCCTCTTCTTAGGCTATGTTTAATTAGTAACATTCTCTGTCCTGGTAGATCGAACACGCCTAGCACTTAGGCTATGTTTAATTAGTAACATTCTCTGTCCTGGTAGATCGAACACGCCTAGCAATATATAGCTTACGGGGATATTATTGCGGATTGGTACATAGGCCTACTATTGGTAAGATGATAAAGGAAACCATAGGACTTAAAAGCAAGATAGTATTAAGAAAAAAGAAAGGAACAAAAACGACTTAAGGAAAATATAAAAAAACCCCAAGTAAATATAGACATTACCATCTAATTCCATAGTTGTTTGAGGACGCAAGGCCCCAATAAAGATAAACATGCTCCGAGAACGTCTTTGGCTTTCTGTCCTTGCAGATGTAAATATCCTCATAGTCCACAATCCAGCTGCAAAACTGACGTAAGTAACTAGTCAAGTGGCGTAGGGGAACGAGGCCACAAGTAAAAGAACCTACCATTTATTCTTCTTCTCATCATAAATGATGTTTCCGAGATGAGGATCACCTATAAAGCCATGATTGCGGCATATCTCCCTACACGATATCATATTAGAGATAATCTCGTTCAACAAATCTGCAGTAGACTTACGTCAAGGTTTCACGAAAAGCAGCCCGAATCTTGTCACGTTTGGCCAGGTCGTAACTCCAAAACTCAGACAGTGTTATTCCAGGAACCTTTTCCATTATGATGAACACAATATAACCTCCTGGGACAGGGTAGTGATCACGTTGAAGCGACCGTTTTAAGTGAATAATTCTTGGTGTCGCTTTACTGCCTACTTTGTTAAAGTGACGTAGAGATGCAATCTCCATATCTATAAAATGAGATGTTTCTATAGAAGCAAAATTTCTCCTAGACTCTGGCTTCAAGCTTGCCGGGTATTCAGGTGGGACCCTACTAGGCATTAGCAAAACATAGAGCATAAGCGAAGAAGATACAATACTTACTGTAATCGAATCTTGACGATGCATCCGTTCCAAGTGAGTTCCCCCTGATCTGTTGGCAGACGTAAACCGCCTGTGCCTCTGCCACCGTCTTTTCACATACATTGTTCTCCGCCGGGTAGAAGCTCGCGCGCTCAGAGAGCTTCTTTTTGATTTGCCATTCGGTTCCATCGTCTGCACTCCAAATAACATAGTCATCAAACAAGTCTCTAACCCAGTTCTGATAGAACTTGGTGCCACCCATGGTTTGATAGAGGGTATGCAAGGAAGAAAACGATATTATACTGATGGATAAAAGGAAACGGTGTGGTGGGCTTGACAAGAGCTTGTTTATATGTCTGGACCTACCTACCTATAGGTACCATTCAAGTCACGAGTCTCTGGCGCTTCCAAAACGAATAACTTTACGGAGTACCGGGTAACTGGTTAACTAAGGTAGCTGCGAATAAAGTTTTGATGATTATTGGCAGAGAACTGTAGTTAACTATACGCATAACAGGTAGTTAATAGTTATGTTGGACAAGGCTCCTGCGAAATGCGTATACATTATATTTGGGCCCTATGCATTGAATAGTTTAGCGAAGTACAATGCCTTCCAAAATCTCAGTGAAGAATCCACGTATACCCCAGTGTGTGAGAAGATAGCCCCGTCCTGCCTATCATTAGTATGGGTTGACTCTTTGATTCTTTTAGTTTGTATTCTTGATATCAAGATATGTACCTAACTAAATATCCTCTCCCTCCGCATTCCCTCCTTCCTTACTTATATCTCTAGACATCTTATTTCCCCTTATCCCTAACGCCGAACTGTGGCCTCAATTGATTTATTTGGAACACTACATAGTTGCTACCGCTATCACGTACATGAACCCTACACGTTTCAAATGCATACCCATCGGGAAGAAAGTATAAATCGGAATTTGTCCTCCTGGAAAACACGATCAACAGTATAGCGAAAGGAAAGGTAACTAAGTCTTCTAACCCTTTGGCAGTTCTGTTCCTGCAAATAAAGTTTTCTGTATTGTAACAATCTGGCTCAAATTTATGCTTGGGGCCCCGGGAAACCTATCGATGACAATGATTTACAGCTCGCTATCCAGAACAACCCTGATGAGGCTATCAAGTCATTACGCGATCTTATAGGATCAGTATTATACTATCGAGCCCAAGTAATCGTCGATACACTAAAGAACCAAAAGGAACGTGTTGGTGTCATACTCGGAGAGATTGACAAGAACTGGCGAAACATCAGCGGACTGTGTCTAACACGAAGTACGATGCCTGGAAAAGCCAAGACCTTGCGACCAAGTGGGACAGATTCAAGAGGTCTCAGTAGTTATGTCAAAGCTTACAGCAAGACAACAGGGCTGCTCAAAATATCCGCCAAGAAATTAAGTGATAAGTACGGGTCCGCAGCGTACATTAAATCAGCTCAAAATGCACCAAATGATGATGCAGCTACACGGAAAAAGGAGTGGATGAGAGAGGTGATAGAAAAGGTTGAAAAATTTGACAACGCCGTGGAAATATTGCCAAGTTGGCCAAACCCATTTTAATTTGCGGAAGGCTACTAATGTTGATAACGGTGACCAACAGGGTGATAGTAAATACATGTTTGTTAGCTAGTTAATGGATGAACTATTACATGACAGCAGATAGAGAAGAAACCCTCTATATTCAGTTTAAGGATCCATACCTCTCTCAATGGTACGTCGCGGTATGTAGATCAAAGAGGATAAAACTGGTGCTGAGAAAAAGGATTCCGCCGATCGATTTATTTTATTCCGATGCATAGAGTATGGAGGAGAGAGATTTAGAGCAGACAGCCAAACACGGCTTCCAATCCATCCATCTCTCGTCTAACTGGCTCCCACTCCGCTGTGTCGCAATATCATGAAAGCTCTGCAGAAGCTTTTGGCTTGGGCGCCAATTTCCAACGTGCCACTCAAGAAGGGGGCGCCCGCCATCTTTCGGAAGAAGATACCTTAGTCCCCACATATATTCCCTATCCCAATCATCTTCATTATAATTCTCCTCTATCTCTTCACAAGGCGAAAATTGTAAGTATGTAAATAGCTCAACCTCCTCTAGTAGTGGCATCTTCCCTAGTGCCTTAATAAACGCCTCTAATAATGGTTCTATAGCTTTGTCGATAGGTGAGATTCGAAACATGTTAGATTTCATATTCTCCCAGTAGACGGCCTGTGTTCTCCAAACTTCGTCCCAATACTTATCCTGGGAGTTTTCCTTAACCGGAGGATAGTGGGCTTCGGTAACTTCAAATGTTTCTGGATTCTGGCCTTCCCCCCGTGGGCCTTGGAAGTACCATGTGCCAGAAGGTGACAAGGGCTGAAATTCAACATGTAGTTTTTTCAAATACGGCCAAAATGGTGGCTCGGTATTATCTTCACTAGGGGTATTATCTTCACTAGGTGATGGCCAGAAGAGACTTTGGTTAATACATGCACGGATACTTAGATTAACCACATGCTGTGAGAGAATGCGAAGACCCAAGCTAAATAGATCATAGGATAGTGGGCTAATTAAGTTAGGTATAGGGAGGTTTTCATTCTGGTATCGTGAGGCATAACTTTGACAAAAGACTATTATAACACGTTTAATCTTTAACGGTAAGGTAGTCTTCTGCATCAAATTACCAAAAGCGTGTCTTGAGTCGCGCCGAGGCCCTTCCCATGGCCGGGTGAAGTGTGTGAGAACAGGCGCTTCATAGAATTCTGGCCAATCTTCATAAAGCAATGGACAATCCAAAGTATCCAGATTAGGGAACTTAGAAATCAGGGCGGGTATAACACCATAATCTAAAGGCTGGGATGTGGCAGCTATACCAACCCTTGTTTCACCTTTACCGGACCCACGTTTGCCAATTTCAAGGCATGTAATTGATAAGAGAATAGGCAGATGCTCATGCGTGAGTAGGCAGAGGCGCCAGCTAAGATACTGACGGTGTTCACAGTGATTATTATCAGCATGATAGTGGTGGGGGCCCCAGAGGCGTAAGCGAATATTCCTTGGTTGATTATATGGGAGCTCTCGTTCCTCTAGGGTCTTGAGCATAGTAAACAAAGCTGAAATCCGACGAGTAAAGAGTTCATTATATGACTGGATATCTTCAGCTATCTCACGGCATGGAATTGTTTTGCTCCCAGCTGCGGGTATCTGAGTAGGAAAGTCGATATGGATATCTATAGATCGGAGGTAGCGGCTGCGATGGCCATGGTATTTGCCTAGAAATTCTTCGATACTACTTGCTGTCCTAAAGGTATAGGAACGCCACGCATACCGCTCGACAGCGACTTGAAAAAGCCGCGAGACCGTGAGGAGCTGGCAACGTGTCTCATACTTGGCATGCTCAACGATGAGGCTGACGAGCTCTGGCAGGATAAGCACCTTCGAGGCGCTCATAATGGGATAGAGAAGTACAGTGTAACAAGACAGGAATGATAAAAGGGAATGGTGAGTGCGAACGGAGTGGTTGGTACACAAGAAAGTGGATGTTGCAGGTCGAAAATCAAGCGAGCTTTTCCGCACTATACTTTAAGTGGCAGGCCAAAGTCATGTAAAAATGGTACAGAGGTCATCCCTGCAAGAGACAGTGGGTTAGTAAGTAGCCGAAGTCTAATAGGGTGGCCTTTCTTAAGGGAGAAAACCTGACCAGATGACATAGACGTTGAAACACGCCCTCCCATGTTGTAGAGTGTTAACTATGAAGAGAACATGAAAGATAAACGATATGGTGTGGTCGTGGATAGAAGCAGACGCTGTTTTTATTCTCACGGCGATGCTGCAACCTTCCGGCGCTTAACAGGTTAACTTAAAGCAGCCAAAATAATAAAATCTTGGCAAACTAGCAAGTTAGCGTTAGAGCTCGTCGCTACTAAAGTTACTTGGTACAATATTAACCAATTAGCAAGAGACCCTTGAGCAAAGTTCAGAATAGACTTTTGGAGGTTGCAGGAGACTTTTAGCGACACGCTCGAACTCCAACAAAAGCCATGCATTACCCAATGGGCCGCATGAGAGCCGGCTGACGGCGCGTACGGAGGCACGGAGATGTTTCCACTTGATTTCTCTACATTCCCTTATGCTAGTTAACTACAAGACTTCTGATCCACTAACTAACTAGTTAGTTGGAGAGCAAACCAAATTTGCCTCGGCGAGTAAATCACAAAATATATGTTGAATTATGTGGGAAGAAGATAAGTGTAGTTGTTCAAGATGATGACCAAAAGAATGCCGGTGGTGGCTCAGATCGCAGTCTACCACCCGTGCGTACACAGGAAGGGGTTAGGAATCCTACAGCTACCTTTAACCTGGAAACTTCTCACTATAGACGCCAAAGGCGTGAGTCGACTCGGAGTTCTAGTCCCTTTGACCCTTATCATGGAAACCAGACGGGCCCAGACATAAAGGGTAAAAGGAAAGCGTTAGGGAGCCCGGACTACTCAAGTCCTCAACAGAGTGACTCCAGGCAGCCAAACGAAAGCGATTACCTCCAGCATTCGAGGGATGTTAGTCCGCATGGTTCGCGTGACCAATATATGCAATCGCCAACACCTGCACCCAGATCAGATAAAGGCAGCACATACCCGTCACCAAGTCCTCATCAGTTGGACCAGCAGACCAGCAGGGATCTACCTTATCGCCCAAGCGGTGACACTCATCAATCGAGATCCGGGAGCCCTCGAGGAAGCAAACCTGGGACTTCCAATGATCCACCCAGAAACCTCCCCGGAAGAAGTAACAAGCAGCTTAAAATAACGGCTAACAAGCCTATGTTATCCTTGTTTAGTGCTAGTGAAACTCATGAGCGCTGAAGGGGGCTGGTAACGTGGGATGACGGATTTTACACATTATTATCCTACACTACTTGCTGGCGGAGAGAGAGCTATACTTGACAGAGACATCCTAGAGCAGGTCTTTAGGTGCGAGGGTTGGGTGGATTGGTTTTGTTTGTAGTTGCTTTTTACTTGTGATTTTACTGGTAACTCTTTGCTTGATTCTTCGCTTTCCTTACGCGAGGACATTTGTAATGGCTACTTTGCTTCAAGCAGCTAATGAATAATCCGACCTTGATTGTCCTAATTACAGCTTTGGTGAGCTGTCTGCGTATGTGCAAGCCTAGTAACTAGTGCCGCGTTCCATATACAGCCCGGAATAACTAAATACATGACGAGAAGTAAATTGGCGTGCGTAAGTGTATTAACAACCGAGAAAGCAGTGTCATCGATGATTATTAACCATCTCATTCACAATCCTGGCCCCTAGGCTTCTGGCCTCCGACATACTCAGCGTAGTCAATCCACAGTTCCTGAACGTCTTGGCCAAAAAGACCGTTCCAGAAAGTCTCACCATCGACACCGAGATACCCCTGTCTCAGAAGGCGGTCGTTAATCAAACCCACGGCACCCGTTCCGATCCTAACATTCTCGATCCACTCGAGGAAGAAGGCGGTGTTCTGGTATCCTACATCCCATTTCTTGGGGAGGTCGGCCAAAGACGCCGGACGCTTCCAGTGAGCTGCTCCCAGTCCAGCCTTCAAGCGGACAAAGTCTGCAATCCCTTCGATCAGGCCGGAGGGAGGGTTTGGGGTTGATCTGCCTGGCGGGTGGGTATGCTGGTAGCAGTGCACAAGCTCATGCTGAATGACGCCGGCTATCTCAGCAACCGTGTCCTTCAAGGAAGCCGTGTGGGCGATGTAGGAGAGCGACATGTGGATCTCCTTTTGGTTGTTGTCCGAGCTCACCCCGATGGTATAGGCGACTCCCTGGAAGTCATGGATGATGAAGGAGACGGATGAGGTAGGGGGCAGCGAAGGGCTGAACTGGATTCGCCCGCTAGACGGAGAGGTGTAGATATATCTGACGATCTCTGCTATCGCCTTCTGCATGACCGCATAGGGGTCTGGAACCGCCTTGATCAAGACCTTTGACGCCGAGTGGCCCAGGTCTTCAAAGTGAAGCCGCAGCTTAGGCTTGGGGACGGCCGGCGCACCAGAGGCAGCGAGCGGATATCCACATCCTTCCCTCCCCCACTGTGGGACGTCGTTGTCGGTAACCTCCTTTTCGTTGTCTGTTTCGCCGACCCCTGGAGGCATCAGGGAGGAGGAGGCCGGCGTCGGGATAGCGGAAGAAGAAGACTCAGACATGGCTGCAACTCGCAACTTGCACAGTACAGAGTGTATGTGACGCATAGAGGACGCGATATATGCCACCCACTCGGCCTCTATATATCAGCAATATTGGTCTTTCTTTTCTTCTTCGTCTCCTTTTCGCTCTCTGCTACGGCTAGTCAGACGACGAATGTGTATATCGAAATGTATAGTTAAACACAAAGTTAGATGGCCTGTAGGTTGCACCGATCCACGGCCACACATGACACAGTCGCTGTGCCTGACCGTCGAGCCACGGAACGCAGGCAGAGCCCATGGCCACAGCCTGTAACTAACTAACTCTACTCTGCCGCATCTTAGGTAACTCCCTTGCCGTCTGCATCTACTCCGTACTGTAACTAGCCGCTGTCAGTTGCAGCTAGTAACTAGCAACTGCATATCCGTACATAGTAACGACATAGTAACTTGCATATGCGGTGCTGCAGCTAAAAAGGAGGCTGCTGAGTCAGCAGTTGCCCTGCCCAAGCGCCGCAAACGACGCCGAAAGAGGGAAAAAGCAACATCGACGTCAGCAACAACAACAACCAACGACAACACATAAAAAAGGCTGCCAGCGAAAAGGAAGACAAGACAAGACAAGACAGACTCGCTGCACCGCACTGCGGATTGCCTCTCACGCTGCCTGCTGCCGTCTCACAGGACTCGAATATAGTGTTGTCAAGCGTCCCCGCGTCCATCACTCGCCTGCTTTCGTCGTGTAACTCGGCCCATCTACAAAAGTTTACCAGGCAGTTTGGCCCGCAGCCGACCAAACAACAACAACAATAGCCCTCTCCTCCGCCCGCCACTCCCCAGCAACCGAAACCGAAGCTCAGCTCTCAGCTTCTTCTCGTACGGCCTGACGCCCGGCGACCACTGCTCAACGACTATCCCCAATGACATTTGCGGTTGTGCGACTCTGACAATGGATGAACGAGCCACGGAGCTACTAGCTGCCCTGCGCAACACGTCCCTCTCCGTCGACGCGAAGGTGACCTCGCTGACCAAGCTCAAGTCGGAAATCAAGCAAAGGCATGTTCCTACGTCTGCCGCCGGGGATATATTCGATGCCATCCGCCTGGCTATTGCGTCACAGCATGGCTCCCTCTCCGCCGGTGGCTTCTCTGCGCTCGGTCATCTGCTGAAACGGCTCTACCTCCAAGAACAGAATGCTTTGATCGCCAGTCAGGGACGCCATACGTACTCGCTGCTGCTCGAGAAGCTCGGTGATCACAAGGAACGTGTGCGGGCTCACGCTTCCCAGGCGTTTGTGGACTTCTGGCAGTCAGCACCCGCAGACGTTGAGCACCATGTTCTAGAGGTTGCCCTCGTCGGCAAGAGCCCCAGGGCAAAAGAAACTAGTATGATGTGGCTGGTAAAGGTGTGTACTCGTCTGCTGCCTATTCATACTTTTTATTTCTATTTCTATTTTTATTTTTATTCTCGTCGTTTTATCCTTTTTATACACACGCCAGCTGACCGTTATGCTATACAGATGACAAAGGAGCGTGGGGTTCTGTTCCGTGCTCACGTCCCCAGCCTTGTTGTTGGCCTCGAGGACGCAGACAGCTCTGTCAGAGAAACGGCCAAGGCTGCCGTGATCGAGTTATTTCAGTAAGCGATGCATTGCCGGTCTATATCACTTGTCTGTCCGTCATAATCTAATCCCCGCTATCTCGTGCTTAGGAACGCCCCGCCACGAGCCATATCAGATCTAAAGAAACAGATTCAGTCCCATAATGTCAGGAGGTCTATCACTTTATCCATTTTTGCGGCACTTGGTATCAACTCTATACCCGATGCAGACCTTCCTTCCTCACACTCTGGCATACCTGCCCGGCCTGGAAGCAGTTTCTCCCACCGTCGAGAGGAACCACCAAGGCCCAACTCAGTTCTTTCAACTCGCTCACATCACCATCAAGATGGAAGCAGTATGTTTCCCCCTTCCCCCTCCTTAACTGCTTAGAACTGTGTGTATCTTGTCTCTAACATATAACCCAAGGTCGAAATGATGACTCCCATTATGCTCCATCACGGCCTCCTAGAGGTGATCCGCCCAGAAAGGACGCACTCTCACATGCTGCTAGCATTGAGTCCTTATCCACAGTCAGCGTCGAACACGAGGTCCCCGTTTCTCTTGATCCAATTACTATATACTCCAACAGAGAAATTGATGACATGTTTCGAGACATGGTACCCCATTTCGAAGGGAAAGAAACCGAACACAACTGGCTACATCGTGAAAAGAGTGTCCACACTTTACGGAGGTTGACCAAAGGAAATGCCCCTCATGAGTACCAAGCTCACTACTTGGCAGGTATCAAACAGCTGCTCGATGGCATTCTCAAAGCAGTCAACTCTCTCCGTACCACTCTATCAGCGGCAGGTTGCTCTCTTCTTCAAGACATTGCTCGAGTAAACGGGCCAGCCATAGAACCAATGGTCGAGATACTGCTTCAGAATCTTATCAAACTATGTGGTGCTGTCAAAAAGATAACCTCTCAAAGTGGGAATCTCACAGTTGATACTATCATTGGTAACATCTCTTATTCTGCTCGTCTACTCCAACATATGTGGGCTGCCTGCCAGGATAAGAATACCCAACCTAGGCTTTTTGCGACTGGATGGCTCAAAACGATCATGAACCGGCATGCTAAGCATAAGAATGCAATTGAGCACGGTGGCGGTGTGGATCTTATTGAAAAATGTATCAAGAAAGGCCTAGGCGATGCCAATCCGGGAGTTCGAGAAAACATGCGCGGAACTTACTGGACATTCGCGACTATATGGCCTGATAGAGCTAGAAGGTATGCCCTTGTCCCTATTTCCTGACCCTATAGTCACGCAAATTCTAACAATATACGTAAAGCATCATTTCCGAGTTGGATACGAAATCGAGAGCTCTGCTTGAAAAGGATGCCGGGAACCCTAATGCCGCTGCTCACGCTACGGCTCCCCGCAGTGGACAGTCTCATGGCTCGTCCTTGATGAGGATGTCTATAAAAGAAACCATTGCTGCTCAAAAGAAAGCTCGGATGGCTGCAGCAAAGAACCTCCCTCCTCGCCCAGAGTCCGCTCAATCTTCTTTCTCCGAGCCAAGACTGGCCAGGCCTAACCTACAGAGGCAACCCGCATCATCCGCTTCTGTTCGCACTGCACCTACCGGAACACAGCCCTCATCTTCGTCATCATCATCCGTCCAAGGAGGCTCGCTCTCATCGGCTCCAATGCGGCCAGGCATGCGCCCTCGTAGACCTGAGCTATCGAGACCTGCAACAGCTGATCCTTATTCCCGAAGAAATGCTCCCCTCAGCGCTCAATCCCAGGTATTAAGCCCGACTAGCAGCCCTCAAAGGTCCAGTCCAAAGACAGCCCCAGCTCCCCGCACAAGGAAACCCCCGGCAAGGCCCAAGTCGAGAATGGAAGGTGTAACTACAAACACCCTCCAAAGGAAACCCGCAGCGTCTGAGCCTCCAATGGCTCAACCACTTGAACCGGAAATTATCAAAACTATTAATCCGGTTGATCCAGAGCCAGAGCAGGAACGGCAAGTTATACCTGAGCCCAAATATGAACGTGAGCTCGAGCCGGTCATCCCAGCGCCTCAGGCAGTTGATGAGGACACCATGAGCCCAACCAAAGCAAATGAAGATTTCACCATTGTCTTGCCAGATATCAGTGATCCAATACAGATTGAAATTCCTCAGACGCCAGTCCAAGCGTCAGGGATGCCATCACTAGGATCCCCGCTTAAAACCCCAGTGGCAGCGCCAATTGAAACCCCCATTGAATCTCCAATTGAAGCACCAGCGGAAGTACCTACCAGACCCCAGCATGAGGAACCAACGGAAGTGCCAATTGAAGCGCGTGTATCTACGGTTGAAGCAGCAGTTGAAACAACTGAAGTGCTGGATGAAACTCCAGCTGAAGCCCCAGTGGAAATCCCGGTGCAAACGCAAACCGACATCCCGGTTGAGCCTCCCGTTGAAAATCCAGCTGATCTTCAGACTATCAATACAGATCTCGCCGAGTCCCGCATTGAAGACATGCCTCAAGAAGCACCTCCGGATGTCCATAAAGAGGCGGATATCACTAGTGGTCAAATGACGCCTCCTAGACAGCGCGCACTCAGCTCAACCCCGCTGTCTAAAATCCCTACTTCTCCTAAATTCCGCCATCATAGCAGGGAGATTGTTCTTTCCAGTCCCCTCCGCACTCCACCAAAGACCCATGTCCGGTCCTCTGAGCCAGAAGTTTCCTCCATTATCAAGCTCTCACCGCCACCTACCATTGCTGAATCCAATGGAACAACAGCCCTTAAAGTCTATGAGGATCCCCAGTCACCTATCTCAAAAACCTCTGTTGCCTCCCCTATAACACCACATTCAAACCGACTAGTCTCAAAGACCAAGCCTCTTGAGGCTCGACCATTAAACGAATCCTCAATTACCAATCGCAAATATAACCAAGATACCCAGAGCATTTCTCCACTTTCATATTCCCCTCCGGCTCCGGCTTCAAATGAGAACTCCCATCGGCGATGGAAGAAGGTTGAAATATCAGAAAGGCGAAGGAGCCTTAGCCCTCACTCTAAAGATCCTAATCGGGCACGGGATATGGTTGATAGGGGGCTTATGAGAATCCGAACTTCTGCTCTGGACGTCCACGGGTATAGAAAATTTCAAGGCCTCATCCGATACCATGACTCTATCGTAAATGACGAGGCCAAGTATTCTCAAATCCTGCTTGCCCTGTTTGATGCGTTGGAATCTCCAGATGAAAATAGGGTATCCAGCACAAGCCGATCTTTCGATCTCAAAACGCAAATCCTCTTCACCATACGGCTCATGCTATCTCAAAATCGGGAATTCTTCGCAAAGTTCTACTCCAGAGCAATTATATCAATAATCCGGACACGAAAACATTATGAAATCACGAATCACATTGTTTCCGGTCTCGAGGAGACATGCGAAGATATTGTTAGCACCTGCAACCCTCAAGAGGTAGTAGATGATATCCTCCAACTTTTGGAAACAGAAGAGAAGTCAACTGAAGCCAGCCGGATGGTATCTATGGGCACCTATGTCCTTTGCGGACTGCTTCACCGCTTGAACGAAAAGAAGCTCTACTTCAGTGACTCTGAACTTCAACGACTTGGCAAATTTGCCAGCGAAAACCTTAGAAACCCTCAGCCGGACGTCCGACGTGCCGTTATGGACTTCTGCCTGGAACTACACGAGATGGTAAAACCAGAAGAGAAGTTCTGGTCCTTTGTCAACTCTCCCGGGGAGGACGTCCGGCCACTCCTAACATACTATATCATGAGGAAACCTTCGGCCTAGCTTGCCCGAAGCCCTCGCCTTTCTGCCTCTTCCTTTCACCAGAAATTTCTTTCTCGAAACACATTTTGCATCATACCCTTGGCCCTGGACAACATTTTACTCTCTTTAATATTTCTTGACCAATTCGTCAGATTTTTCTCTCTCCCTTCTTGGCCCCTTTGAATTTTCGCAACGACAGCAATGTATCGCGTTCTTTACGTCGTCATGCTGCGAAATGAGACGGGATAATTTCTAGTTACGCCGACGCGTCAGGATTGTATTATTTCGACATTACTCCCAATTTCTACTTCACCTTTCCCCTTCATTTCCTTGTCCGGCTTCGATAGTATACATTTAATCCTTCCTATATACCTTCTACCTTTCTTCTTTTCTTCTTCCACCTTATATTGCATTTGACAAAAGCGGCATGTCCCATTTCAGCTCCCCAAGCTTTTTCATTTCTTTCTTTCCCTTTTATTATCTTCTTCTCTTGGGGAAACTTAAAACCTTGCTCGATATCAGCGATTCAGCCCTTGTTTTCTTCACCCTTGCCGTGATTCCTTGTACGCATGCATGGGATGGTTAAAAAATACAGCAATGATGTGTGTTGGAACCGAGGAGTTTGGTCAGATTCGGAATTCTGGCCTGGGCGACAAGGCTTCTTTACTTTTCTTTTGGGTGGGCTTCCATGCATGCAGGATGCGTGTACATTACATATACGATGCTTCTGCAGTTAGCTTCGGGAATTCACATTTTTTCTAAGATAATTAGTGGCTATAGATGGCTCGTGACTCGAAATATTTTCTATTCAATGGCTGGTAAATGGCAGGCCGGAAGGAATGGTGTCAGACTGTAAAAGGCATTGCAGTCTAATCTCGCTCCGCAGGGCTTCAAATGCGTTCGAAGATTGCCTAAACCATCCTGCCCGTCCGCGCTGTTTTAGCCTGAACGCTAACGCTACACCTAACTTACTTATGCTTAGGCTCCTGGATCATCCCCTGATTCCGTCCCCTAACGCCGAAACTTTCGGATTAAGTTTTAAGAGAACTTTTAATGTGTGGCTTTGACGTGAAGTGTATATCATTGTCAAAATATTCAGATGTTGAGGGCATTCTTACATACTATCTGTCTATCCAATAGAAGCTCTACAAGCTCCAGACTCTATATAACTGGCCATATGTGAAAGATTTTTCCTGCACTTATACTGAGAGGTGTTATTTGCTTCTTTATCTGAAGACAACAAGATCAATTATCGGATGCCTAAGTCATCAGCCTTCATGAGCTTTCCTTGTACTCAAACGGAGGTTCCTGGAAGAACTTCTCCCGAGGGCACATGATCAAGGCAGCACGCTTGTGAGGCAGATCAATAAACTTGTTAATGTGGTAGCCATTTGCCTGGTCGTATGCAAGGACCTTGGCGCCTGTTGCCCTCGGTTCACCAACGGTCAAGTTGGTACGAGGGTCGTCGAGGAACATGTAGTGCGTAAGACAGGTGTGCCAGGCCTTGACACGATGGGGCCCACGGAAACGAGCATCTCCTACTAGGAAATGTCGGCCACGATCAAAGTCACCAGCCTCATAGTATGGCCCAATGGCGTCCTCCTATAGTTATGTGACATTCCAATTTAGTTACGTTCGATTTAACTGTTTATTTATTGTGACATTTATCGTGCGAGCACTTACCTTGGCCCAGTAGATTTCGTAATATGCAAAGAACGTATCGTTAAATTTGGCCAGCACAGGGAACTGGTGGATGTCTTCATGAATATTCCGCAGATATGCACGGTGCTGCTCTAATGTTCCGGTTTCGTTCCAGCCAGCCGCAACTCTAGGGTCATTCTGCCATACATGGAAATAATTGACATGTTCCTCATTAGTCCAGTCAAGGGCAACCATAGAGAATGTCTCTTTCAAGTGTGGGATATAACGGCTATAGATGGTAGAGCCTGGCGTTGGCTTCACAGGACGGATTGGGTGAGTAGTGTGAATGCGCGAGGAGGGGAACTTAGTGGTCAAAGAATAATCCAGTGCTCTGGGAGGGAAGGCAGACTCAAATGATGGGGAGATATCTGAGCTTTCAGTCCCAGCAACCCAGATCGGCCTCGGTCCAAAAGGAGAGCCGGCGCCTTGCCAGAATGATCGGCGAAGGACAACCAGTTGGCCAACATGGTCGTCCGAGGTCGGAACAGGCTGGCCTGGTGGTGCACTAGGCGCAGGGTGAGCGATGGCAAGCCCGACGGCTTCTAGCTGATGTGCTAGAATATCACTCGCAGTCCCGTTTAATGTGATTCTGAACACTTCAAGCTCGGGCCGGACAGTGAGAATGGCATAGACGATAATCCAGATCTGACCAACGGTGGGAGTATCATTTCCTTCCCAGGACATGTTAGATAAAGGACTCCTCTTAGCTCGAGCCCAGGCTGAGTTGTTATTGTCCGGAGGAACCCTCGAGGCATCTTCTAATAACAGGTCTGTGAATTTGAGGCTGGAGTGGTGAAGTGTTACTTTCTGAGGCTTCGACTCTGTGCTTGTTTCCTTGCACAGCTGAACTCTGAGGGACTTTGCGGGACTCGATTCGACAATTTCGTAGCCAGCATTCTGTGGCTCAGGAATTCGAATATAGGGAGCACGCTCCTGTGAGAGTAAAGAGTAGCTAGACATGATTGATCCTGAGGCAATTGAGTATGGACAATCCCTGGAGATGAGGGTATCGGAGCCTTTTCTTTTCCTGCAGAGGAGGGGGAAGGAAAGAAGTAGGTCAATGAGGGGGCACGGAAGGCCGCAATATAATATCACAAGAGAATCGGAATACGAGCGTATATGATGCAACTCTGCAAGCAAGCTTTCGGAGCAGGAATGCCACACGGCACATCCGTAAGGATCAGATAATCATGCAGGGCGTGGCTTAATATTTTATATAAGCAATATAAGCTACCAAAGTTGCGCTTAGTCATGAGACAAGCGGTAATTTTCACCAATAGAAGACACTGCTGAAGCTAGCTGCTTAGTAAATAGAGTTAGCGGGGCTACCTTTTAGTGGGCTTGGCTGCAAATTGAATTTTGATACGACGACGAGCAACTGTCCACCGCGCACTTTCTGCGAGGACATCTTGGGGCGAAGCCGTTCGTTCCGTCCAATTTCCATCTGATAAAGTGATGCCATGGAAGTTAAGCGAACCCCTGGACGCTATCCGTGGCCGTCACACACCCCAATACCCACAGAAACCCACAGCCGAGCCGTTCAGGGATTTCTCAGCGGGAATAATGCAACACGCCAGGGGGCCGTTTCTTGTCTGTCTTGCTGCAGCAGACACCGAGTTGGACAGCGTGGAGCCTTATCAGATGCGGTGTGGGTGGCCCAGGAGGCCAATAGCACATGCTAGTTCCGTCCGCCATGGTGTGCCAGCTAGCAATACGAAGTATGTACGGAGTCCGTCTCACATTCCAACACTGCCTTGACGGCGTTGGGCTGTTTTCGCTGTGTGGGAAAAAGTCAAGACAAAGTTATCAGATGGAAAAAAGTGGGTCCATCTCATCTTATCTCTTTCTTTTCTTTTCTTCTCCATCGGCTCCTTTTTTTTTTTGTCTGACATTCCGACAGTTTTCTTGTGATGGAGGCGATTACTCCGTATATCTCCTATCCTCGTGTTGTACTTGCGCGATGTGCCGCAAAGCTCCTTCAAACATTCCTTGCCCTTGGGGACGATCTGGGGATGCGATGAAGTGCAATCAATTGTTTCAGTGGCCTGCCATCGATCAACAACACGGGATGTGTCCCCTTGTCGAGAGTCTCTTCTCTCGTTTCCCCCCTTCGCCTGACGCGGTCCGCATTTTTCTCATGGAGGCAATGAGCCCGCTCAGTGACAGGGTTTGTCATGTTCTCGTAACTGCTTGGCCCCCTACCATCTGATAAGAAAAAAAAAATAGGACCAGGGAAAGTCTGTCCTTCATTCTCGTCTGTAGTTGGTCCAACTATGTCATATCCACCCGTTCCCAATGAAAAGGTTTTTGACCCCGAGAATGTGTTTGGAGGCCCTGCTGGAAAAGGCTTCAGCATGGATATGGCAAATCTTCTCCACCCGAATGCGAGGAGACGTACTCAGCTCTCTATTTTCTTAGCCTTTTTCGGTGGGATATTGCTGTGTCTGTTCATTGATCCAATGCCTGGCCATGTCACCTCCGAAGTGTGATGGATTTCGCAGCTCCGATTGAAATACGTCCGTCGCCTGCTCTTCTCCATCCCTTCGCTGTATCTGGCATTTTTCGGACATCCCGGACTTTTTGTGATTGATGAGAGTACCATTGCATCTGTATAACTCTCTATCTTCCCCTCTAAATGGCCGTGAAAAAGAAGAGCCCTCCTACAGGAGGAGTCACGACAAATACTAGCATCCAGGCCCCGCCATCACCAAAGAGTCAGCTAGAGGTACGTATTTCCCAGCTACCTTCGGTCTACATACCTCTTCTCTAACATAATAATTGAAGTGGTGGGCGAAGACACGGAGTTTACTCTCCAGGGAAAATACTATAACTCCGACATTTGGGTATTTTCGACTTCTGTTTGGGACGCAGCCCGAAAAGACTGATATTGCCCTGATCATAATTGGAACAATTGCTGGAATAGGCGCTGGTATCCCGTTCCCCCTGCTTGGTATTCTGTTTGGTGAATTAGTCGACGATCTGAACTCATCGACATGTTCGACTACCCATGCTCCACCTGGTGGTTACCAGGCTGCTATAACCACAAAGGTGCTACAAGTCATCTACGTCTCGATCCTAAACTTCGTGTGTATGTACATCCATACTGGGTGTTGGAGCATGGTTGGCGAACGCCTGGTGCGACGCCTACGAACCAAATACTTCCACAGTCTTTTGAGGCAAGAAATTGCCTTCACGGATACACTGCCTTCGGGTGATGTCACCTCTCGGCTGGTCAGTGATATCGAAGTGATTCAAGCGGGAACGTCGGAGAAAGTAGGCCTGTTTATCGGTACTATCTCCTACTTCGTTGCTGCTTATATTGTAGCGTTTCTCAAAGTTGCTACCATCGCGGCGATGCTTATGTCGGTTGTACCAATCTACTTCCTAATGGCTTTTGGCGGAGGACATTATATAAAGAAATACTCCAGCAGGATTTCAACCCATGTAAACGCTGCCACGTCAATTGTCTCATCCAGTTTGTCCCACATGAGCATTGTCCATGCCTTCAATGCGAATGCCAGATTGGAAGCCTTGTTCGCCCAGCATCTCGTCAGTGCAAGGATGGATGCATTGAAAAAGGCCATTACCCATTCTATACAGTTCGGAATGCTCTATTTCGTAGCATATGCATCAAATGCACTTGCTTTCTGGCAAGGAAGCAGGATGATTGCTGATCTTGCAGATGGAAAACCCTCCAAAGTCTCAGTCGGTGCTGTTTACACCGTGATATTCGTGTTACTCGATGGTTAGTATCTTTATCCCTTCACATTTGAGAACAACCATCTAACTTATTTGCATAGCATCCTTTGTTTTAAGTCAGATGGCTCCGTTTATGCATATCTTTGCTTCAGCAGCATCTGCCGGTGATAGGCTCATGACCACGATTAAACGCCAATCCGCCATTGATGGAACTTCTTCTGAGGGTGACTCGACTATTTCCTTGGCCTCGGAGGAAATTGAGCTTCAAGACGTCACGTTCAACTACCCTGCTCGCCCTGAGGTGCCTGTATTGCAAGGCGTGAGCTTTAAGATCCCTCCGAACAAGCACACTGCCATTGTTGGAACATCAGGAAGTGGAAAGTCGACTGTTGTAGCACTGCTAGAACGCCTCTATGATCCAATTACTGGCTGCGTCCGCATTGGCAATCGGGACCTAAAAGAAATCAATGTTCGACACCTACGTGGAAGCATTGGTCTGGTTCAACAGGAGCCAAACCTGCTTGATCGATCTATATTGGAAAACATCGCACACGGTCTTGTTAGCTCGTCACAAGAGAAACACAAACATCTTCTCCCTACCTTACTTGGCTCAGACCTTTCTGAACTTACCGAAAAGATACGTCAAGGTGCAAGTGAAGACGAAGCTGTAGCAGAGCACGGAGATGTGGTTCAGGAAATTGTCAACCTCGCTCGTCATGCAGCTACCTTGTCTAATGCGATTGATTTCATTAATTCATTGCCAGACGGCCTAGCGACCAGGGTAGGTAGTGCTGGTGCAGAGCTGAGTGGTGGTCAGAAACAACGAATTGCACTTGCTCGAGCCCTTATCCGTGACCCTCCTCTGCTGCTACTAGACGAAGCCACGGCCGCTCTTGACTCTACCAGTGAGAGGTTGATACAGGCTGCATTGAACAAAGTGTCCGAGAATGTCACGACTGTTTCAATTGCACATCGATTGGCTACTGCCAAGGATGCTGATAACATTATTGTCATGCAGAAAGGCAAAGTCATGGAACAAGGCACACATATGGACCTTGTAGCTCGCGATGGAGTGTATGCTGGCATGGTCCGGCTGCAGAACATAGGAAAATTCAGTTCCTCCAGCTCGATCATGACCGAGTCTACCCAGGTTGAAGTGAATCCTGATCAAACTCTCACCACTGCTGATACCCTGAACAAGGGGGAGAAATTCTCCATTGAGAAAGATGTTTTAGAAGAGGAGGTGAAGCCTGCTCAGTTATATTTACCCGAAGAAGCAGACAGCGTACCCACTGAACTCGAAGAGAAAATAGAGAAGCCAAAACAGAGCCTGTGGGCTACGATGAGAGGGTCATTCCCACTCATTCGTCCGAATCTCCTGCTCATTTCACTTGGACTGATTACTTCTATTATGATTGGTGTCAGCTATACCGGTGAAGCCGTCATATTTGGTCACACGGTAGGCAGCCTAAGCGTCTGTCGAGGCGGTCCAAGCATTCGATCCAGCGGTATGCTTTTTGGTCTACTCTTCTTCATTCTTGCAATTGTGAAATTTGCTGCTGTTGTTGTGAACGGAGCTGCGTTTGGCTGGGCTGCTGAAAAGACGTTATATCGTACACGGGTTCTCTCTCTTCGTTCGCTGCTTCGTCAACCACTAGAATGGCATACTGCAGACGGGCGGACGCCTGGACTATTGGTTGCCCTTGTTACGAGCGATGCTTCGGCTCTTAGCAGCTTGACAGGTACAACTATCGGTGTTCTTTTTTCCACCGTTGCCAACCTCTTTGCTGGTGTCATTCTGTCCCATATCATTGCATGGAAGATCGCTGTAGTCCTCTTGGCTACTTTACCTGTTTTGTTGGCTTCTGGAGTCCTTAGGCTGCGCGTCATGGCTCAGTATCAGAAAAAGCACCAAAAGGCGTACGCAAAGGCAACGGCTATCACGGTTGAGACGGTTGACAATATCAAGTCAATTGCAGCGTTTTCCCTGGAGCAAGAAGCCTACAGCGTCTTCAATCGCTCCCTGAGAGCCCCGTATAAGTCGAACATGAGATCCGTCTTGCACGGAAACTTCTGGCTCTCGCTGGCATACAGTATCAGCACACTAGTGTACGCACTGGCATACTGGTGGGGATCACAACAGATTCTCGCAGGAATGTATACGCAAGTTCAATTTTTTATCGTCCTGCCCGCCCTACTGTTCAGCACACAGTCATGCGGTCAGATGTTCGCTCTTGTTCCCGATATCACCAAAGCCCGTATTGCAGCTTCAAACATCGTGGACCTCCTATCCATCAAACATGAGGGAGACGAAGAATACGACCAAGCTGGCTCAAAGGCCGGTACCAAATATACCGACCCACGATTTAACATGCTCGAGGAGAAGCCCAGAGACGTCGAGGCGCAGTTAATTACCACTACACCCTCATCTTTTCCTACAAAGGGCATGGGCGTACAATTCCACAACGTCCACTTCCGATACCCCTCTCGACCCAACCAGCCTGCACTGGATGATTTGTCCATCAACATTGCCCCCGGTCAATTCTGCGCTTTAGTCGGGCCCTCCGGTTCCGGAAAGTCAACTACTTTTGCACTATTGGAGAAATTCTACAACCCAGCCTCTGGCTCCATCTTCATTGACGGGGTAGACATCACCAAGCAAGCTGGTGCTGCATTCCGAGATACCATTGCCCTCGTACCGCAAGAGAACGTCATGTTCGAGGGAACAGTGGCATTTAATATCGGTCTTGGAGCTCGACCAGACGTTGAGGCCACGCAGGAAGAAATCGAAGAAGCATGTCGTCTGGCCAATATACACGATACCATCGCCGCGTTGCCAGATGGATATAACACCGTCTGCGGGCAGGACGGAAAACAGTTCAGCGGTGGCCAGAGGCAGCGGTTGAGCATTGCTCGTGCACTGGTCAGAAAGCCTAGATTGTTATTGTTGGACGAATCGACTAGTGCTCTTGACGTTGAGAGTGAGAAGCATGTTCAAGATGCGCTGGCAAAGGTGGCTCGCAAGACCACTATAGTAGCTATTGCACATCGGTTGAACACGATTCACCGGGCTGATAGAATCTTTATGATCGAGGGAGGAAAGTGTGTCGATCAGGGAACGCATGCGGAGCTTGTGGAGAGATGCGAGAGTTATAGAGCGAATGTGATTCATCAGTCGTTGGATGCGTAAAGAAAACTTTAGTATAGAGTAAAATCGTTATCATATTTAGCATGTTAAACATATATATTATTAGTTGTTTTTAGTGATTATACATAAATTAATACCAGCAGTGGCTACAAGTAACATCTTGATATATACCCAAAAAAAATGTACAGTGAGCTGGCAGTTGTAAAAAGGTAAAGAGATAGAGAGTATAGACAGGAAAACAAATAAAAATTGTTTTATCTATATTGTGACATGTTACAACAAGAGTAGTAGTAGTTATTCAGATACAAAAAAGAAGAGGGGAAGCAAGCCGAAAGAAAGGACTCTACTTGGACTCTTCCGGGTATAGGTCCTCCTGGAGGACAATACCGAGCTCCTCTCGTAGATCCTTGAGCTCTTCAAGGTAGAGCTCGTACTGAGATCGGTTCTCAACCTTTGATCGGATGCCTGGCAGAGAATGTTAGGAGATATACGCCAATATCAAAAAGGAAACTAAGTTAAGTCAGGTTGGAGGACTCACCCTCGAAAACACGGACGGCAGTGGGGAAGTCGTTGACTCTTCTGGCAGCCTTGAGAGCAGCAGTCATGACGGCAACGGATGGAACGAGATCGTAAGCAAAGGCGTTGTTAAGGTTTCTCTGCAAAAACACAAATGAGTCGTCTGGTGAAGGCAAAAGTTACCACCGAATTTCATCTAACCTGCAGCTCGAAAACGTCCTGTACGCTGTCAAATTCCTTCTCATATCTGTTACATCATAATTTTTCAATCAGTATTTCCGTTTCATTGGATGTGAAATACTCTTTTAGTGGTTGAGGCTTGAGTTTGGTGGAGACGAACCGGGCAGAGAACTGCTCGAAGGTCTCCTCCTCGTGAGCACCGCTGAATCGCATGGGGGTGGTGCTGAATGCGCTGGCTCTGAAGATTGGAGCAGGGACGGCAGCAGATACTCTGGCACGAGCGGCGTATGGAGCGGCCTTGAAGAAAGTGGCCGGAGTGCGCGTAGCGAGACGGAATAGGGTTGTAGAAGCCATTGCGGAGGGCGAAGGGGTCAATTCGACGCTCGGAAGCGGAGGGATAGCTGTGGCAGAGTTTAGTAGACGGAAGCAACCCAATTGAGAGCGAGCGAAGGGGTGGAAGCTCACAGTGGCAGCGGTCGAAGAGTGATTGTTGTTTGCTGTGACGTTGAAGGAAGGAAGATTTTCTGGCTGGTTTGGATGTTCTTGGTGCGGGTCACGGGACCGTCACACCACCCGAGAGACAGACAGCCGCAGCAGCAGCAATTTAGTGGTAGAACAAGACAAAAACGCCCAAGAAAAAAATGAATGACAACAGGATAAAAATAAATAATAGGTTGAGGAGCGAGACAGAGCAAAGATATTATGTAGAGATAAAAAAAATCAGAAACAAAAAAAATGGACTGTCAGGGAATCGAACCCTGGACCACCCCCATGCTAAGGGGGTATTATACCACTAAACCAACAGCCCTGAACTGATGTTAAGGTAGAGAGGCGTAGTTCTTTTTGAGTAGCAGAGATAGTTAACTGCTCGAAACTGTATAAATCCTTAGTATTTCAGAACTCACGCGCACCCATTTAATATTAACCATAATATTAACCAAATAACAGCATTGACTAGTGCTGTAAATACAAATGTTTGCCAACTAAATACTCAAAAACGAGAGAAAACGGCGGTTAATCTCAATCCCCTTGCATCTGGGCTACAGCTTCTAGCTTCTCTTGCATAAACTCAAGAATAGCAGCGTTTCCGTCGGCTACTTTTACTGGCAAGACGTTGAATCCGTGAGGAGCTCCTGGGTAAACTTTCAGAATAGCTTCTCCTCCTGCTGCCATCCATTTCATACTCATAAGAAGGGTATCATCCAGTAACGGGTCTTCTGTTCCGCATAGGAATAGTGCTGGTGGGAGTGATAAGCCCTGCATGTCCTCGTATAGTGGTGAGACCTGAGGGTGCTTTCTCTCTTCTATACTCGTATTAGGAGCATAGGCATTGGCGAATTGCTGTAGCACCTCAAAATTTATCACTAGCGGCCTTGTAAATGAAGTGACCTTCGGCAGACCCAGAGATACATCAAGCCAGGGATATAGAAAGACTACACCCGCGAGCTGGTGTTTTGGACGCGAGCGCATAAGCCGAAATACGGTTAATGCGGCCAAACAACCACCATATGACACCCCACCCATAAGAGTTAGCTTTGCTTTATAGTCCTTCTCTGCGTGGTTAATGAGGTATTCAGCAGCATCAATGCAGTCGTTGATACCGGCCGGGTAGGGATTTTCTGGGGCGAGGCGATAGCCAACTGAGATGGCAGTGAGTTGGCATTTGTTGGCATAAGCCTTCAGCTTGGTATCCGAACTTAAGTGTAGGACATTAGTTATAAGGACTTCTCTGTGGCATATCGTCTTAATTAATATCGTCTTAGTTAAAGAGGCTTGACTTACTGTTTGTGAGACCCTAACACGAACCCTCCTCCGTGAAAAAGAAGAAAGATGCCTTTACTTGGAAGGCCATTTTCCGGTTTGAACACACGTAAAGGAATATCACGACCAGCCTCTCTAGAGGGTAGAGTTGCGTCTATAGCATCTGGGAGATAGATAGGCGCCGGTAGTAGTGCCTCGCCTGTTTCTCCCATTTGTCGATATTTCTCAGCTCCTACTTCATACCACTTTGGTCCATTTTTAGTCGCCGTTTCAATAAACTCATTCACTTTCTTTACTTCGTCGGTGACGTTGCTTGTATTGAATTTGGCGGCATCGATGGTGAGGTCGCTCTGAATTGGCATGCTGGTGGTTTAAGGGGTCAACTGATCGGGGCCGTAACTATGCTGCTAGAAAAAAAATCTGGCTAACTGACTTGATAGTCAAAGAAGTGAAGGCATAAAACCTCTTTTCTTTGGTTAGGCAACAGGCTGGACGTGCATTTGTACCCATGACCAGCCAACCGACGAGGGTATATAAATGTTGGGGGCTGTCTCTACCCCGGCCCCTTCGTAGGATGGGGTATGGGGTACATTGCAGGGTGGGTTGGTATACGCTGGTCTTGTATAGTCATGGTAAATGAATCTACATTTTCGTGCGCCAATGTGTAGTATTAAATGCAAACATCACCAAGGCTTTGATACTACACATACCCCTATCGTAGTTGATAGTGATACATAGAGGAAGAAGCTGACTTCTTCCGTACGGGCGTTAATGTATAGAAGGACTTAAGGAGTAATTGGAGTAATTGTAGGTAGAAGAATTTCTATATTTTATACATTATAGTGATATAGCTGGTTATCTTAAAGAAGAGGGTAGGTAGAAGTAATAGATAGATAGACGTCATGTTGGTAGGTTTAGAGTAAGAGTAAACAACCACTAAGCGATGCTGCATCACTGACACCAAACTAGTTATTCCTTGGCTTCATGTGCCTGTCCCTATCTTTTTATCTATGTGGCCTTCTCTATCTCCCACTCTTTCAGCTCTACTCACCTACTGCTTTTTATCCTTCCTTACTCCGCTGTAATACCACCTTCTCTACCTCTAACTCCTCACCCTTTCCCGCTTCCTCGACGTCTTCTTCTTCGTCTTTCTTCTTCTGCTTCTTCATCTTATCTGTTTACCCCTTTTCCTCCCAGCCAATCAGCGTTGTACCTCGGAAGCAGCCGCAGCTGACTAAGCTATCTCAACCCAACCAAAAAAAAAACCTCCAACTTTTTTCTTCGCTGGCTTCTTCTTTCCTTTCCTCAACTTCAGCTTTTCTCTCCTTCTCGCCTGTCGCCTTTTGGTCTCTTCTCTTCTTTTTCCTCTTCTTTCTCTCCTTCTGCTTCTCCCGTAATGCTTGCTCGCTACCCTTTTTAATCACCCTTATTCCTTTTCTTTTTGGTCCTCCATCTCTACCCTGCGAGACCTCGTCCAGGAAAAACCAAAACAACCCCCTATTCCCGCCAAAAAACAACACCTATCTCAGCAGCCATTGATATACCCTCACACCTTGGTCGTGTCTGCTCGCTTCATCGGCAGACTCGGATCAACTCTCTCTCTCCGTTCCGGGCGCCATTTCTCCTAGTCCCGCCGCTGCCGTTCGCGCCGGTCGATACCGCTCCCTTATACAGACTCAGCGAAACACACAAGATACGACCTAGATCATAGATCCGAAAATACCTTGTTCTAGTTTTATTGATAGAAAGAAAAGAAAAAGAAGAGGTCGAACAAGATGTCGGCCAACCTGCTCTCCAACATTCCTCTCTCCTTCTCCGCTCCCTCGATAGATCAGCCGTTTGGCGTGAAGCTATGGCCTATCTTCGACTCCGTCTACACCTCCATCATGGGCTACTCGGCAGATGACTTCCGGTTCGTCACCAACGAGACGCCCATGTCGACCCTCAAGGCTACCACTATTGCCCTGATATCCTACTATGTCATCATCTTTGGTGGTCGTGAGCTCATGCGCAGCCGTCCGGCCATGAAGTTGAACGGCCTCTTCATGGTCCACAACTTCATCCTGACAGCTGTCAGCTTTCTCCTCCTGGTCCTCTATATCGAACAGTTACTGCCCACTTTGGTCCGGAAGGGTACTTTCCATGCCATCTGCCATTATGAAGGTGGTTGGACTAAGCCTTTGGTTCTCCTTTACTACGTGAGTGCAATCCCTGTTTTCTTTCAACATCCCCTGTCAAGCTTGTTTTCGATCCATTCGTTTGGTTCCGGGGTTGGCTAACCTGTCGAGTAACAGTTGACCTACTTGACCAAATACCTTGAGTTGCTCGACACCGTCTTCCTCGTCCTCAAGAAGAAGCCTCTCACTTTCCTTCATACCTACCACCATGGTGCTACTGCTCTGCTCTGCTACACTCAGCTTATTGGCTCTACCGCTGTCTCATGGGTACCCATCACCCTCAACTTGGTTGTCCATGTAGTCATGTACTGGTACTACTTCCAGAGCGCCCGAGGAATTCGTATCTGGTGGAAAGAGTGGATCACCCGTCTGCAGATCGCACAGTTCGTTATCGATCTAGGTAAGCCTTTTTCTCTTGCTTCCCTCTGGCCCTTTGCCGTCGTTATGCATGGTCTAACTAGGTCTAGGATTTGTCTACTTTGCCTCCTACACCTACTTTACCTCCACCTACTGGCCATGGATGCCCAACGCAGGAAAGTGCGCAGGTGAGGAATTTGCTGCCTTCGCGGGTCTTATCATCCTCTCCTCCTACCTCCTTCTCTTCATCTCTTTCTACCTCGCCACCTACAAGAAGGGAGCCAAGTCCGGCCGTCCACGCCGCAACACTGGGTCGCAAGCTGCTCTTGCCATGAAGAACATGGAAGTCCCCCATGTCGGCGGCCACTCTGCCCCAGTCGCCTCCAACGGCTCCACCAACGGAAGTGCTACCAACGGAAACGCTACCACCACTGCCCGTGCCAATGGACCCGTCACCAGGTCAAGAAAAGCATAGGCGATCAGTTGTACTAATACTACCACCACCGTCGACTGACTTGACTGAACCGGGCGGCTCCTTTTGACGTTTTTCTTGCGATCATTACGTTTGAATACGTTTGGAATGGACGTGTATAATATACTTGGAGACTGTACGAATGGGAAAAACAATGCTGTGGGACCGGAGTCATACCCTCCTCCAGCTTTGGCTGATGCTGACGGACGCAAACGGTTTGGCTGGGTACGGACGCCTGATACGATTGAGATGGCTTTTTATATACGAGGGATACATCCTTTTTGTGTCCCATTCACACTCACACTCCCTTACCTACTAATTCTCACTTGGCTGTGAAGAAGCACTTGCATGATAAAAAAGACACCATTGGAAAAAAACAATACGACATACATATACAAAATAGAAAGGGAGAAGCAAATGAAACAGAAATGGAAGAGCAAAACACACAATCGGACAGGAAATGCTTTTTTCCCTTGGTCCATGATTCCTTATTTCTTCTCCATCCCCGCTCCTATCCTGTTCCCCCGTCCTCTCCTTTCTGCCTCATGCTTGCTACAGTTACTTTCTACTGCCTACTAATAACACCTTTTCTCTCTTTTCTAGCACTTTCATCTGCATTACTACACCTTTTACTTCACTGACCCCCTTTTCTACCTCTTTTTCGTCTTCTTCACTTTCTTCCCTTCTACCACCTTTTTTCATTCCTGTTTCTTTTTATTTCTTTTCTTGGGTATAATGACTGTGGAAATTGACAAAAACACTATTCATAATTGTTGCCCCTTCCCCCCCTTCTCTTCTTTTTCGTTCATCTTTGTATTTATGTAGCGGTAGGCGACGGTGGATTGGTTGCACTGTATTAATATCAGCGAGTCGAACGTCCTTTTATATCTTGTCTTCTCCCCCTATTCTCGTCCGTGCATCTACTCCCGTCGAGATGTCTGTGTAGTAGAGCTTAGCTAGCATCCCAAGCCATAGCCGGTGCTCAGTCTCCCAGCCGATATCACGGCCATTATACATGAGTCCAAGCAAGCCACTCTCTCCACTTCCAACGGCCTTAGAGAACCCTGATTCACTTCGGTAATTTAACCGGTCGGCCCAAAAGCTCCCAAGTCAAGGAGAATTTTTAAGTATCGTCCATCTTCTGCACGCTCGGGGATCGCTTTTCGTTCCGGATGACTTACATCCTGCAGTGTTCATGTCTGCTGCTTACTTCGTGATTATATAGACGGGGGTTGGGTCCGCACAGTAAGACGAACGCATCCCGTCGCCTCCACCTCTACCACCAACAATAACAACAACAGCAATAATAATAATAATAACAACCCAGCAAAGTCGGTCGGTCAGTCAGCCGCCGGTTTTAGATACGCAGTACCTGCCTAGACTCCGGCCAGACGCGCTTGCGGGACCCTAAACAGAGACAGGCCGGCTAGCCGGTTAGTGACGAAGCCGGCGTATACAATATCAGAAAGCAGATAAGCGTGCAACAGCCAGGGGACGGCCAAAGTTAAGCATGAA